CAACGTCTCTGAGAGGGCCAGGTTCGGGCTCATGGTTCACGTTAGGCTGAACTCCATAGATTAATCCCCCAGTCTAATATATCACACACTAGCCCGATAGCTCCAGGGAGCCTCCAAGGCTTACCCAGAAAATGGTGTTTCATTACATTCAATGCTGGTTTTTTCTTTCTACTTTTCTCCATAATACAGTACGGTATTTCCTATTAAAAGTCAGACTTCACCAGTATCTCCCTTTCTCTATTCTCTTTTAATGTATTTAGTTATGAATGGCATTTTTAATTTTTAATACATACCAAAAGTACATGATCACTTTTACTTATTGGGGTTGGTACTTAACATTGAAAACTTTCTTCACTTTTTTTATGAATATGAGATCGGACAACGATAGTATTTCTCCTCCCCTTATACTTGTGGCTTGCATTTTGTGCTGATAAGTCTATGCTGTATACCCTGTGATGCCCAGTATTAACAGTGTGACTCTGTACAGACAAGCTTTTTGTACAGTCTACCTCATAATCTTTGAGCATTTCTCATTTTGTGCTAAATTCCACTCTACAATGTGCTAATTCTTGCAAGCTATAGGCATTTATGAATTTTGATGTCTGTCTAGTTATATTGATTGACTGTTTAAATCAATATAAACAGATTTATATTGCTGTAACGTAAATATCTCATTAATTATCTGCCTTTAATTCTTTCATGTGTAAATAATTTTTCACTAGTACAGTACTGGAATGGCTATACCTAATCTATTTATTGTCTTGTCTCCTAATTGAATATTCCCTAGGAAATACCAGCTCATTTAGGATTCTGTCCTTCAGTATTGTTTCTGACACTTCAATAATGTCTGTTCTTACATTATTAATGTCATAAAGTTGCAGTGTTTACTTTGTCCCATATATGTTATATTTTTGTGTTATTCTAGTACAATATAGAGACCTACATGGTCTCTTCCTCTATCTTTATTTAGTCACATTTTACTGGTCAGGTCTGATTGTACATACAGGCACTTCCCTAATTACCAACTAGTTACATTCTGAGACTGTGCTTGTAAAGCATTTGTTGGGAACACTTATCAAGATTTTCTATAGGAACAATTGCATATGTGGGAGATGCATTCTCAGGCTACCAAAAATCCTGATAAAAGCAATATTTTTGGGGCATATAATATAAAAAACCACAACATTATTTACCTTGAAAGATAGCATTGTCATGCTTGTCAAAGTTAATTGTTTTTGAAGAGCAAAGTGAATAATTACATTAATAATTACTGCTTTCCTGGTAGTAATTATATGAATAAATAAATGAAAATACATGTACCCTGTATTGGTGGTCTGCCATTTTGTAATTGTCCTCACGAGTAAACCCCTTTCCACCCTGAACGTAATCTCCAGCCCAAGGCTGGAGATAGGATGAGTGTGTTACTCCACCAACAGAGTAAACATGATCAAATCATGTGAGTGTGGTGACATTGAGGACTTGAGGCCACTGGGTATCAGGAGTGTACCACACACACCCTGCCACCCATCCTATGCAGGGCGAGACATATGGGAAAGTCTCCTTACACCCATTTCCTCTGTTCACCTAGCAGTGATTAGGAACTTTGGTGTAAGTAGACTGTTGTAGGACGCATCCTGGGAAATGGTCAAATGCTGCATATATCCGAGGCATACTTGATTTTCTCATAAACACAGCAAGGCACAGAATGAGGAAAATAGCCAGAATGCTACACATGAAACATGCTGCAAGGCAAATAAACTAGAGCTGCAAGGCCACTGCAAAGAGTGGGCCAGAAGGTCCCAGAGTCCAAAAAAGGGTTCACGCCCGAAGTTAAAGAGTGGGTTGACCCGAGGCCGGGCTTGGGAGTAGATGAGCTCCCAGAACCCCTTCAAGCAGGTATCATGTCCAAACAAATTAACTATTACTACCCCACACATACCTACACCCTCATGCACCCACCTACCCCACCCCCACCCCCATAAACCCCTACCCATACAATACTACTCCATATGGCTGCCCCATGGATGTTTGCACTGTCGTGAAATTCAAAGGGACACTCCAGCTAGTTAGTACAACAATTTTATACATGAAGGAGGCTACATGGAGACTTGGGAGAATGTTTGTATGGACGAATGTTCGTAAGGCGGGAACACCCTGTATCTACTAACTTCTCTTCTTTTCAGTCCTATCTTATAAATAAATTTATTTTCGTTCTCATGTCTTTCTTTCCTTTTTTTTTTTTTTGCTTACTCCAGGTTCTAAGAGTATATTTTGATGTAGGTTTCTGGGAAAAGCCCCAAAGGTGTCCCAAAGCTATCCAGGCTGATATATATCTATTAGGTTTATGGCATCAGTTAAAGTGCATGGAGTTCTTGCCTACTGTGGACCTCGAGCCAGAACCTGGCCCCCTCAAAAAGGCATGAGGGGCAATGGCCTATAGAAACCCCCATGTGATTGGAAGCATTCTGTCTGCCATCGACTGTGTCTGGCACCCAGAAAGGTAGGCACCCCAAAACAAACCGTTATTCTGGTGAAAATATTGCTACCGAAAGCCGAATGAGTGGACAGAACTCTCCAAGCAAAAATTAGCAAACGAGCATGACGTCATTATGTTGCTGCTGTCTGTACAACTCCCCCACCGCCTCCCCGGAAGGGGGAGCCCCAGTCCCTCGTGCCGGCGATCCAACAGGCAGTTAGTTCTTGGCTGATATGATACTGGCATGTGCCTCTTGCTCCTGCTTTAATTTCAGTGCCATGGCGCCTACCCGAGCCTTCGCTAGATGGTGTTCACGGACGGGTCGTCTCTTGGCTGGAGTTTTGTGACAAGTGCTCACCAAGCCGGCCAGGGTCGGTGTAGTTCATCCTTCTGTTGGGCTCACAGCACAGTGTGGGAGTTCGAGGCTGTGTGGATGTTGCTCTGGAGGATTCGGGTCGCTCGCAGATCGACGATCCGACTCCATTCGGACTGTTCCCCGTTGGTTCATTGCCTGAACTGAGGGGGTTCAGTGTGGTCCTTGGCTCTTTGGGGCTGGTCGCTTCGGGTGATTTGTCTGCTGAGTTTTTGGGATTTGGTTCACGTTCGGGGGGTGTCCACTGTCCTGGTGGATGCTGATCCCAGTTCATACCCCTGTCCATGGAATGGACGGTCGGTCGACGCCAACTCGTTCAGTTGGCTCTGCCAGATATTCAGGCCTCCAGAAGTGGATCTCTTCATGTCGGCGTGGTCGAGGTGTCTCCCAGTATATGTGGCGCCCTTCCCCGACTGTGAGGCCGTCGGGGTCGATGGTGGGCGAGGTGGGGTCCTGTACCTTTTTTTCCCGGTTCAGCTGATGCTTCAGGTCCTGACTCGCTTGGAGACTTACCAGCGGAAAGTTGTCCTTCTGGCTCCTTGGTGGCGGGCCCAGCCTTGGTTTCAAGTGCTGCTTGGTCGGTGTCCGAACCAGAGGGTCTTCCTGCGGCTCCATCTCTTTCTGCAGATCGGTCGAACCCTGTACGAGGCTGGTTCATTCTTCTCCTAGAGTCCTCGCGTCTGGGGTTTCTAACTTGAGTATCATGACTTGTATTGGGTGCAGGTGGCTTTGATGTTGGTCTCCAACCTGCGTGCTTCGTCTTGGCGGCAGTATGAAGTTTCCTGGCGGTCCTTCCGGTATTTCCTATCACTGTGTAGGTGTTCCTCAGTCTCTGATAGGGTTGTTTTGTCCTTTTGTGGTTGTTCAGGACCGTCATCTTATGCCGAATACTGTCGCCTTGTATCGTGCGGCACTGGCGGAGCTGCTGCAGCTTGCTTTCGGTATTGATGTTACTTCTGCTCCAGCCTGCTCTTGCGCCTCCTAAGCTGTCCTGGTCTTATGTCTGGGTGCTCTTTTTTCTCTTTTCTTCTTGGTTTGTTGTTGTCCCCTTTGATTCCATTTTGTTTTTCCAAGGATCTTTTTCCTGTTGGCACTGGCCTCTGGGGGTCGAGTCTGGGAGCTTCATGCTCTCCTCTGGTGCAGGTGTTTTTCGCTCATTTGGTCCTGGTGGTAGGCTGGTTCGTTTTCAGCCGTCTCCTTTTTTTCTAGTGGTGAATGGGTCTGCAGCTTTCCGGAGGGGTCGTTGGGTTGTTGTTGCATGCTTGGTCAGGCCAGGGATGCATCATGTGTTGTTGTTCGGTTGTGGCTCTCTGCTGTTCTCGGTGCATCATGGCCTCTGTGGCCGTGGACCCGCTTTAGGTTGCCAGGGTTCCCTTCCCTGCTTCCTGTTCCAAGGTTCTGGTCTCCTGGGTCATCCGCAGGGTCCTTCGGTTGCCAGTTGTTTATATTTTGAGTTTAAGGGGCGTGGCATTCACCTCCCGGGTCCTTCCCTCTTTTTCCTTATCTTTGGTGAGGTAGCTCTGGGAAGCTGACGGGGCTTTCCCCAGAAAACCAGCGTTGAATGTAATGAAACGCCGTTTTATGGGTAAGACCCGGAGGCTCCCTGGTATCCCTCCCTCCCTCCGGTCGGCAGTGTTTTCGTGTGTTTTTGACATCTAGCCTAAGAACTGCCAGATGGATCGCCAGCACGAGGGTTTGGGCCTTCCCCTTCCCCCTCCCGGAGAGGGGGTGTTGCGCAGACAGTGGGGCAGCAACGTGATGACGTCATGCTCATTTGCTAATTTTCATTTGGGGAGTTTTGTCCACTAGTTCTGCTTTCGGTAACAATATTTTCACCAGAATAGGGGTTTGTTTTGGGACGCCTACCTTTCTGGGTGCCAGACCCGGTCAATGGCAGACATTGCTATAGGCGATTGTCCCTCGTGCCTCTCTGAGGGGGCCAGGTTCTGGCTCGTGGTCCCTGGTAGGCAAGAACTCCATGCACTTTTATGCCAGAAAGCTAATAGATACATATCAGCCTGGATAGCTCCGAGGAGCCTCTAGGTCTCGCCCAGTAAATGGCGTTTCATTACAGTCAACGCTGTTTTTTTGTCATTTTCATGTTCACTACAAAATTCTATTTGTGATTTACAGTATTTCTTTTTCTGTCAGATGAGTTGGAACAAAATTTGCAATATATGGAGTACAAGGCAGCATTTAAGATGGCTAAGAATTATATGGCTAAACTAGAGGCAGCTTTAGCAGCTAGCGAGAAAGCAGAACCCAAGAGAACCTATCTGTGGGATCACAGAGGCAGACCACCTGCTAGGAAATCCAAAGCTAAAGGTAATAATGAAGTACATTTGTAGCTTTGCCAGTTTTGTCTCACATGCTATTGATTGTCTTCCTAAACTAAATGTCTGGAAATATTACTTTAAGTTTTAATCACCACTTTTCCCATATTCACATTACAAAACATGTGTAACACGGGCTTTTACATCTTTTACTCTTTTACACGGTCGGTCCGGTCCGTGGCGGGGCTGGTTCAGTCTTCTTCTCGAGTCTTCTAGTCTGATTCTTTTGACTTGAGTCTCTCACCATCTGTTTGGTGATCAGGTGGCTTTTTGAATGCGTCCCACCTGCATGCTTCATCTCGGCGGCGGTATGGGGTTTTCTGGCGGTCCTTCTTTTTCGTAATCTCTTTGTAGGTGTACTGCGCTCTTAGTTGTCGTGGTCTTGTCCTTTTCTCGTTGTGGTTCAGTGCCGTTTTCTGACCGCATACCATCGCCTTGTCTCTTGCGGCACTTGCGGAGCTGCTTTGGATTGCTCCGGATTTGTTGTTCCTTCTGCACCATTCATGGGTTGTCTCGGGCATTGTTCACCTCCGGCCTGCTCATGCTCCAGCTGAGCCATCCTGCTCTGGGGCAGGGTGCTCTTTTGCTCTTTTTTCTATTCCCTTTGGTTTGTTGTGGCCCCTTCAGTTCCGGAGGGGTTCCTGGGGTTGTTGCTGCTTGGTTGGATGGCCGGGGGGCTTCCTCTTGCGTCCGGTTGCGGCTCTCCACCGTTCTTTGCGTGCCACGGCCTCTGTGGCCCGGCTGCGCTTTGGGTTGATCCCGTTTCCCTTCCCTGTTCTCGGGTTCCGGTCTTTCTGGTCGTCCGCTGGGGTCCTTCTGTCTAGCCGGCCTACGGTTTTTCCCCGTGCCCGTGAAGTTTGTAAGTTTGCTGTGCTTGCTGCCGTCTTTGGTGGCATGTCATGTGCTGACATTTGAGCACAGGGTTGTTTTGGCGGTCGCGCTGGGTCCTGGCTGTATGCTCCCTCGTGTCTGTTCCTGGGCCTAATCAGGCCTATGTCGCCTTGGGTCGGCTGTTGCAGCCTGTTGTCTCGACTTCGTGTTGTGGTGTGCGCACCTACCGCCTCCCTGATGTGTGTGTCTGTTTTCGTCTTTGGTGAAGTAGCTCCGGGGAGCCATAGGGGCTCCCCCCAGAAAACCAGCGTTGAAAGTAATGAAACGCCTTTTCTGGGTGAGTCCCGGAGGCTCCCCGGCAACCCTTCCTCCCTCTGGTCGGCGTTTTTTCGCGTTTTTTGATATCCAGCCTCAGAACTGGGGTGAGGATCGCCGGTGCTAGGATCTGGGGTTTCCCCTTCCCCAGTGTGCGCATGTCGGTGCGCACACTGCACAGACATGCGGCACTGCTCGTGTGACGTCATGCGGCGCTGCTCGTGTGACGTCATGCTTATTTGCTCGTTTTCGTTTGGGGAATTCTATCCACTCGTTTGACGATTTTCGTTCTTAACCAGAATTGGGGTTTGTTTTGTGGCACTTACTTTTCTGGGTGCCTGTCCCGATCGATGGCAGATGTAGAATGCTCCAATCACATGTGCATTTCTATGGGCCATTGCTCCTTGTGCCTCTGTGAGGGGGCCAGGTTCTGGCTCGTGGTCCCCGGTAGGCCTAGAACTTCACCCATATCAACTGATGCAAAATAGTTAGGGTATCCATATCAGCCATGGATAGCTTTGGGGAGCTTCCGGGACTCACCCAGAAAATGGCGTTTCATTACATTCAACGCTGGTTTTTTATCTTGATTTTACATAGGAGAAAAAATATTTTGGATTTCTCTCTATTTCACTGATGGTCTTTTGCTCTCTTTGTCTCTCTTGGATTTTGTAGGATTCTATGTATGATTTTGTATGATTCAACAATGTAAGAGTGAATACTGTATACAGGGGTACCTTGGTTTAAGAATTTAATCCGTTCCTGGAGACAGTTCATAACCCGAAAATTCGTAAACCGAAGCGAATTTCCCCATAAGAAATAATGGGAAAAATGAATTAATCCGTTCTTGACTCCCCAAAAACTTCACTTCAAAGTAAAATTTTATACATAATTCACCCAAATCTTCACTACAAAGTATGTTCAAGTTATTACTTACCCTTGCTGATGACTCCTGTTGGCGTATGGAAGATGGTGAGGAGGTGGGGGGAGGAGAGGTGTTACTGTTTGGAAAGGGAGTCTCCTTCCATTATAATATCAGGCAGTGAAGATTTCTCTGAAGTGCACACTGGCACATTTTGCCAGCATATCACTAGGTCCTTGTTGTGGCTCACTGCTTGATTTTCTCACAAGGAAATGTTGCATTGAAGATTGTTTTTCCCTTCTTTGCAACACTTGTCTGTAGTGAGGCATCACATTGTCATTAAAAAGATCAATGTAATGGCCTACTACAGCCTTATCTGGGTGATTCTTTTCAGCAAAACTCTGCAGTCCTTCCCATACTGCACACATTTTCTTAATTAATGAGGAAGGGACATTCTCTACTGCCTCCTCTTCCTCCCCTGGAGATTTGTTGTACTGCCTAGCTAGTTCAACAACACGAGTACCATTTTCATGCTTACGAATGATCTCTTGTTTTTCCTCTATGGTCATTCTCACATGTGATTTCTTGCCTTGAACCTTACCACTGGCTTTCTTGAGACTCATGGCGAGATATATAATAACAACTTTTATGCTCAAATGACCAAAAGTCTGACAAAAAACTGTAAATTCTTGTGAAGAATTCAGGCGGGATGGTCACTGGGCGCGAGGCACTGGTAAACTGATTCGCGATCGCCATGCCACCACGCGCTAGTCGGCCGTACATTTATTAACAAACTTGTATTCCGATTCAAATTTTCTGAACAGGTCGGGCTCGTAACCTGAAAAGTTCGTAAACAGGGATGTTCATAACCCGAGGTACCACTGTATATATACAGTATATTTTATATGCACTACATATATATAGTTTCTGATTCTGGTTTACAGGATATTTGTATTGCCTATGTGTGATTGACCCGGTAGTTTGTATCAGTTACATTTTTTGTTGTTTCATCCTCTGAGGTCTAGTTAGCAACCACTTTCATTATAACAACATTTGAATGTTATCACAACATTATAATAGCATTTCATTTCAATTTTCTGCTCCTAGGCCCATCCTCAAAACCTCTTCCGGTCAAAACTTTCATTATGGAATCTTCCATGCCAGCTGATGATGACGACAACGTCGATACAGCCTCAAGTGATGATGGTAAGTCATTTTTTTATCACATGAGGAAGTAAGAATATTTTTATGTAAATGTAATTTATGTATCGGCATTTTCTGGGGGAGCCCCTTCGACTTCCCCGGAACTTATCCAGGTTGATATGGATTAGACTTTGGCATCAGTCAGTGTGAATGGAGTTCTTAGGCCTACCGGGGACCACTAGCCAGAACCTAGCCCACCTCAGAGAGCCACGAGGAGTAATGGCCTATAGAAGTGCACGTGTGATTTGGAGCATTCTATGTCTGCCATCAACTGGGTCAGGCACCCCGGAAGGTAAGCATCCCAAAACAAACCCATATTGTGCTTGAAACTACTACTAAAAGTAAAACGAGTGGACAGAACTCCCCAAAGAAAAATAAGCAAACAAGCACGACATCACCACGTTGCCGCGCCACCATCTGTGCAGCTCCCCCCCCCTCCCGGGAGGGAGAAGGGGGAGCCCCAGACCCATCACGCCAGCTACCCACACTTTCAGTTCTCGGCTGATGTTCTCTGGATGAGACCCAGAGGGTGTCCGGCATCCCTTCCTCCCTCCGGTCGGCGGTCGCGCTTTAGGTTGCTCCAGCCTTTGAAGTGAAGGTGTGGGTAGCTGGTGTGAGGGGTCTGGGGCTACCCCTTTCCCAGGGAAGGGGTAGCCGCGCAGACCAGAAGGGGGGGGTGGGAGGTGTGCAGACAGCGGTGCGGCAATGTGGTGACGTCATGCTTGTTTTATTTTTGGGGAGGTTCTGTCCACTCGTTTGACTTTCAGTAGTAGTTTCAACCAGAATAGGGGTTTGTTTTGGGATGCTTACCTTTCTGGGTGCCTGATCCAGTTGTTGGCAGACATGGAATGCTCCAAATCACATGTGCACTTCTATAGGCCATTGCTCCTTGTGCCTCTCTGAGGGGGCCAGGTTTTGGCTCATGGTCCCCGGTAGGCCTAAGAACTCCATTCACACTGACTGATGTTAAAGTCTATTCTATCCATATCAGCCTGAATAAGCTCCGGGGAGCCTCTGGGTCTCGCCCAGAAAATGGCATTACATTCAATGCTGGTTTTATATAGATGAATATAGGGGTAAATTTAATTAGTTTTCAAGAGTGAAAAATATTTTTCATGCTACCAGTAAATTAAAATGTCAATATCTTGTGATATGTATGTAATTGTAGTAATTACTTTATTTAATTAATTTATTAAAAATAATTATTTTACTTACAAAGTAAGATTGTACCTAAACTTAAATTATATTCGCTTGGTGCTAAAATATGTCTAATTTTGTATTAATATCAAATCACATCGCCCTCAAAATGTATTATTCCTCCTTTGAAATTTGTCATTCAGTTTCTTCATTGCCTGGAGAATGATTCTTAAAATATTTACCGTCATCTGTGTTTCCTTTAACTATATATGTTTATTCAAGACATGATGCAACTTTGTAACTTAATGTATTTTACATCTACAGACACAAGAAGCTAATCTCTCATTACTCGACTTACTATTGCACTTCTATATGAAACCTCATCAATACATTTAGCAAAAATGTCTAATCCATACATGCTCATCACTCAAGAGTCCCTTTGTCTTATTAAATTACCTCATGACATAATCTTCTTTCCCCATCCTAAGTCTTATTAAAAATGAAAGAGATTAATCATATGTCTTTGTATTTTAATACTGTATATATATATATCATACATTTCATGTCTTTCAGCACACGAGTCTTCAGGAAATGCAGAGCCATCATTAGAAACCAAATTAGAACCTGGAGATCAGCAACAAGAAATACAGGGACTGCATTTTCCCTTCAAACATATGTTGGATGATTTTATATATTAGCCTACTGCCTGAAAAGTTTCTCAAAGTGGTTTATTAAACTGCATTAATTTTTCTTGGTTAGAAATATGTTGTCAAATGATACAAAATTCCTGTATGACCTGCACAGAGTTGGGTGAGGGAGTGAGGGCCAATTTCAAATGCAGTAGCATCTCTAATATTTAAGTTATATAAATCTAGATTGAATTTTTGTTGTTAAATACTTTGTGCTATATATCACTAGATTTTCATAAATTTTCATGCAAAAATCAAAATTAAAATAACTATAGAATTTTGCTTTTAATATGCACAGTGGCTTACCCAAGGCACCAACTTCTCACAATGTGGCATTCAATTATAAAAATCAATAAAACTGTGATCTAAGCTATATTAACCACTGCACTGCAATATAACTTATTTGCTGGCATAAAAGATGCACTTCTATTTTACAAGGATATTTTGTGGGAAAAAACTATTTTAGTATGTTTCATTTTACATGTATATAAAGATATTTTAAAATGGATTTTGTAACCCAACTCTCACCTTCTCTAAGATCAGCTGTATAGTTGTTTATATTTTGGGCAAGAGAATTACTAAACAGGATGTAAAACTTGAATTTCTGGATATGATGTTTTGTGTTGGCGCATCAGGTCACCAGAGTGGCGCACCCGGTCGTGGCGTACCATGGTGGCGCACTCGGTCGTGGCACACCATCACAGCGCTCTGGTTTTGTTGTCATTTATTCATTGCAAATGGCTGACAGGCGGATGAAAGTTTTAACATTCCTTTCAAATTTCTAGGAGCATTTTTCATTTAGATAATGAATAAATGTTTTTTAAAGGTAACTCAGTCATTAAATAATGTATGACATACAGTATATCAGGTGTTGGTTATGTATGCTGGGTAAGGTGGAGAGATGATGTGAGCTTTTTTCATAACTGCCGATGTATTGTAATCAATTTTCTAAGGGGGAGCCCCTTTGGCTCCCCGGAGCTATCCAGGCTGATGTTGCTAATGTCAGACTCCATACACATGGCATCAGTCATGTGTATGGAGTTCTTTGGGCCTACCGGGGGACCATGAGCCAGAACCTGGCCCCCTCAGAGAGGCACGAGGAGCACTGGCCTATAGAAACCCTAGTTTGGCTGGAAGCATTCTATGTCTGCCATCGACCGGGTCAGGCACCCAGAAAGGTAGGCGCTCCAAAACAAACCCCTATTCTGGTGAAAATTGCTACAAAAAGCCGAATTAGTGGACAGAACTCCCCAAACAGAAACGAGCAAATGAGCATGACGTCACACGTTGCCACTCCGCTGTCTGCGCAGCTCCCAGCCCCAGCCCCAGACAGATACGCCGGCAATCCACACCCCAGTTCTGAGGTTGATGCGCTAGGCAGAGGTCTTGTGCTCTGGCTCCAGACTTAGTTTCAGCTCTGTGCGTTGTACTTGGTGGCTGTCTTTTAGAGGGTGCACGAGCCAGGAGTAATTCTTCAGTACTCGAGCTGCATGCGCCTAGGGTTGCCTTCCCTAGGTGCCCAGTAAGTACTACCCTTGGGGCTTGGGGCCACATTCCACAAGTTCCTTGGGTTCTGCCTCTGCATGGCTGTTTACTGCTTGTTTTCGGCCGCCCAGGCCGTGCTTAGATGGTGTCCATGTGCCTCCGGGACGCATGTTGTCACGTCCTAATTCATCCGGGGTTCAGGATGGTTTTGTTTTGTTGTGGGGGGTCAGAGTTACCGCTTTCATTGTGTTCCGTTCGGATTGAACCTGGCACCTCACGTTTTCACACGCCTAACATGGGTCGTGGTAGCCCATCTGTGTTTTTTAGGTGTTCGGGTGCAGCCAGACAGTTGTCTTGACTTCAAATTAAGGAGCGTGTGGTGACCGCCTGGGTTAGTCCTTCTTGTTTTATCTTTGGTTAAGTAGCTCCAGGAAGCTGAAGGGGCTCTCCCCAGAAAACCAGCGTTGAATATAATGAAACCCCATGTTTTGGATGAGACCCGGAGGCTCCCCGGCAACCCTTCGTCCCTCCCTCCGGTCGGTTGTTTTTTGCATCTTTTGACATCCAGCCTCTGAACTGGGGTGTGGATAGCCAGCGCAGGGCTCTAGGGCTTTCCCTTTCCTCTCCAGGAAAGGGGGAAGCTGTACGGACAGTGGTGCAGTGACGTCATGCTCGTTTGCTCGTTTTTAGTTGCAGGAGTTCTGTGCAACAGTTCAGCTATCAGTCGCATTATTTTAACCAGATAAGATTTTGTTTTGGGGTGCCTACCTTTCTGGGTTCCTGACCCTGTCAATGGCAGACATAAAATGCTTCCAACCACACGGGGGGGGGGGGGGGGGGGCTTCTATAGGCCATTGCTCCTCGTGCCTTTCTGAGGGGGCCAGGTTCTGACTTGTGGTACCTGGTGGGAATAAGAACTCCATTCGCTTGACTGATGCCAGGGTCTAATACATTCATATCAGCTCGGATAGCTCCAGGAAGCCTCCAGGTCTCATCCAGAAAATGGCGTTTCGTTACATTCAACGATGATTTTTTATGCACCATAATGAATCACAAAGATCGTGTGTTAATAGGTTATATACACAGAACACGAATCCAAGATCAACCTAGCGGTCAACAGTTGAGTGTGGCAGGGACTGCCCCAAATACAGTACATTTTTACATAATTATTTCAGTGTCGGCGAATTGTTTTATATCTATTTTTTTGCAGTAATATTATTCAATAGTGTGTAATTTGTGGAATTTATATAGTTAAATGTGTGGAACATTGATATTCTAAAAAATATGGGGCTTATATATAGTAACAGATTTATTATATTCTTAGATCAACCAAACAGTGTTCATGCTGTTATTACACTATATTCACACATTATATATCACTATCAACATTTATATGCACCATAACAAACTAATAAGCAGTTCTGGTGGTTATGGTAATGTAATAAAAACACAGCATGCAGCCACATGACACCAGCAATCATGATGAAAGACAATGCCTGTAATATTCTACATATTTTGCTATGACCAGCTACAAAACTGCTGTCATTACCACATTCCTATCACAAAAATCCCAGTTATGAATACATTTCCACAAGGTTATATTGTGAAGGAACATGATCGTTTCATGATGCGTAGATGCAAGAAACAATGGCTGGGTGCTGTCTGTCTCTACCTCATGCTGTGAATATCATAACTAGCATTGAGTTCACTGATATATGAATGTTGTACAGTCTTTATCACAGTCAGGATCAATCTATGTTCCTATCAAACATAGATGATCCTATCAATGCAAAATAATTAGTTACCTATTTTATTCATTACTAAGTGGTGCTGTGGCCCCTAGCTGCACAGTGGTGCTGTGAGCTGCTACGGCATGCGCCAGCCTTGGTCACTCTTTCACAGTCGGTACACTCTTTCACAGTCACTCTTTCACAGTCGGTACACTCTTTCACAGTCACTCTTTCACAGTCACTCTTTCACAGTTTCAAGATGGCGTTTGTTTACTGGAGTCTTGAGGCACAGGATGTGAGCCCTGTGTAGCTGTGGGAGTTATTAATCACTCCCTATACATAAAAGTGCCAGATGGAACTCTGCGCACCCCCGATCAGGCACCTTAAGGTGCTCTGCGCACCCCCAATTGGGCGCTATCCACTATCTTATGATATTAATGTTCACATACGGGCCTATTGGCTATAGGATGCAACTCCTATTTATATCTACCCAATCCCATTCATATATGTCATTGTACTTCACCTCTCTCCTGCCTATATATATATATATATATATATATATATATATATATATATATATATGCAGAATAACCACATATGAAAAATAGAAAATGCTTAACGCGTTTTCGGCTAATTCGCCTTCATCAGAGCAAAGTAGAATCAATTGATTCTACTTTGCTCTGATGAAGGCGAATTAGCCGAAAACGCGTTAAGCATTTTCTATTTTTCATATGTGGTTATTCTGCATACTTGGATCAGTGTTTTTGTGATCATTGTTGCATATATATATATAATATATATATATATATATATTATATATATATATATATATATATATATATATATATATATATATTATATATATAATATATATATAGATATAGATATAAATATAAATATAGATATATATACTATATATAAATAAATATAGATATAAATATATATATAATATGAATGTCAAGCCACGAAGGAGGGATTGAAACAGGAATTTCCTCAAGTACTTTTGTATTTGATAATATATCTTCAGAGGGATGGATTTACAATTGATTGATAAATGATTGATAAAGATTAAGCCACCCAAGAGGAGGCACGGGCATGAATAGTCCGTAGGGATTTACAAGTCAGTACATTGGATATAAATATGAGCTGCATCGTATGGGCCGATAGACCCATATATGGATATTAATATCATAAGATAGTAGATATTAACAAGGTATAAGCGAGGCAAATGCGTATCGACGATCCTACTCAAATCGCCCACTAACTGATCAATCAAAAATGGATTTAAACTATACATACCACTGCTAATGTTCAAATTACATGATTTTGTAATCTGTATTAAAGCAGATTCAATTATGTTCCAATTGAAAGTGATTTTACAATTTCTTATTGAAGAAACCATCTCTCAATCAATTTGGTGAGAATTTTCTGACAAATGAACAAACAAAGCATTGACAATTGGCCATGTCTTACAGAATATTTATGTTGTGAAATTCTAAATTTCAAATCTTTAGAAGTTTGTTCTACATAGAACCTATTACAGTCTTTACGAGGTATTTTATAAATGACACAATTATCGCTACGAGGACTGTTTCTAACTAATAGTTTTCCAACAGTATTTTTGTAATTAAACTACACATGTATATCAAAAAGTTTCAAGGCCTTGACAATATTTTCAAACACAGAAAAATATGGTATACATAACAGATTCTTTGGGCGAATTTTCTCGCTGCATATAATATTATAATATGTATGACGTGCTTTGATACGGCAAACTTCCAAAAAACTCGGTGGATAACAAAGCTTGAGACCAATAGAATCAATATTCTTAAACTCTTCATCTAAGAATTTTTGACTAACAACCCGAAGAGCTCTTAGATACATAGATAAAAAAATTGATTGTTTCACATTGTATCTATGCCCTGAGAAATAATGAATATAAATTATTTGTAGTGTAGGCTTTCTGTAAACACTAAACTTTAGTGAAAAATCTTCCCTATTAATAAGTATATCTAAGAATGCAATCATTTATCAATTTCAGTTTCCATAGTAAATTTTATAGAGGTGATTTGATCATAAAGTTTAGCTACAAATTCATCTATATTTATATTTGCAGGCCATATACACAAAATATCAACAAATCTAAACCATGAAATCCAGGGGTAATTTTTTAAACAAATTTCTTTTCGAAGAATTCCATGCACAAGTTTGAAAGCAATGGCGATAAAGGAGTCCCCATTGCCATTCTAAAAGTCTGTAAATTAAACTCATTATTAAAGGTAAGTTTACATTCTTTTGTACACAGCTTAATGATATTGATGATAATATCAGCAGAAAGAGGTAAAACATGGTTCATTAATTCATGAGTGAGGTAATCAAGAATATCATCAACCGGCACCTTTGTAAACAAAGAACAAACGTCAAAACTAATTAACTTGACATCAAGAGTGATTGGAACAATATTCAATTTAACTAATTCAATAGAATTGGTCAAATAAGAAGTGGAAATAGTTGCTAACAATGGGGACAAGATTTTGGTAAGCCATTAAGAGAGCTTTTTTTTTTTTTTTTTTTTTTTTTTTTTTTTTTTTTTTTAACAACGCTGTTTGTCGACCTAATTGCATTTGTGCTGCTTTTTCAGCCATGTTCCCCCCTCTTTTATCTCTATTTTTATTTGTTCTCAACACATTTTATTCTTTATACCCAATTAGTATTAAGCTTTAGTCATTAATGTTTTACCTACCCGAAACACTTTGCGTAATAGTGGCTTTAGGCATTGTATGTACTAGCTCTATCTATAAATCCATCAATCTTTGTAAAATCTCTTGTATGTATGTACCTTACCTAAATAAACATTTATTTAATTTATTTATTTATTTAAATGGATCCCACAGAACTGATGATAAGCCTCATGGGATAGTTAGGCTTATGAGTCTTGAAAGTAGTCTTATCTACTGACTTGTAAAATCTATCCTTTTAAAGATATATTATTAAATACAAAAGTACTTAAGGAAATTCCTGTTTCATTCCTTCCTTCATAATCTGACACCGTCACATTTTTCATCATTGTGTTAATTTTCGGGATTTACACACACACGATCACACTTGAGGTGGGACCAAAGAGCCAGAGCTCAACCCCCGCAAAAACAACTAGGTGAGTACACGGAAAGAGTGATCACGTCCTTTTGGACATTAAATACGATATGCGATATAATCTAGTAGAGAATGGGGACAGTAAAACAGTTGTTAAACTCGATTTCAAGAGAGGATGCTATGGGGAACTTAGACAATTTTTTCTTGGGTATAATTGGATAGACTTGTTGCTAGGCAAGGAAGTAAATGAGATGTATGCCAAATTTTGCACAATATATGATGAAGGCACACAAACATTCATACCAAAACAGACATGCAGACCTAGGAAATAGGGTGCAACAGAAATTGTGAGAAGGCCAGAGATCAAAAGACAAGCATGGAATCATTATAGAAAGGGGCCAAACCCCCAAACATACCAGCGATACAAAGATGCAAGAAACAACTACACGTCAATAAGGAGAGAGGAACTTTGAGAACGGTATAGCAGACAAATGTAAATCAGATCCAGGCCGTTTCTATAATTTCATTAAAAGTAAGCTGCAGGTAAAGGATAATATTCAGAGGTTGAAAATGGGGGACAGATATACGGAAAATGAAAAAGAAATGTGTGAAACATTAAACGAAAAGTTCCAAAGTGTGTTTGTACAAAATGAGATCTTCAGAGAACCAGACACAATAAGAATTCCAGAGAACAACATAGAGCACATAGAAGTGTCTAGAGATGAAGTGAAAACTACGCTAAAGGAACTAAGTAAGAATAAAGCAGTTGGTCCAGATGGAGTTTCACCATGGGTTCTGAGAGAATGTGCACCTGAGCTCAGCATTTCACTTCACCTGATCTTTCAGGCATCCATGTGTACAGGAGTTACAGTCTCCGTGGTGTAGTGGTAAGACACTCGCCTGGCGTTCCGCGAGCGCTATGTCATCGGTTCGTATCCTGGCCGGGGAGGATTTACTGGGCGCAATTCCTTAACTGTAGCCTCTGTTTAACGCAACAGTAAAATATGTACTTGGATGAAAAAACAATTCTTCGCGGCGGGGATCGTATTCCAGGGACCTGCCCGAAACGCTACGCGTACTAGTGGCTGTACAAGAATGTAACAACTCTTGTATATATCTCAAAAAAAAAAAAAAAAAGTTGTAGCAGATGTGTGGAGGCTAACATAGTTCCAATCTACAAAAGTGGCAGCAGGGAAGACCCCCTCAATTATAGACCTGTATCATTGACAAGTGTAATAGTGAAAGTATTAGAAAAACTAATCAAAACTAAATGGATAGAACACCTGGAGAGAAATTATATTATATCAGACAGACAGTATGGTTTTCGATCTGGAAGATACTGTGTTTCGAATTTACTCAGTTACTATGATCGAGCCACAGAGATATTACAGGAAAGAGATGGATGGGTTGACTGCATCTATCTAGACCTAAAAAAGGCTTTCGACAGAGTTCCACATAAGAGGTTGTTCTGGAAACTGGAAAATATTGGAGGGGTGACTAAACTAAAAAAAATTAAACTAAAAAAGACTAAACTAAAATAGTGTCAACAGAAGTTTCAACTTTGGTGAAGTTAACCTCTGCTTAATCACTGTACAGTAGTTCTTCAATTCTGAACATTTACCTTACCTAACTTAACCCTAAAATTACTGTACATGTGCTTGACAAGGGCAGCTTTGACTGCCAGCTGCTGAGACTTTGCTGGCCCCATTTAGATTACTGGGCCTTGTAGGTCCAATAGGCTGCCTTATATATAGGAAGCAGCTCCTATATATAACCACCCAATCCCACTCATATACATGTCCAACCCACGTTTGAAACAATCGAGGGAGTCCACCTCCACATTACGAGGTAATTGGTTCCACAAATCAGCAACCCTGTTACCGAACCAGTATTTACCCAGGTCTTTCCTAAATCTAAATTTATCCAATTTATACCCATTGTTTCGTGTTCTGTCTTGTGGGTTGATACTTTTAATACCCTATTCATATCCACTTTGTTTTATCCATTCATCCACTTGTAAAACTCTATCATGTCACCCCTAATTCTTCGCTTTTCCAGTGAATGCAATTTAAGCTTTGTTAATCTCTCTTCATATGACAGGTTTCTAATTTGGGGAATTAACTTTGTCATCCTTCGCTGGACACGTTCAAGTAAATTTATATCCATTCTATAATATGGCGACCAAAACTGAACAGCATAATCCAAGTGGGGCCTAACCAGAGCAAGATATAGCTGAAGAACAACACGCAACCTCAGAATACTGAAAAGAATTACCGAACAAAAAGTTGTACCACTTACGGGCTACTCATGCCCGTGCCACCTCTTGAGTGGCTTAATCTTTATCAATGAATCAATCTGAACTCCACAATTCATTTAATTAAGCAAGTTGCAATCTTGATGAGCTAGTTACAATATACAATACACATCGTCACATCATGAATGGGTTCGAGGTCAACCACAAGCACAGTTTCTAAATTAAGCAACTGACATATGTGGAGAGCTAGTGTCATAATGGTTCTATAACACATACAAATTCACAAATGTCGGAGTGTAAACTACATGTAAGGTTGTTGTCGGAGTGTAAACTACATGTAAGGTTAAAACTACAGTTTTTGTATGCAAGGTTGTTTTCAGAGTGTAAACTACATGTAAGGTTGTTTTCGGAGTGTAAACTACATGTAAGGTTGTTGTCGGAGTGTAAGCGACTTGAATGGTTGTTGTCGGAGTGTAAGCGACCTGAACGGTTGTTGTGAGAGTGTAAGCGACCTGCAGGTATCAACACACGCCATGGCACCACAAGCAGAGTTACAGCAGGAGCTCATCCTTCAGGCACTCGTGCTGGCTGACCTCTCCCAAGATTATCAACATCTACTCCTCCAAGATGTTCCAAAGGTCTACACCCGGCATAAATTGGTCACTTTACTTTATTATTATGTAGTAATATGTTTGAAAACCGTGTCCATATTTTGGTTTTGCTTTTGTAATAATATAGGATAATTTAGTTTTAACCTTTGCGAGTAAAAAATATAGATGTTGACCACCTCCTTACCAACATTTTATATAATTAGTTACCGTGGTCTGAGCTCACCTTTTATACTGTAGGAAATGGAGATAGTGGTATTGCAGTTTTGGTATATAAATGGTAGATTTTGTTTTACACTGGTGGTGAAGTGATGTATAGTGACATACTTGTAAGAGATGTGACCCACTTCACTCAAAGGGCAACAAGTTCTCCACACAATCACAATCTCCTCTACAGGTGGAAATTGAGTACCCAAATGAGCCACAGAGACATTAGAAAGAATATTTTCAGTGTCAGAGTAGTTAACAAATTGAATGCTTTAGGCAGTGATGTGGTGGAGGCTGACTCCATACACAGTTTCAAATATAGAGTTGATAGAGCCCAATAGGCTCAGGAATCTGTACACCAGACCAGATGTAATGGTTGAGCGTCCACGGCCTGGCAGTCCGGAGTTCCAACCATGAAGGAATGAATGCTTCTTTTCACGACTTTTGTTAGACCAAAGCTAGAATATGCAGCGGTTGTGTGGTGCCCATATCTTAAGAAGCACATCAACAAACTGGAAAAGGTGCAAAGACATGCTACTAAGTGGCTCCCAGAACTGAAGGGCAAGAGCTACGAGGAGAGGTTAGAGGCATTAAATATGCCAAAACTAGAAGACAGAAGAAAAAGAGGTGATATGATCACTACATACAAAATAGTAACAGGAATTGATAAAATCGATAGGGAAGATTTCCTGAGACCTGGCACTTCAAGAACAAGAGGTCATAGATATAACTAGCTAAACACAGATGCCGAAGAAATATAAGAAAATTCACTTTCGCAAATAGAGTGGTAGACGGTTGGAACAAGTTAGGTGAGAAGGTGGTGGAGGCCAAGACCGTCAGTAGTTTCAAAGCGTTATATGACAAAGAGTGCTGGGAAGACGGGACACCACGAGCGTAGCTCTCATCCTGTAACTACACTTAGGTAATTACACTTAGGTAATTACCAGTTGACTGACTGACTGAGAGGCAGAACCAAAGAGCCAGAACTCCTCCCCTGCAAGCATAACTAGGCGAGTACAACTAGGTGAGTACAATTGTCGGTATTCACCTGAACATGGTGATGTCAAGTACTTGCCTAGTTGTATTTACCTAGTTGTGCGTGTGCAGGTTGAGTTTCAGCTCTTTGGTCCTGCCTCATAACTGTCAATCAACTGGAGTACAGGTTCCTGAGTTTATTGGGCTCTATCATCCCGGTAATACAGTAGTCGGATTCGTTCTCGACGCACAATCGAGAATTCCGAGTTCGTATCCCGGGCAGGACAGAAATGGTTGGACACATTTCCTTTCACCTAATGCCTCTATTCACCTAGAAGTGAGTAGATACTCAGGTGTTAGTCACCTTGTTGTAGGGTTGCATCCTGGGTGAGGTCAGTAATTCGGCTTGGGGGTGGGGGAAACCTTGATATAAGTCTACTGTGTGACCACTCTGGCTTCCTGTTCCCCGACACAATGAATTATTATAATTATTATCATACCTACATATGAAACTGTGTATGGAGTCTGCCTCCACCACATCACTGCCTAATGTAGTAGTAATAATAATAATAATAATAATAATTTATTTAGGAACAGTACATACATAGTTGCAGCATTACAGTACAAACATTCTGTTAGATTTAAAGATAGAGGTAGTACATACAATACCTAAAGCCACTAGTACGCATAGCATTTCAGGCAAGGTGAGGTGGGGAAAAAAACACTTAGACTAAAACTTAATAGTAATTGAGCTTAAAGTATAAATTGTGTTGAATGAAAAAAAAATAATAAAAGATAAAAAAAGGGGGAATATGGTAGAAAATAGCCAGTATACAAGTTGGTCAATAAACAGCATTTTTTCTGGGGGGAGCCCCGTCGGCTCCCCGGAGCTTTACCGGCTGATATGCTAATGTCAGACTTTGGCATCAGTCATGTGTATGGAGTTCTAGGGCCTACCGGGGACCACGAGCCAGAACCTGGCCCCCTCAGAGAGGCAAGGGGAGCAATGGCCTATAGTAACCCCCGTGTGGTTGGAAGCATTCTATGTCTGCCATCGACCGGGTCAAGCATCCAGAAAGGTAAGCATTCCAAAACAAACCACTATTCTGGTGAAAATTGCTACCTAAAGCCGAACTAGTGGATAGAACTCTTCAACAGAAAACAAGGAAACTAGTATGACGTCATACGTCACCGCGCCGCTGTCTGCGCAGCTCCCCCATCCCCGGGAGGGGGAAGGGGGAGCCTCAGACCTCCCACGCCGGCTATCCACCCATCAGTTCTTCGGCTGATGCTATAGGCAATGGTTATGTGCTCCGGCTCCAGTGGTTGTTTCAGCACTGTACCTAGAGTGTGGTGTCTGTTTTCTAGGTGTTGCTTCTGCACCGTTAGTCAGCTGTCTTGTGCGTCGTTTCACCTCCGGCCTGTTCGTGTGCCGCTTGCACCATCCTGGTCTCTGGTCAGCGTGCTCTGTCTTCTCCTCGGTTGGTAGTGCCCCTTCGGTTCCGGTGTGTTTTTTCGTCGGCTCTTTCCTTTGGGCCTTTGCCTCTGGGGGTCGAGTCGCTGAGTTTTCTTGCTCCTTCGGTTTTAGCGTTTTGGTTGTTTGGTGGCAGCAGTCTCCATCTTTTCTGGCGCGGGGTGGGGCTGCTGCATTCTGGAGGGGTCCAGGGTTTGTTGGTGCTTCGTTGGTCGGGCCGGGGGTGTGTCGTTTTTGTGTTCAGTGGCGGCCCTCCGCTGTTGTTTGCGTGCCACGGCGTTTGGGTCCGGAGCGCGTTTTGCGTTGATCCGGTTCTGTTCTTCCCGGTTCGCGGGTGATAGTGTCCCGGGTGGTCAGCCGTGTTCTTGCGGCTAAGCTGCCTGTGTTCTTCCCTCATGCCTGTGGCGTTCGTGGCTTCGCTGCTCTCGCTGCCGTCTGGGCGACGTGGCCTTGCGGTCTTTCGGGCATGGATTTTTGGTGTTCGTGCAGGGGCCTTGCTGCTCGTGGTTCTCGTGTTGTTCCCGGGATTTTCGGGGCTGTGGCGCCTTGGGTTGGCGTTTGCTACCGGTTGTCTCGCCTCCTTGGGGGGTGCGTGGTGTCCGCCTCCCGGTTCTGTCCCTTTGACCTTCCTCTGTGGGTAGTTAGCTCCGGGGAGCCGACGGGGCTCCCCCCAGAAAACCAGCGTTGAATGTAATGAAACGCCATTTTCTGGGTGAGACCCGGAGGCTCCCCGGCAACCCTCCCTCCCTCCGGTCGGCGTTTTTCGCGTGTTTTGACATCCAGCCTCAGAACTGATGGGTGGATAGCCGGCGTGGGAGGTCTGGGGCTCCCCCTTCCCCCTCCCGGGGAGGGGGGAGCTGCGCAGACAGCGGCGCGGTGACGTATGACGTCATACTAGTTTCCTTGTTTTCTGTTGAAGAGTTCTATCCACTAGTTCGGCTTTAGGTAGCAATTTTCACCAGAATAGTGGTTTGTTTTGGAATGCTTACCTTTCTGGATGCTTGACCCGGTCGATGGCAGACATAGAATGCTTCCAACCACACGGGGATTTCTATAGGCCATTGCTCCCCTTGCCTCTCTGAGGGGGCCAGGTTCTGGCTCGTGGTCCCCGGTAGGCCCTAGAACTCCATACACATGACTGATGCCAAAGTCTGACATTAGCATATCAGCCGGTAAAGCTCCGGGGAGCCTCCGGGTCTCGCCCAGAAAATGGCGTTTCATTACATTCAACGCTGGTTTTTTTTTTAAATAGTAAGACATGGGTTGACATTTAATAATAATAATAATAATAATAATTTTTATAATAATAATAATAATAATAATTATAATTTTTATTTAGGCAAAGGTACATACATAAAGAGATTTTACAAAGTTTGATGGCTTTATAGATAAGAGCTAGTACATACAATGCCTAAAGCCACTATTACGCAAAGCGTTTCGGGCAGTTTTCTGAATTTATTTAGTAATTTATTTAAAATTTAATTTAGAATTTAGAAGTAAGGTAGGTTACAAGGAGTTAATTAGGTAGTACTTAGTTTTCATCTTAAACTGGTTGAAAGAGGTACAATCTTTGACATAATTGGGAAGGTCATACCACATTCTGGGTCCCTTGATTTGTAGAACATTGCTAGTTTGATTAAGTCTAACTCTTGGAATATCAAATAGGTATTTGTTTCTGGTGTGGTGCACATGAGTTCTGTTACAACCTTCTAGGAAGCGTTGGAGGTCACGATTGACATTACAATTCAGAGTTTTAAATATATAGAGTATAGAGTAAATGTATTCCATTTGTTAACTATGACACTGAACAAATTCTTTCTAATGTCTGTGGCTCATCTAGGCACTCAATTTCTACTTATGTCCCCTTTTTAGTGTTCCTCCCGTGTTAAATATTTTGTCTTTGTCTACCCTATCAATTCCTCTGAGAATTTTGTAGGTGGTGATCATGTCTCCCCTAACACTTTTGTCTTCCAGGGCCATGAGGTCTTCTCATAGTCTTTCAATGTATGTATATACAAACAGTGTATATATGGACGGTGTTTGATGTATACAAACCCCAATGTAGGCTTGGGAACAGGAGATGCTTTTTCACCCACAGGGTTAAAAACCCATGAAACCGCCGGCCGGCCGAAGACGTAAATGCCAAAAATGTGTTAGGTTTCAAAATCTACCTGGAAAAGATCATCAAATTGAATGAGGTGACCTTCGACAAACCAACGGGTTCCTGTCCTTGTTAAGGCCACTAGTGTTAGTGCTCCTCAGATAAAATTGGGTAAATCAGGTATATTAACCCCCAGATCTTTTGCTCTACTTGACTTTTGAAGTATTGAAAATGCCTTTTGGCATTTACCTCCCAGATGATACCTTGTGTTCGGCCTTCTGCTCCCTTCACCTAATTTCATTACTTTACACTTACCCGAGTTATACTTTAGTAGCCATTTTCTAGACCATTCCTCCAATTCATCCTGGTCATCTTGTAGTCTCTGTCTATCTTTTTCTGTCTTGATTCTTCTCATAATTTTTGTATCATCAGCAAACTTTGAGAGGAATGAGTCGACTCTATACCCTCTGGAAGATCACTTCCATCAGAACCAGGATCGGTCCAAGTACAAAGTCCTGTGGGGGACTGCTGGTGACATCTCACCACTCTGAATGCTCCTTCCCTCAAAGTTACTTGCTGTTTTCTGTTGCTTAGATACTCTCTTATCCATTGAGGTGCCTTGGCTTTTATTCTTGCCTGTTCCTATAACTTCTGTAACAGCCTCTTGTGGGGTTGTGTGTCAAAGGCTTTCTGACAGTCTAAGAAAATGCAGTCTGCCCACCCTTCTCTTTCTTGCCTAATTTTTGTTGCCTGGTCATAAAAATTCTATTAGACCTGTGAGATACAATTTACCATCCCTGAACCCATACTGGTGGTGTTACAAAGCTCCTTCTTTCCAGATGTTCTACAAGCTTTTTCCTCACAATCTTTTTCCATCATCTTGCACGATATACAAGTTAGGGAAACTGGCCTATAGTTCGATGCTTCTTGCCTATCACCCTTTTTGTGCACTGGGACCACATTAGCTGTCTTCCAGCTTTCCAGTAGGTCTCCTGTTTGCAGTGACCTGTTATACACTATAAAGAGTGGCACACTGAGTACATTTTACACCCTCTTTTAGTATCCATGGTGAGATTCTGTTGGGTCTAACAGCTTTTGTCACATTCAGGTCCAACAGATTTCTTTTAACCTCATCACTGGTAAGCTCAGATTCCTCCAAGGTTACTTGGTTACTGTCTTCTCTCTCAGTACAGGGACTTCTCCTCTTTCTCTATTGTGAAGACCTCCAAGAGTCTCGTGTCGAGTGCTTCACACACCTTGTCATTCTTTAATCTAGTCTCTCCTTTTTGTCAGTTTCATCACTTGTTCCTTCACTGCTGTTTTCCTCCTGATATGGCTGTGGAGCATTTTGGTTGGGTCTTGGCTTGTGATGTCATTTTCAAACTGTCTCTCTGCTTCTCTCCTCACTCTGAGGTATTCATTCCTGGCCCTCTGGTATCTCCCTCTGTTCTCTGGTGTTCTATTATTTCTGTAGTTTTTCCATGTTCTTGAACTTAATTGCTTTGCTTTCTTACATGCCTGATTGAACCATCGATTCATCTGTTGCTTTTAATTTTTCTCCTTTTGGGTTGGGATAAACTTGTCTGCAGTTTCCTGCCACTTCTGGATTAAGGCCATCATATCTTGTACAGCCTTTTCTCTGAGTTCTGTTTCCCATGGTATTTCCATTAAGAAGTTCCTTGTTTCATTATAGTTTCAACTTCGGTAAGCCAGCCTTTTCCTTTCTGATCCCTTCCTTGGATAGGTTATCTCTATTTCCATCACATGCTCAAATGTTAGTACTGTATGCTGTGGTCACTCATTCCCATGGGAGCTTCTAATTTGATGAATCTAATGTAATTTGATTAATTATCATAATTCCTGTTATTTAGTCTCTGATTCCTTCACAGCCTAGGATACCCATCTCTTCGAAACTCCAGTCTTCTTTATTAGCAGGGGCCTCCTCTTCCGTTTCTCTTTCCTGCTATATAGTAGTCCTGCAGAAACACTGCATTTGTTATGATGCCTGACAATCTTGTTTCTGTGAGTGCTATTATATCTGGGTTTTCTTGTGTCCTTTCATCCAGCTCATTTGCTTTACTGTACTTTTAATCCCATCGATGTTTGAGTACACTAGTTTGAAGCTCACTTTCCTATGTCCATTATCACACACACACTCCCCACTGGTATAGTAGGCTGTTCCATGTGCAAGGCTTTTTGGTTAGGTTTGTACTCCTGTGGGGTAGGTACCAGGAGTTTAGAGGGAGGTGGGGTGGGGGATGGAGAGCTTAAATCATGCTTAGGCCTGCAAGGGGCAGGAGAAAGGCCAAGGTATGGGGAAGCAGGGGGGTGCTTAGGGTGAGGGGGGGAGGGAGGATTTAGGTGGCATGGTAGACATTGTATAGGGGGGGAAGGGAGGGTTTGGGCTTGGGGGGGGGCTCCTATGGGGTGGCAGGTGGGGGTGTTGCAGTTCTTTCTGGGGTTTCTGAATTGCTGACTGTGGTTTCCTCACTCCCTCTCTGGGATTGTTTGGTTGGAGACTGTGGTTCCCTTCCCTCTCCCTCTACCTCTTTCTTACATCAGCTGCCTCGATAATCTTGTCCCTGGTCGTGTCCCTCTGAAGGAATACCTTTGTATTTAATTACATTTTGTAGTTGTATTTCCATTACAATGTATTACATTCTTCTTTACTAGATTGTCCTCTTTGGTGGCCTCGTTCCTAACTACCCCCTTTATCAATTGATTTTTGCATTTAATGTACTGGACAAGCCAGAATACCTTCTCTAGGCATTGTTCAGCCCCATCCATTTGTATCCCCGTCAGGATCTCTAACACTGCAGCTTTGTCCTTAGCCCTACACTCTTCTTGACTGGAACCTTACTGTTCCCTAATACTTGCCATGACTGGGTGGTAGGTAGGTACGAGGGTGGGAGGTGTTTGTGTTGTGGACTGGACTTAATAAATATATAAATCTTGTTTTTTGGAAAGTTTTACATGTTGTAGTTGTATAGCATTTGATGAATCATTAATAAAGTTAGTGGCAGAGGAAGTGATATCTTAGCCAGTGTATTATGGTGGTTCTGATTACTTTATTAAGACAAAAATTTTGCACTGCAGGAATTGGTTCCTCTTGTTAACACACCATTGCTTGAATATACATTGGACTGGCTTGAGCGTAGTGGTGTCAATGAAGCCATTGTTTACTGCCGGGCTCAACCCCATGCTGATAAGATTCGTCAGCATTGCCGGTAAGTGTTGGAATCACATTTGTTAAATGGCATCCTATACTATTCATGGCTTCATGAATGTGAAGTGTCAGATGCAGATAAGTGCTATTCAAACTGCCATGGGCAGTCACTTTAAATTAGGTAAAAATAAGTACCTGGTAAAAATATTTTATCTTGTTCTTCTTAACACTTTGCTGCTCTAGATGAATTGGGCATAAATGCGTACACAAAGTACTGAACAAGTGTGTACCATTTATTTATTTATTTATTTTATTTATTTATTTATTTATTTATTTATTTATTTATTTATTTATTTAGAGAGAGACAGAGAGAGTGTGAGAGAAAGAGAGCGAGCGTGAGAGAGCGAGAGAGAGAGAGACTGAGAGAAAGAGAGAGTGAGAGAGTGAGCCACTCAAGTGGCATGTGTTTGCAGCTTTTCCAGTTTGTTGATGTGCTTCTTAACACTTTCGCGCTCTCCGCAAAGGTCACTCAGCCAACCGAATGTGCGCGCTGCGTTTTTATCGCTTAAGCGTAAAAACAAAAATGTGTATACTCTTTTTACTCTTCTGACCTTAGTTCTCATGCTACGTATTTCATTTTGGTACCAACGTGTTCGCAATAAAATTCTCTAGAAGAACATCAGTAAAATAAGTCACGAAACATATAGGGATACCAGCACCAAATAAATAACTACGTAGATGACTCGCCGTGAGCGCCCATCAGCAACAAAATGTTTTTACTCTTGGGATTGTAATCACCTCCACACTTGTTCTACAGCGTTAATTTTGGTATCAATGGACTCGCAATGAAATTCCCAACACGGTGATATGAATATAAGCGTAGAATAATGATGCAGCTCGCCCGCAAGAGTGTGGGAAGTGGTGAAATTGTTACCCGGTATCGGTGACGGGACGACGCACGGCGCTTTGAAAGTTTATACTTATTTCACATGACATTAATTTTCTATGTACGTCATTCATTTTTATGTCAATGTGTTCGCAATAGAATGTTCTATGTGCCCATAGGTAAAAAATATCAACAAAGCGTAAGTTAGAATAGCGACAAATATAAAACAACGCTGGAACATATCAGTGAGCGTCAAACACACACGAAATATTTTTACTTTTGTTATGTTTGTCAAGTTTATACTTGTTGCACACAGTTATTTTTGGTTGTATATTGATCGGAATAAAATTCCCTAAACAGACATATGCATATAATACATGATATGGGGGAAGAATTACCAGTATAAACGGCTAAAGTCACCCACCTGCAACCCGTTTGGGACAAAATACCATTTGATCGAAGTTATCCACACCTTTCATGAACTTATTGTACCATGCAGCCTAGTGGTGAGAAAGGGAGCCTCATAGCGCGCAGTTTGAAACAAACCCAAAGTAAATCGGATAAAAATTGAATTTTATACAAATATTTTAAAAGTAGACATAACTTTATGTCCACTATGCGTTTACGTTAGACGAAACCGAACGCGCCGGCGCGTCCAGATAGCACGAAAGTGTTAAGATATGGGCACCACACAACCACTGCATATTCTAATTTTGGTCTAACAAAAGGTTTGAACAATTTCTTTAGTATTTCTCCATCCATGTATTTAAAAGCAATTCTGAATTTAGAAAGTGTAGCATAGGCTTCTCGCACAGTGTTCTTAATGTGGTCTTCAGCTAACAGTTTTTTTTATCTAGAACCACCCTAGATCCCTTTCTTTATCAGAATTCTTTAAGGAATTCTCACATAATTTATAGGTTGTGTGGGGTCTATGTTCTCCTATTCCACATTCCATAACATGGCATTTATTCACATTAAATTCCATTTGCCAAGTGGTGCTCCATATACTTATTTTGTCCAGGTCTTCTTGAAGGGCATGACAATCATCTAAGTTTCTTATCCTTCCTATTATCTTAGCATCATCAGCAAACATGTTCATATAATTCTGTATTCCATCTGGTAGATCGTTTATGTAGACGATGAACATTACCGATGCAAGAATTGAACCCTGTGGTATTCCACTTGTGACATTTCTCCAGTCCGATACATTGCCTCTGATTACTGCCCTCATTTTTTTGTCAGTTAGAAAATTTTTCTTCTATGTTAGAAGCTTGCCTGTTACCCCTCCTATATGTTCCAGTGTCCAGAACAATCTCTTAGGCGGAACTCTGTCGAAAGCCTTTTTTAGTGTGACCGTGGAGTGATGTTCATAAATAAAATGAGATCAACTGGAGTAATGGGTAAAGTGGAGCATTGCATTTTCAATTTTCCGTCAGACAGAATGCAAAGCGTAACAGTCAGTTAAAGAAGATGAAGTCCAAGTGTAGTTAAAAGCTCTGTACCGCAGGGCACAGTCCTTTTCTCATTCTTTGCACTTTCTCATTCTTGTCTCAGATATAGACAAAAAAATACTAGTCACAGCTTTGTGTCATTCTTTGCCGATTCAAAAATCAGCATGAAAATTTCCTCAGTAGAAGACTGAAAAACTACAAGCCGACATTAATAAAGTCTTCAACTGGGTGGCGGAAAATAACATTATGTTTAATAGTGATAAGTTCCAGATACTTAGGTATGGCAGAAATGAGGAACCTAAATAAAACACAGGGTTACAAGACATGGTCAGACTTAATCATACAAGGAAAACAACTTGTAAAAGATCTGGGAATTATGATGCTTAACGACCTGACATGTTGATGAACTTAACCGAGCAAATATAGTGGCAGCCAGGAAAATGATATGATGGATTATGAGAACTTTCAAATACAGGGATCCCACAGTAATGCTAATACCATTTAAATCGTTGGTGCTATCCTGTATTGCTTGGTACTCACTGCCCCTTTCAGAGAAGGAGAGATTTCTGAAATTCAGGGAATACAGAGAACCTATACAGTACACACAGACACAATAAACCACCTAAATTACTGGGACCATCTCAAAGCTCACAAGATGTACTCTCTGGAAAGGAGGCGAGAGAGGTATCAAATAATATGTACATGGAAGATGCTGGAAGGCCAGGTCCCAAGTTTGCACAGTAGAATAACAATACTGTATACTGGAGCAAAAGACACTGAAGGAAATGTAAAATAGAACCAGTGAAAAGTAGAGGTGCCATAGGCACAATCAGATAGCACTGTCTGAACATCAGAGGTTCACAGCTGTTCAATACTCTCCCAGCAAGCATTAGAAATATTGCCAGAACAAAGGTGGACTTTTTCAATAAATAATTAGATAAGTTCTTGCAAGAACTGCCGGACCAACTAGGCTGTAGTGGATATGTGGGCCTACGGGCAGCTTCAAATAACAGCCTTAAGGACCGAGTTATCACAAGTTTAGCCTGGCTCCAGGCCGGGCTCGAGGAGTAGAAGAACTCTCAAAACCCACTCCAGATAAAATCTCCAGGTAGGGCTCGTTTCAGAGTGCCTTTCGGCGGTTCGGTTTCATCCTTCCAGAGGTTTCCTTCCTCCCGAGTTCCCCGGTGGTGGCTCAGTAGGCCCTATGTACGTACCTCCTGCACAACCTAGTTTACTCCTTGGTTATGGACCCGGCTTCCTTCGAGTTTGGTTCTTCCTCCTCTTGGGTGCATTACAAGGTTCTGGGGTTGTCCTGGCTGACAGGACAACCCCAACTCTTTTGTTTTCACTCGGGGCTTGGCACAATTTCATTGTATTCTCGTGCTTGAATGGTGGAAGGTGTCTACTGTGTTGCAGGTGTTCTAGAGTGTTCTGTTGAGTCCTTCATTGCATGCCTCTTCACTGCTGCCTCTCCCATGATGTGGGTCATTGCAGCTGCATGCTTAGGTTTCCCTGGTATCATCTGTTTTGATTGCTGACAACCTTTGTGCCCACTTACACTTGGTTTCTGTCATGCATTTCTTGAGCTTCCTAGACTTTCTTCTGCTTGGTTCTCAGAGGACGTGGAGGTGCTTGGTGAGGTTCCTCTTGCGGAGGGTTTTGGTCTCTGCTGTTTCTACGTCATCGCCCGTCCTTATGCTGTTTGCTCTGATCCACTGGGAGGCAGTCTCCTTGTTTTCACTTCCCATCTTACGTGTTGGTGAGCCGTGCTGGCCCAGTCTTTATACTAGGCGTGGGCCTTGGCTCTCGCTTCTGCTTCTCCCTTTCTTTGCTTTTGTTTCCTGAGGAAGTGGTTTCTCATTTTTTTTTTTGGCTACGGTCACTGATTGTCGGCCTGTGGTGGCCTTGGTGTGTTTTCAGAGTGGTGGTTCTCGCCTTCCCCGGTGGTTTGGTTGAGCTTTTATATTAATTTCTGAGACTATGGCTAATGTAACCATAATCATACCTCTCCTAAATACACTGGACTGTAACTATACCTCATCTTTCTGATTATCTATGTGGCTTTTATGAAAATATGTGATTATCAGGCATAATACATCCAACCTTTATACTGTATTTTGAATACCCTTGCCAGTTCATTCAATTTATCATACTTTCTCAACACATGAATTTCAAGAACTTGTGCTGGACATGCTCTCCACAAGTACTTCTGCCCTAGTGTCTTGCCACCCACAGGATTCTCAACCAAAATCACTCTGGATTGTTAAGGAATTTTGCTTCATATTAAATTTCCATTACTGTAGTTTGTTTATAGTGATGTATATTATATCAATATAATATACATAATTATATTATTATAATTTACTTAATAAACATAAAATATACTGTATGTAAGAAAATGGGGGTGGTAGAAGAAAATATTAGAGTGTTCAGGAAGAATTTACAAGGCCTTCTCTGAATACCATTTATTCTTTTCTCCAAGGCTATGGGTCTCTACAATTGCACCAGAAGTGGTACCCCTACATTTTGATAATTATATCAATATTATATATATGTAATTATATCAATATGTATAATATATACATACTGTACATTGGTAGGGCTTTTTCAACGCGCCGTGGGGACTGTGGATTGAAAACGTGTGTGGTTTCTTCTGAAGACTGCCAGTCAATGGGCGATGCCATGAGGGATTTATATGCAAAATCTCTCCTGAATGATGACTTCTTCCTCGTACAAGGAGATCTAATTGCAACTATTGATCTCAAAACACTAATGACAAAACACAAGTGAGTTATATGGTTTTTTGTTTCAAGGAAGCTTAATTCTTTACATCCTAAATGCTGGCAGGTATTGGTGCCCCTTTTCCAGAGAGTTTAATACACTTAGGATAAATTTGCTGGTCACTAAGTGGTTGCCAGTTTCCGGACATCCAACACTAGATCAAAATATGCACTGGTGCAGGTGCTACATGAACAAAGTCAAATAAACATGCTCCAAGAACACATTGAAACATGAAATGTATATAATAAAAAACTGTTAGAATAAATATTGTAATGTTATTTTTTTCACGGTTATATGAATGATTCCAAGAATAAATTTTATCGTAAAATTTTGGGGGTGTATAATGTGTAATGTAATTTATTGATTTTTTTTATTTCATACAAATGTACGACCCTTATACTGTAGGTTGTCCCCTGGAATAGACACCTAAAAAGTGCTCTATGGGTAATTAAGGTTGTTCAGAGATTGGTACTGAAATCGTCCCCCATTTCTGATCTCCAAGACATCAGATTCAATTACAGTACAACCTTGATTCGGCATATCTCTGGCTAGGTCGCACACTTTTCAGGCCGGATTTACTCGCCCGTTTCGACGAACTCTGGTTCGGCGAAGCGGAAGATGTGCATATTTGCTTATGATGTTGGCACATAGTTCACAGACTGGTGGAAAACTTTCCCATTACTGTACCTGTATATCACAAGTTACAATTAATAATTCTTTCATATGACAAGTTGGATCACACAAGTGGCCAAGTGGATCACACAAGTGGCCAAGTGGATCACACAAGTGGCCAAGTGAACCATACTGTATTAACCAAACACCAGCCAGGCTGGTCTACATAAGTGAACGACTAAATTTCCATGATTTTCGTTCACTGACTTATGTCACACATCTATCTTTGTAAATTAATTTAAAGGCTGAAGCATGAATAGCTAGCTACATGTGGTGAAATCTCCTTATAGACATTTTCTGTGATAAAACAACATAAGTGAGGGGTGGACAGATATAGGGTATACTGTACTGTAAACCTCACTTGGTTTTCCTTCGATGTGTCGTCGTAGTTCAGTGACCCATGACTGAAAGTTTCAGATTAATAAATCTTTTCTAAAACTGGTGTTTTAATAGATTTGTATTATCCTAATTATATTTCTGAACTAAATATAAAACAAAACATATACTATAATATGATAGACATCTGCTATAGTATTTGATAAATTATTTACGATATAGGCTCTAACTTTCAAAACGACTCGAGCGCGGGTGGACTGGTCTATTCCCTGTACACACAGCACCATGTGCTTTTCGTTTGAAATTCTTTACTGCAGTTCAGTGACCTATGGCCTCGAAATAATAAAAATTAATAAATCATTTCTAAAATGAGTATTTCTGTGGAGAGCCCCCTTCAGCTCTCTGGAGCTATACTGGGCTGATGTGTATATATTAGACTGTGGCAATAGTCAGTCGATGGAGTTCTAGGTCTACCGGGGACCAGCGCCAGAATCTGGGGCTCCTCAGAGAGGCATGAGGAGCAATGGCCTACAGAGACCCCCATGTAGTTGGAAGCAGTCTTTGTCTGCCATCTACCAGGTCAAGCACCCAGAAAGGTAAGAGTCCCAAAACAAACTACAGCTGGTAAAAAAAATTGCTAACCGAAAGCCGAACGAGTAAACAGAACTCCCCAATCAGAAAACAAGCAAACAAGCATGACGTCACCACAGCTGCCATGCTGCTGTCCGAGCAATTCCCCCCTCCCCGAGAGGGGATAGGGAGGGTCCCAGATCTCCCGTGCTGGCTACCCATCCCCAATCAGTGGCTGTTGTGTTTAGTGGCGGTTGATTGACTGTGGCTCCATTCTTTTGAGCAGTGCTGACTATAGCAGTGTTGTTTTACTGTGTGATGGTGTGTGAGCCAGGAGTAACACTAGAATACTGGGGCTGCATGTGCCTAGGGTCATCTTCCCTAGGTGCTCTCTAAGTACTGCCCTTGTGGTTTAGGGTTATCTTCCATAGGCCATTTGGGAGTCTACCTCTAGGCTGGGGTTTTTACTGCTCGGTGATTGCCTGCTCTTGGGGTCAGTTGGGGTTCTTACTCATGTTTAACCTTGGGTAGGAGGTAGTATCGTCGCTGGCTGCATGTTACTTTGAAGCTGTCTGATATATTCCCCTGAGGACATTGTGTTTTTGTGCAATTTCTCTTTTTCTTTTCTTTTTTGCCTGGTGGGGGTCTGCCTGGTGTGGCTGTAGGACTACTTGTATGATTTTGGTGGCTCCCCGCTAGGTCCCCGTGATTGCACACGTTGCAGGGGTTCAGCGTAGTTTGTTTGCTTGGTAGCTCTGGGATAACCGGTTAGCAGTACCTTGCCTGGGCTTCCCTTAGCAGTCAGCCTAAGGGCCCTGGAAACCCTCTTTGGGGCTCATTGGTCAGTTTGAGGAGACCTCAGAGTCCCACCTCACTTTGTGCGAGTTTGAAGGTTTGAAGGTTGTCTCCTTGTCTCAGGGTGACATTCACCGTCTTAGCCTCTGCCATGCTGCCTGTTGGGTTGATGACACCTTTGACCCCAGAGTCTTGTGAGTAGTGGTCTTTGCGTGTACTCCAGTTCACCCAGTCCGGTAATACTGTTGATCGGGTGCAGGCAGCATCTTCGTTACATGCGCGATTTAGGTTGCTGCAATGCTCTAGGTTAATTACCTCTCCGGATGCCCTGTGGCTGCCTCGCTTTGGTTATAGGGACCTGGACTTTGGGGTGTTAGTCGCTTTGACTCTAGTTTTGTCCTCGTCTCCTTGTTTTTCCCCTGCTGTGGTTCATCCTGCTCCCCCTTCCCCCTCCCCTGCTCCTGGCTCCCAAATGTCTGAGGATTTCGGAGTTGGGGCAGGGGTTTCTTGGTTGTGAGATTTGGGTGGTTTTGGGGACTGCCCCTTCTGGATCGGCGGAGGAGGCATTCGAGTCTGTTCCTCCTGCCAGGGCATTTGATTCGCGCCAGCGGGCCCTCTTCATCCCTGCTTTTCCAGTGGACTCTCCCTTTTCTCCAGAGGTAGAGGGTTTGGAGGACGGCTCGGCTCTGGGTCCTAACGTGGAGGATCCTGGGACTGGGGAGGAGTTTACTTGGGGGGCTTGGGGCCCATTTGACCCTGAATGGGTGTTGGAACCCCTCAACTCGGGGCTTGTTGTTACGGGGGAGGGATTTTACTATCTCCCCCCCCCCCCCCCCCCCCCCCCCTTGTACGAGTTTGATGTGGGTCCGACTCCTTCCCGGGTTCAGTAACGGGTTCCCTTGGGTTCCTCGGTTTTCCCCTTCCGGAGGTTTTTGGCTTCCCGCATCCTGCCGAGGGAGGTGCGGGAGGCCCTTGTGGCTTACCTCTTGTGAGACCCAGATTACGCCTCGATAATGGATCCTTCTTTTGAGTTTGGCTCCTCTTTTCCTTACTGGGTGCATTACTAGGTGCCAGAGTCTTCCTGGCTGGCAGACTGGTCTTTCTCTTAATTGGGGGCTTGGCATACATTCTGTCGGACTCGCACGCTTGAATAGCGGGAGTTGACTACGGTCGTTCAGGCTAACCTGAGGACGAGTTTGAGCACCTCAATGCGTGCTTGTTCCCCCCTGTGCTTCCTTGTGATATCGGCCAAGTGCAGCTTCACGTGCAGGTTTCCTCCCATTCGGCGTCCCTGGTGGCCGAGAATGTGTGCGCCCATGGGTATTTGGCTTTGGGCTTGCGCTTCTTTTCCCCTGCTAGAGCTGTCTTTGGATTGGCTCGAGGAGGATGTGGAGGAGCTGGGTTCCAGGCCAGTGTCCGATGTGCTTGCCTCGGCAGCTCGAGCGTCGGTTGCCTTCTTGAAGTTGTATGCGCTGATTCTGAAGAAGGCGGGGTCTCTGTTTTTTGCTTCTCGCCTCGCGTGCTGGCAGGCAGTGCTCGTCCACTCTTTGGAAACTGCTTGGGCCCTGGCTCTTAGAATTTTGTCTTCTTTTTGTCTGTTGCTATTTGCAGAGCCTGTGGGGGGGGGGGGTGCATTTTCTACAGGCGGCTTCGTCCAGTTGCTGGCCTATGTCGGACTTGGTTCTCCAGAGGCCGTGAGGGGTTCTGCCTGGACCACTGTTCTGGTTCCTTCGGGGACGTACCTTCCGCCTCTCTCGCTATCGCTGGGTTCGGACCTCTGGGGGGCCTCTTCAGGTTTTTCGGGATCAGTGCTGTGGCGCCTACCCGAGCCCTTGCTCGATGTGTTCATGTACACATCATCTCTAGGCTGGGGTTTTGTGACCAGTGCTCTCCAGTTCGGCCAGAGGTGGTGGGGTCCGTCTTTCCGTTGGGGCTTATAGCACGGTGCGGGAGTTCGCAGCGAGGATGAATGAACTGGACGAGTTTGCTGTTCATGGTATTCGCTTCGGAGGGTTCGGGTCGCTTGCGGATCGATTATTTGGCTCCATTCGGACTGCTCCCTGGTGGTTCATTGCCTGAACCGAGGAGGCTCGTTGTGGTCCTTGGCTCTTTAGTGCTGGTCACTTTGGGTGACTCGTCTACTGAGTTCTCGGGGTTTGGCTCTCCTGGCTGTTCATGTTCAGGGAATGTCCAACGTCCTGGCGGACAGCCTGGCGAACAGCCTGGCGAACTGGCCTGGCTGGTTCATTTCCCTTTCCACAGAATGGATCGTCGATGCCGACTTGTTCAGTTGGCTCTGCCGGACAAACGGGCGCCCGGAGGTGGACCTCTTTGCATCGGCGTGGTCGAGGTGTCTTTTGGTATATGTGGCGCCCTTCACCGACTGCGAGGCCGTCGGGGTCAATGTCTGTTGGCTGGACTGGTCGAGGTGGAGTTGCCTGTATCTCTCCCCACCAGTTCGGTTGTTGCTCCAGGTCCTGGCTCGCTTGGATACTTACCAAAGGCGAGTAGTCCTATTGACCCATTTTTGGCCAGCCCAACCCTGGTTTCAGGCACTGCTTGCTCAGTGTTCAAACCCGAGGGTCTTCCCATGGCTCCGCGTCTTTCAGCAGATCGGTCCGGTTCGGTACGTGGATGGTTCGATCTTCTCTGCTCTTAGTATCTTGTCTTTTTTATGAGAGTTTATCACCACTTGTATGGTGATAAGGTTTCTTCGTTGATGGTGTCCCACCTGCGAGTTTCGTCTCTGCAACAGTATGAAGTTTCCTGACGGTCCTTTCATCACTTCGTAACTCTTCGTAGGTTGTCTTCGATTTCTGGTAGAGTTGTTTGGTCCTTTCTCTCTTGGTTATTTCAGGACCATCATCTTATGCCAAATACTGTCGCCTCGTATCGTGCAGCGCTGGTGGAGCCGCTTCAACTAGCGTTCGAGATGGATGTCACTTCTGCTCCATTCTGCAAGCTTTCTTGGGCATTGTATCACCTCTGGCCTGCTCATGCGCCGCCTGAGCCGTCCTGGTCGTTGGACCGGGTGCTCTCTTTTCTCTCTCTTCTTCGGTTTGTGGTGGCCCCTTCAGTTCTGGACTGTTTTTCTATGGTTCTTTTCTTGTTGGCATTGGCCTCTTGGGGTCAGGTTGGGGAGCTTCATGCCCTCCTCCAGCACAGGGGGTTTCTGCTCTCTTGGTCCTTGTGGTCATTTTGTTCGTTTGCAGCCGTCTTTCTTTTCTGGTGAAGGATAAGACTACTGTTTTCTGAAGGGGTCCTTGGGTTGTTGATGCTTGGTTTGGCTGAGGACGCATCATGTTTTGTATCCGGTTATGGCTCTTCGCTGTTATTTGTGCGCTATGGCCTTCGTGGCAGGAGACGCGCTTTGGGTGAACTTGGTTTCCCCTTCTTCTCTGTTTCAGGTCTTGGGTCTCCCAGGTCGTCCGCAAGATTATTCGGTTCAGCCAGCCTGCAGTCTATCCTCGTGCCCACGACATTCAAAAGTTTGCAGCTTTGGCTCCTGTTTTTGGTAATATTTCTTGGGCTGACATTTGGCCATGGGGCTTTAGGAGGTCAAACAGGGTCCTGGCCGCACGTTACCTTGTTAATGTTCCTGGCCCTTCTTAGGCACGTGTAGCCTTGGGCTGCAGGTTGCAGCCAATTGTCTCGACTTCAAGTTGAGGAGCGAGTGGCGGCTGCTTCCAGGGTAAGCCCCTCTTTTCCTTTATCTTTGGTTAGGTAGCTCTGGGGAGCCGAAGGGGCTCTACATAGAAAACCAGCGCTGAATGTAATGAAACACAATTTTCTGGGTGAGACTCGGAGGCTCCCTGGCATCCCTCCCTCCCTCTCCCCAATCTGTGGTTTTTTGCATTTTTTATATTCAGCCTCTGAACTGGGGTTAGGTAACTGGCACAAGGGGGTCTGGGGTTCCCCCTTCCCCCTCCCGAGGAAGGGGGAGTTGTGGAGTTCATCACAGCGGCGTGGTGGCTGTGGTGGTGATGTGCTTGTTTGCTTGTTTTCGATTGGGGAGTTCTACGTGTTAGTTCGGCTTTCGGTTTGCAATTTTTTAACCTGCTGTAGTTTGTTTTGGGATTTCCACCTTTCTGGGTGCCTGACCTGGTAGATGGCAGATATAAACTGCTTTCAATTACATGGGGGTGTCTAAAGACCATTGCTCCTCATGCCTCTCTGAAGGGGGCCAGGTTCCGACGCTGATCCCTGGGAGGCCTAGAACTCCACCGATTAACTGTTGGCACATTCTAATATATACACATCAGCCCGGTATAGCTCCGGGGAGCCTCCGGGTCTCACCCTGAAAATAGCGTTTCATTACATTCAACGCTTTTTTTTTCTTTTTTTAGTATCTCTGATGTTCTTTACCTATACTGTATTGTTCTATTATTTCTTTCAGGCAGATTCTTCCCTCTTCCCCTTCCCCCCAACATAAACCCAAGATACTAATAATATATGGTGAAAATAAATGCCAGTAGGCAACTGTCAATTGCTCAGAGAAGCATATTGTGTCACATATTAAAGCAATATTTTCAAACTGAAAATTATTTATCATTTTTCAGAGAGCGTCGTACAGCAGACAAGAGTGTCATCATGACGTGTGTGTACCTGAATGGTGATAATGAGACTTGCAGAGATAAGGAAGCAAGTGCTACGCTCATCACAGATTCTTCCACTGGCAAACTGCTTAGCCATCAGCAGCCAAACTGCTCCACCAAACTTTCTATACCAACTGTAGGTTTTGGCAGTTATTGGTGTCAAATACTTTTTTCTGGGGAAAGCCCCTTGTGTCTCCTTGAAGCTACTGTCATTGATATTGTGCCACAACAGGTCACATCAGCCATGAAGTTCTATTGCTAACCAGAGACCAGCGCCAGAACCTGGCTTCCTCAACAGAGGCACAGGGAGCGGTGACAATTATATATTTATTGATGCCATCGCTGGAGAAGCTACCTAAAGAGTCAGCAAGACAAAACAAACCACTGCTTGTTTCAAGTGAGACTGAAGCCTTGAGAACCACAGAAAGAACTCCCCCAACAACGTAAACAAATGGTCGAAATCTCTCGAAACTAGCCCAAGCTCGTTCGCCTTGCCTCCCCGACTTGTTTAGTGGAGGGGGAGAGGCAGCTCTTGGTCATCATCTGTAGTTCTAATCTGATGTATAATGTGTGCCAGGTTACCCCTGCTGCTCAGGCTCCAGTGTTCTGCTTTTCAGCTAATTGGTGGTTTTTGCCTTTTGGCAGTTCCTGTACACTGTGGTGTTGCATGAACCAGGAGTTCAGAGTGCTTGGAGCTGCTTGTGCACGGAGTTCGACTCTACATGGTTCCTTGTTCCCTCTGCTTAGGGCCTCCTTTACAGGGAGGTTTTAATATTTCCATAACTGTGTGTATGCGAGTCCTCCCAGGGCTCGTTTTTGTGTGCCTTTGGGCCCATCAGTTTCATCGTTCCGGAGGTTTCAAGTCTTTTGGGTCCCTCCTGCAGTTCATGAGGCCTTTAATTTTTTGTCCATGCCTCCTGCGTGACTTCACTTCCGCCTTGTTGAACCCTGCCTCTTTTGTGTTTGTCTTATCCTTCTGGGGTGTTTTATGAGGTTCCGTGGTCTTCGTGGCTAACAGATGTGTTATTTCTTTTCACTTGGTGCAACTTTTGTCGGTTGCACACGCATCGGTGATGTGGTGTGTTGACTGTCTTCTGGGTGTTTCTGGAGGGCTCTTTTTTTTTTTTTTTATGTCCCATTATAATTACCTAAGTGTAGTTACAGGATGAGGGGTATGCTCTTGGTGTCCCGTCTTCCCAGTACTCTGTCATATAACACTTTGAAACTACTGACAGTTTTGGACTCCACCTTCTCACTTAGCTTGTTCCAACCATCTACCACTGTTTGTGAAAGGGAATTTTCCTATATTTATTCGCCAGCTTTTAGTTTAAATCTATGGTCTATTGTTCTTGAAGTTCCATGTCTCGGGAATTCTTCCCCTATCAATTTTTATCGATTCCCGTTACTATTTTGTACATAGTGATCATATCTCCTCTTTTTCTTCTATCTTCTAGTTTTGACATATTTAACCCTTAGGCTGCTAAAAATGCACATAGGCAATGGGGCATATAACTCAGTTTTTCAAACGTGCTCAAATGCTTTCAAATGTTTTGTGCATAATCTACAAGGCAAATGCTCCAACTTTGTCTAAATGATACCAATGTAACTTGAAAAACAATAACATAAAAAATAATTATTAAATTGAATATTTAAAAGTTCAGATTTTCAAGTCGGCTGCAAAAATATAAAATATCACCAATTTTTCATTTGGTGTTGTTATGCTCTCAGAACAGCATATAATCTTCATTTTCATAAGTTGAGAATATAAGTTTTCAGTATAGTTTAGTGTAAAAAAAAATCGTCAATATGGTGGTGTATTTGAAATACGTATGCACCAAATTTATACAACAAAATTATGGCTCCAAATGTTTTGGGTTTATGAAACATCTGTTCTATAGTATTATAAGAACAGACAGCTGTGCACACTACATGTAAAAATGGTGAGAATCGGTCAGAAACCAGAATTTTTGAAGCTGTTTCAAACTTGAAACTCTAGTTCTAGAGATAATTGGATTTGGAGTTACCGACAATGAATAAAGTAGTTCTAATTCATTAACTTACTTGTGTGTTTTAATAAACATTGTTTGGCATTCGTACTCGAATATGTGAAAGTTGTAGGTCAATATGTGTTGAAATGAACTCAAGAAGTAATAATGCCCTTCCCCCCAAAAAAACAAAACAAAATATAGGGATAATTATAATAATTATAATGATTTAAGGGGATATATTTATGGTATACTTTATATAAGTGAAAAAACCTAATTTGGCCCCTATTCATTAAAACAGCCTAAAGAGACTAAAGAGACAAAGAAAATAGTTTGAAATCTGTAGAAAAAAAAAGTTAAAAAAAAATGAGAACTCCTAAGTTCTGCAAGTTGTGACTGATTTATTTCTTGACCAATTTCATTCTATCTTAACATAGTTAGGGACGGGTCTGCCTTGGTGTCTCTTCCCCGTGTTATATTAGGGTTTGACCTTCTGTGTTCGGTGGTCCCCCCTGCTTCGCCCTCGTGAGTGTACACATCCCGGGGGTTCAGCTTTAGCAGTTTGTTTGGTAGCATTGGGCGCCGGCTAGCAGTACCCCTGCCTGGTCTTACCCTTAGTGGTACCAGTCTAGGGGCCCTGGGAACCCCACAGGGGTATACGGGGTCCGATGGATATGACTCCTGGGTCCTCCTCTCGCCTTGTGCGAGTTTGAGGGTTGCTCTGTCCCTTTGTCTCATGGCAACGCTCATGGTTTTTGCCTTTGTCATGCTGCCTGTTGGGTCGGTGACACCTTCGACCCGGAGTACTGTGAGCGTTGTTGCTTGTTTGCGACTCAATTCACCCAATCTACTGATGGCATTATTCGGGTGCAGGCGGCTCACGCGTTGCAGGCTAGGTTTAGGTTGCTGCAATGTGCTAGGTTGGTTGCTTCCTGAAATGCCCCAAGGCTGCCCTGTTTTGCTTATAGGGTTCCGGACTTGGGGGTGTTGGCCGCATCAGCTTTGGTTCAGTCTGTGCCACCTCGTTCTTCCCCTGCTGTGATTCATTCTGTCCCCCTTTTCCCCATGCTTCTAGCTCCTAAGCATCTGAGGGCTTCAGGGTTGGGGCAGGGTTTAGAAGTTTCTGAGACTGGCAGTTTCGGGGGTTGTCCCTTCCGGGGTGGCGATGGAGACATTCGAATCTGTTCCTGCAGCCGTAGCTCCGGGTCTGACCAGTGGACCCCCCCCTCTCTTCCTGCTATTTTGGCCGCCCCGGCTTTTTCTTGTGAGGCCGGGTCTTTGGAGGATGACTCGACCCGGGGCCTGACTTGGAGGTTTCCGGGGTGGGGAGGAGCAGACTTTAGGGCCTTGGGCCCCATTGGACCCTGCCTGGGTTTTCCAACCCTCAGTGCAAGGCTTTCTGTTACAAGGAGTGGAGTTTTTCTTTCCCCCCTTTGCATACAAATCAGATTTGGGTTTGGCTCCTCCCAGGTTCGGTTCCGTGTCCCTGCGGGTCCTTCGGTTCCGTCCTTCTGGAAGTTTCTGCTTCCCGCGTACTGAGGTGTGGGCGGCCTTTGCAGCTTACCTCCTGTGTGACCCAGAATATACCTCTATGATGAATCCGTCTTCCTTCAGGTTTTCGTCTCCATACTGGGTTCGTTATGAGGTTCCGGAGTCGTCCTGTCTTGTGAACTGCCCGTTGTTGTCGTTGGATGCTTGGGGCACTTTCTATCATACCCGCACGCTTGAGTGGCGCGAGGCATTGACTGTGGTCCAGGTTTTCCTGGGGCCGGGGGTGACTTTGAGCACCTTAGTGAGTGTCTTTTTGCTCCTGCCCTGCGGGATGTTGGCTCGATTCAGCTTCACGTGCAGGTTCCTTCCTTGTCGGCTGCGCTTGTGGCTGAGGACTTCTGCACTAGTGGCTTGCTGGCTTCGGTCTTGCATTTCTTTTCCCTCCTGGAGCTGTCTTTGGATTGGCTTGTGGAGGATGTAGAGGCGCTTGGGGCCATTCCTGGGTCTGGTGCCTTGATCTTGGCTGCTCGTGCGTTGTCAGCACTTTTGAAGCTGTTTGCGAAAGATCCTGCGGGATGCTCTGTTGCGGTTTTTTGCTGTGCGTCTCGCATGTTGACAGGTTGTGCTTGGTTCCTCTTTGGAATCTGCTTGGGCCCTGGCTCTTAAGTTGTCTTTGCCCTTTTGTTCTTTGCTGTTTGCGGACTCTGCGGTCGAGCAGTATGTGCAGGCGGCTTCTTCCAGCTGTCGTCCGATGTCTGACTTATTGGTTCTCCGGGGATCCCGGGTGGATTCTTCCCAGAGGGGTCGTGCTAGGGCTCAGGGTTCCGCCTGTCGGGGTAGGCCACAGGCACCACTTTTGGAGCCGGTGCCCCCTTCATAACCGTCTGTGTCTGGTCGGTGCGGTGATCACTGTTCGCAGTTCGGGTTCTTATAAAGGGCGTCGGCCCTTTCACAGTTTGCAGCATTGACGGGGCAATGGGGGGGAGGCTTGCTATGTTTGCTCACGCCTAGTCTCACAATTTGTGGGCTTTTTGGGTCGTTTCTTGCGGCCTGCAGTGGCGTTGGAGGAGATCCCCTCAAAGGAGGTAACTCCTCCTCCTTTGGGGGGGGGGTCTTGTCTTGTCCTGTCTTGTCTTGTCTTGTTAATATTTTTAAATGTAAGGGAACTATAGGCTAAAGTGGTTTTAACTTCTTAAAAATATACATTGCTTGCATACTGTATATCTAACTTATATTTAATTATTTGATTCTTTAAATTACTTTTCTGGAGGAACCTCCTGTGGCTCCCTGAAGCGATTTATGTGATGGCTCTCAAGTACAAGGTCCCATCAACCATGGAGTTCTGTTTGGTCTACTGGGGTATGAGGGAGCCAGAATCTGGCTCCCTCACAGAAGTGCAGGGAGCGAGTGACACTCTGCCCCGCACTGGGAAAGCATCCAGATAGTCAGCTAACCAATAGAGACCACTACTGGGTTCAAAGAGACCAAAGCTTCAAAACTGACAAATGAACTCCTTGCACCGGAAACAAAAGATAGAGACCACTACTGGGTTCAAAGAGACCAAAGCTTCAAAACTGACAAATGAACTCCTTGCACCGGAAACAAAAGATTGAATTTCTTGAAACTGGCTCATCTTTCTAGATGAACCCTGGTGGCTCCCTAATTCCATTCCCCTTCCTTCCAAGTTTGTCAGTTGGTGTATTGTTTACATCTGCTCCAGAACTGGCTTGGAAGGCTGGGGAGACCTGGAGCTCTGGCCCCTCCTCTACTGGAGGAGGTTAGTGTTAACTAACCCACACTAGTTTGAAGAGATTTAAGAGTTTATTTACATTGTTTGGGGAGTTCGTTAGGCAGTTTTAAAGCTTTGGCATCTATGAACCCATCAGTATTTGTAAAACTTTACTGATTTCCTGGATGCTTTTCTGGTGGGGTAGCAGAGTGTCAGCAAGTCTCTGTGCCTCTAAGAGGGTGGGGTCAGGTTCTGGCTCTGGTCCTCGGTAGGTCAAACAAAACTCCACGGCAAATGTGACCTCGTAGATGAGCGCCATCGCTGCGAGATAACTTGAGGGAGCCACAAGGTCTACATGAACTACTGGGGCTCATCCAGAAAGAGGCATTTCATTACATTCAATGCTGGTTTTTGTTTTATTTCAGGAGCTGTTTGAGAGCACTAACACTCTTCGAGTGGTGCCTGCTGCTCATGACCCTGGCATTGCTGTGTGTTCGGAGGTCGTTCCTTCTCTATTCTCCGATAATTTTGACTACGGAAGTCGAGATAGTCTTATTCGAGGTATAATTGAGCAGGAAGAATTGCTTGGGTATACAATACATTGTGAGATCCTTGAGTCTGGGTACGCAACAAGGGCATCGTCCTTCAGTGCTTATGAAAAAGTAAGGTAAGTACTCTAATAGCTCTTACACATATAATTGTCTCTACAGTACATTTTTCTGGGGGGAGGGGAAGGGGAGGGAACCCCACCAGCTCCCTAAAGCTATCAAACTGATTATGTGCCATACTACTTAGTGTCATCAGTTGCAGAGTTCTTTATGTCTACCAGGGACCACGAGCCAAAACCTGGTCTCCTCAGAGAGGAGCAGGGAGCGATGGCCTATGATCACTTTAAATTTAAAGGTTATCATCTTTAACATTACCTAGGGAAGGCACCCAAAAAGATCAGCAAATTAAAACAGACCACTGCATAGTGGTCTGTTTTAATTTGGTCAAAATGAGACCATAGCCCCTAAATGATTGAATTCCTTTTGACCTGACAAAAGAAGTCCCCAACAATAACAACAAACAACCAAAACTTTGTGAAACTACCCCTTACTAACTAGCTCTACCTACCCCCTTGTTGGGGGTAGGGGGTTGGGTAGCCAGCCCAGGTCAGCTGGGCCCTTACCAGCCACTTCTTGACTGATATCTGTGCCTAGTAGTTGACATCGCTCTGGCTCTGGTCTCCCATTTTCCTGGGGTGTTTTGTCTTTGAGGCTGTTCTCTTACAAGGAAGTTGTGCATGAGCCAGGAGTTTAGTGTACTGGAGCTGCATGTGCTCAAGGTTTTCTTCCCTGTGCACTCTGTAAATACTGCCCTTGCATGGTCAAGGTTGCTTTTCCTGGGGTGTTCGGGAAAACTCTCCCATTAGGGGGGCTTCTTCGCTTGGGATGGTCCTCACCCTTAACCCTTCTGCTGTGCATCACATCACATGGTGTAGTAGGGTACAGTGTAAGCTTTTAGAACCCCTATGGGTTATCTTGAGGTTATCTTGAGATGATTTCGGGGCTTTAGTGTCCCCGCGGCCCGGTCCTCGACCAGGCCTCCACCCCCAGGAAGCAGCCCGTGACAGCTGACTAACTCCCAGGTACCTATTTACTGCTAGGTAACAGGGGCTGATTCAGGGTGAAAGAAACTTTGCCCATTTGTTTCTGCCTCGTGCGGGAATCGAACCCGCGCCACAGAATTACGAGTCCTGCGCGCTATCCACCAGGCTACGAGGCCCCCACGGGCGAGGGTACACGGGCTCACATTGGCTTCCTGAGGCCTCCAGTAAACAGACACAATTTTGAAGAAAAAAATAATGGACACCATTCCTGGGTATATGAAGACCACAGTATTGAGTGAGCTACCAAAACTGGCACATGCAGCACCAGCTAACAGCACCACTGTTCAACTTGTAGCCACAACATCACTAAAAATTACGAAATATATGTGGAACTGTTATTATTTTGAAAGTATTATAGCAGAGCCTGACTGTGATAAACACTGAGTATAATGTTCAGATATCAGTGAACACAATGCTGTTTATAATGTTCACAGTGCTAGGCAGACAGCCACAGCATTCTACCATTGTTTGGGTCATGTAAGCATCTTGAAATGACGGCTCATTTTCCTTTTCAAAATAAACTTGTGGAAAGTTATTCATTTGAAGGATTTAGTGACCAGGATTATGTTAATAGCAGCACTGTGGTGAGAATTAGTGATGTGCATAGTAGTTTGGGAGGCAGCTTCTTGCTGTGTAAAGTGACGTTATCTGCTGACTGGTGTATGCTGGTGCTAAGCTGTTTGTACCCCATACCAGCTTAGTGGTTCATTATGGTGAACAAGAACGTAGACACGTTATATATAACGTGTATATAAAGTGTAATAACAGCAAAAACACTGTTTTATTATCCTATGAATATAATAATTGTATCACTAATATGCACACAATTCTTTTGAGTATACTGATGGTCCACACATTGTATTACATAAATTTATAAAATTGCGCACAATTGTTATCAGAATGCTGATAATAATAATGGCATTGTGCCTAGAATTAGCGATGTGTAGTATATTGTGATGCGTTTTGCATCGTCTGCTGGCATAGTCTGCTGGTAGTGTGTGTGTGTGGTACTGTACTATGATGATCTTGAATTTCATCACTTTTGATTCGCACCAAAAAAGTCAGCAAAACAAAACAGACTGCTGCTTGGTTAGAAATGAGAGCAATCTCAAAAACTGTCAAAAGAACTCTTCCCAATAATGTAAACAAACCATACAAAATTAGTAAAACTAGCATGTGCTAGAATGCACCACCTTGCCCCCCTTGTTTGAGAGGAGGAGAAAGGCACAGTGGATCAGCCGGCTGCTCCTCCACCAGTTCTTATTCTGATTTGTTCCTGGTTGCCCGTTTTGGTGGCTCTGGCTCCAGCCTCCCATTTTATTTATGTGGTGTTTGCCTTTGAGGCGGGGTTGCTACTTTGGGCTATAAGTCACTCAGTTGGGCTATAGGGAGCCCATTTAAAAAGGCAACTTTTGTTACACATTCACAACTTTGTTTTTAAGCTAGCTTCTTTCCGCAATACAGATCATGGCAATTCTGCTTTAAGGCTGTTTTATACATATTTGCATAGCTTGAGCAAAGAGTTTAGTGTGCTTGATGCTACATGTGCTCAGGGTTCCCTTCCTTATGTACTCCTTAAGTGCTATCCTTGCCCAGTCAGGGTTGTCTTCCCTGGTTTGTTCAGGATACTCTCCCTTATGGGGTCTCCTTGCTTGGGGTCTGCCCTCGCCCTTCAGGTAAACAGCTAGGGATGTTGGCCTCCTTCCTTCGTCGGGTGCACAGAGCGGTTTGAGTGTTTGTGGTCGTGTGGCAGGCTCTGCGGTGAGTTTGGATTATTCCGGTCTCTGTGACCTAGCTCCATTTGGACTGTTTCCCAGTAGTTATATGTCTCAACTGAGGGTGTGTGTCTCTTTGGTCCTTGTCTCTTGGAGCTGGTCGCTTTGAGTAGCTCATCTGCTGATTTCTCATGGTTTGGCCCCGTGCCATTCACTTCTTGGAGTGCCCAACGTCCTGCCTGATGGTCTGTCCCGGTTCCTTCCTGGTCCACAGAATGCAGCTTCCCTTTTTTCACTTTCCTGGAGGTTGGGGCACCTGGATATTCAAGTGCCTGGCTGTCGACCTCTTCGCATTGGTGTGGTCTTGGCATCTGCCTCCTTGTGTAACGCTGTTCACTGACTGTGAGGCCTCACAGTAACCAGCTGGATTGGTTGAGGTGGGGATGCATTGCCTCTTTCCTTTGGTCTGGCTGTTGCTCTGGGTTCTGGTGCTATTGAATCCTTCAGGGGGATGATGATCCTTCTGGCTTCTTGGTGGCTGGCCCAGCCATGGTTTCTGGCACTGCTTGCTTGATGTCCAACCTGGGCATTTTCTGAGGGTACACCTTTTTCAGAGGATTGGACAGGTGTCGTACTTCACCAGTTTAACCTTCTCCTCTTCGCGTCTGATGGTTTGACGCATGTGGATCACCCTCTCTGTAGTTATCAGGTGGCTTGTTAAAGGTGTCACGTCCTCCTGGCGACAGTTTTTCATGGATTGGCATGTCTTCTGCCATTTTGTCCCTTCGTCATTCCTTCTCAGTTTCTGATAGGTTTTTCTGTCCTTTCTTGACTTATCCTTGCTTGGTGTCTTCTGCCATATGCTGTCGCCTCATTTCTTCCTGTGACATTGGCGGAGCCATTCCAGCTTGCATTCAGGGTTGTTTACTCTTTGGCCTCGTTTCACATGTTTTCTCGCACATTGTTTCACCTACGGCCTGCTCCTGTACCTCCTGAGGCCTGCTTGGACCCTTGACCAGGTTCTTTCTTTTCTTTCATCCACTCCGTTTCTGGTGGTCCCTTCGGTCCTGGCTTGTTTTGGCAAGTGTTCTTTTGTTTTTTTCTGGCTTTTGATTGCCAGATGAGGGTGCTTCTTGGACACCTTCAGTGCTGGGGCTTTTGTTCTTTTGGCCCTTGTGGGCACTTTGTTGGGTTTCTGCAGACTCCTCCTTTTCTGGCTGGAATTGAGTCAATTGGCTTATGATGGGACCTTCTGGTGGTAGATGCTTTATTGTTTCTCCTGGGTGGTTCATCGTGTGCTGTGTCATGTGGCGGTTTATGCTGCTGCCTTCGTGCCACTGGTTCTGTTTCAGCGGTCTCTTTGTAGTTCGCTCTGGTTCCATGTTCCAGGGCTCGTGTTTCTTAGATCAACTGTAGTAACTTGTGCTCTAGCCAGCCTGCAGTCTACCCTCTTGCCCTTGATGTGCTTCTGTTGACTGATCTTTCAGCGCTCTTTGCTCCTGTGGTTTGGTCCATTCTTCGTGTGCAGGGGTTTTGTTGGTGTAAGTGGGTCCCAGCAGCCTGATACGTGTGGTGCTTCCTCCTTCCTGGTATGTGCCCTTTATTCCTTCTCTGTGGGTAGATAGCTTCAGGGAGTCACAAGAGGCTCTACCCTCCCCAGAAAACTAGCATTGAATATTCAGTGATGAAACTCCAATTTCTGAGTGAGCCCCGGTGGCTCCCTGACACCCTCCCTTCCCCAGGCTGTCGGGGTGATTTCCATCATCATAAGAATTGGTTGTGGAGTAGTCAGCTGATCCGGTCTGTCTCCCATTTCTCCCCAAATGAGGGGGGATGGGGGTAGGAGGTGATGCATTCAAGCTCGCACTAGTTTCACAAATTTTTTATCATTCATTTACATTATTGGGGGAGTTCTTTTGGCAGTTTTGAGGCTGCGGTCTTATTTTTAATCAAGCAGTATTCTGTTTTGATTCGCTGACTTTCTGGTTGCTTTCCCTTAGCAGTGGCTGAGATGAATAAATTTATGTAAAATTTTTCATAGAGCCACTGCTGCCTTCTCTGATGGGTGGCCAGGTTCTGGCTCATGATCCCCGGTATGCCAATAAGAACTCCGTGATTGATGGTCTTATAGTCTGGCACTATATCAGTTTAGTAGCTTCAGGGAGCTTCTGGGGCTCACCCAGAACAAGGCATCTCATTACATTCAACACTGGTTTTTTAACTCTTGTTGTGAGGTGGATGGATTGCACCCCATAGTGGCAGGCAGTGGTGGTCACTACATTCATGTTCCAATTCCATAACATTCACATTCGTGAGTTGTACCTTATATCCTCTATATGAATACTTAGAAGTTACCCTAAAGTGGTTGACTCCTTGCAGTGGTGAAGTGATCCGTCGCATGGCTTACCCCATGGTATCTGAAGTGAGTTTAACGAGCCACCGCATCCGATACACACATGACATCTTCACCAATAACTATTGGGATCCCTCGGCCAAGTTTCACAAGTAAGTATGTGGTCACGTGTAAGCCTTTTAACTCGGCTATTCTCTAAAATTTACCCACATGATGAGGACTAGACTAATCCAGAATTAGTTTTGAATTTTAGAATTTCTTTGATAAAAATTACACTTCACTGGAATAAGGGGTTGATGGAGGACTGGGGTTTTCCTTCTGTTGCCTCAACACCACTTCCTTTCTATGCATGTTTGAACATTATTTAGTTGAAATATGATTTTAAAGTATGTTGGTAAATATCTTTTCCAAACATTTCATCTATCCCTGAATAATTGCTTCTTCCAGAATTTAATTAGATGAGGACAAGTAGAATTTCTCCCAAACATTATAGCAGTTGACTGCTTCAGTTCTTTCTTGCAGTCACCACTGCTTGTAGTGATGTGATGTACAGCACACTTTCTAAATACTGTACTATAAATATTTTACACAGAGGAAGCGGTGGCACCAATGTAGTTGTGGGTGCGGGGTCTGAAATCAGCACGACTGCTCAACTCCAGTGGTCGGTTGTTGGGGATCACTGCACTGTGGAAGATAACGTTAAGGCACAGTCGGCTTTTGTCATGAATAATGTCAATATCAAGGTATGATAGTTTAGTTTTATACTTTGGATTCTGAAAACAGGGATACTGAGCACTATATTGGCTGTATGACTCTCTGTCCTACTATCTGTGATTATTTTTCACAGATACTGGAGGCACTGGCTGCTGCAATTCTTTTACAATATTTCACAGGAAGATTCACATTTCATACCTGGCCCATACACTTCTTACACTACTTTTCCCAGAGCAGATACTAGGCTAATACGCTCCTTGAATCACTTCCCCAGAGCAGATACTAGGCTAATACGCTCCTTGAATCACTTTCCCAGAGCAGATACTAGGCTAATACGCTCCTTGAATCACTTTCCCAGAGCAGATACTAGGCTAATACGCTCCTTGAATCACTTTCCCAGAGCAGATACTAGGCTAATACGCTCCTTGAATCACTTCCCCAGAGCAGATACTAGGCTAATACGCTCCTTGAATCATTTTCCCAGAGCAAATACTAGGCTAATACGCTCCTTGAATCACTTTCCCAGAGCAGACACTGGGCTGTGCTCCTTGCAGGGCCTAATTTAGACATGGCAAGACCCTTAACTATGGAAAGCTGTACAGTGCAGTATAACATTTCATGCAAGACTTCTCTGTACAGTATTTTATTTTATGTATTAAACTGTTACATAATTTTTCCTGAATGGCATATTTTCAGGCCGGTTGTGTTCTGGATCATTGTTTCCTTGGTAACAATGTGATGCTGGAGGAAAATGTGAGGTTGTCGCCAGGATGCATAGTGGGTGCCGGGGTTGTCCTTGGACCAGATATAACGGTGCCACCATCAACCTATTTGGTCGCCACTTCTCCTGTGGATGAATTCAACCAACAAAATGTTAATCAAGGTGAGGATGGTAAGGTGTACCTAGTAGTACTGCCAGATTCATCTGGTATTAGGTTGATTGTGACAGTCTTGGTCAGGAAACCTCGAGAAATGGATTTCAGTTGAAGGCAGAGTTAGATTTTATGAAGAAACATGTGCAAATTTTGAAGGAGGAGGAGAATGCCAAACTTTAAAATCATCTGCAGGGAAAAGGGAAGACAAACAGAAAATGGACCATCAACAGCAGGAAAAGATTAAGATTAAGTCAAGGAAAGGTGATATGTGCAGCAATTAAATAGAATGATGCTTTCACCATCCTAGAAAACAAATGCTGCTTGAAGGAGGTTATCGAGGACCGGGGTAAGATGAACAAGAGCAAGGATATTACAAATACAGAGGACCGGGGTAAGATGAACAAGAACAAGGATATTACAAATACACTGACAACAAAAGTTAGAATATTTCAGTTATTGGATACACTTGGGTTAGGTACAAGGGCCATGCATTTTGCCTTAAAAACAGGAAGAATAGACTGTTGTTGTTTACCCAGGGCTAGGATAGGTGATTCACCTGATAGGATAGACAACATTTCAGATGTAATGGAACAAACCTATCATCTGCCTCAAATGCAGGGGTTATCTCTTTGAGGTTATCTTGAGATGATTTCGGGGCTTAGCTTCCCCGTGGCCCGGTCCTCGGCCAAGCCTCCTTATTGTTACACACCCCCAGGAAGCAGCCCGTAGCAGCTGTCCAACTCCCAGGCACTGTACTTATTTACTGCTAGGCAAACAGGTGTATTAGGGTGAAAGAAACTGCCCATTTTTGTTTTCACCTCCACTGGAGATCGAACCCAGAACCTCAGGACTACGAATCCGAAGCGCTGTCTACTCAGCTGTCGGGCACCCTTGTCAGGGGCGCCTGACAGCTGAGTGGACAGCGCTTCAGATTCGTAGTCCTGGGGTTCCGGGTTTGATCCACGGTGGAGGCGGAGACAAATGGGCAAAAAAGTATATTTCACCCTGATGCCCCAGTTACCTAACAGGAAATAGGTACCTGGAAGTTAGACAGCTGCTACGGGCTGCTTCCCGGGGGGGGGGAAGGGGGGGGTGTGACAAAAAGGAGGCTTGGTCGAGGACCTGGCCGTGGGGACGCTAAGCCCCGAAATCATTTCAAGATAACCTCAAGATAAGGGGTAAATGATATAGGAAAATTTAGGAGTGAAGAATTACTTGCCACATATAGGGTAGCAATAGATAGCATTAGGTCCAAGGGAGGGATCCTAATCATATGTGACATCTGCCTAGAAGATTGAGAAAGCAGTGAATGGGTATCCTGGGCAATTGATATTAACTGCTGGTTAAATTTATATTGCAAGGCCAGTGTGATATATTTGATTAACATCTAGGATAACTTGTATGGCAGATATGACATACTATCTCCATTCGATTATCTGGACTATATGGGAAGGACCCCAGCCGGATATTCACGTGTTTCGGATAATGGTACTTTTTTCACCTCGAGTCCAAAAGTTACCATTTCCAACTATTTTCATACTACAAACAACATAATTTGAATTGCCTTGCCACATATAATTATTAAATATTCAACTAGAAACCTCAACTTACCTTGTTGGTGTTTGTCTTCTTGATTGATGCCACACATCTTGAAGTTAAGAATTCTTAACAATTTACATAACCTATACTAACACAACACTAAAATTAACACTTAAAATTACTGTACAGTTCATTAAGCAAAGTTAGTTTTGACTGCCAGCTGCTGAAGCCTCACTGGTTGAAGGCATTTGGGTTGCCTGTATTGCCTCACTTGTTGAAGGTGCCTGCTTGCGCCTCACTTGTTAAAGGTGCTTGGCTTGCCTGTGACGCCGCACTGGTTGAGGTGTATAACAGTAACTTGTCTTTAATTGTTAGGACAACCTTCCTCTTAACACCTCCAGAACGATTGCTGCTGCTACCAGATATAGTCTTGGCTAAAAATGTTTAGTTACTATGAAAATAAAAAAGTTATTTAAAAAAATATTAAACTAATGGCGCGGCACTGTGGTATAACACGAGGGACGGGAGCACATGGGTTGACCAGTGTTGAACAAGTCCACTTGGGGCAGCTATAGCATGTTATGTAGGCCGCCAGGAGGAAAAAACTCACAATATTTTTGAAGGAAACTTCAGCCTGTGCACATTGTTTTTAGGAAATTTATATATTTGTTATTACATAATTACTAGTATTTCATTTGTTTTTGGCTATGATGACTTGTTCTAAAATTAATGGTAATTCCTGTACCCAGGTGGTCCCTCCCGACGCTCCCCTCCCACCCTCCCGACACCACCCACCCACCCACCCACCCCACCCTCTCCTCCACCATGTGCCTTGAGCCAGCCAGCTACAGCCAGACGGGATTAATACGGTACGGCCCGCCCCAAGGCTTTCATATCCGGACAATTCAATGATTATCCAGCTGACTGTCCAGATAGTGTAACATCAGCAGCAAGTTAACTGGCTCCAATTTTTTATCCACCTAAACCAGCTTTTATCCAGCTCCCATGGCCATTTTGGCCGGATATTGAGATAACTTTATCCGGTCACGATTTTGGTCGTATAAGGTCGTTTTCCGGATGTTCGAATCCCGGATAATCGAGTGGTTACAGTATATGCACGGGATGAGGTTTATCTATCTAGGGTGAGGATGGCAACCTTAGCTAATGCTCTAGAGGAAACTATTCTCTGGGGTTTAGACTGGTAGATCAGAGTGATCTTGGTTTGTATTGGCAGGGAGACAATTGTAAACATGATTATTGAGCTAGAAAAGTGGAAATAAAAAATGGCCAAAAGAATATAAGTAGGGATTTTGTAAACATATTCTCAAGATGAAAGGGGAAACATCATAAGATAACAAACACTGCTATAGGTATATTATACAAATAGCAATAGTAGAAACAGAACAGATGAATTGTGTACTTGTGTATATAGCAACAATAGATATAATTATGTAGTGTATTGCAATAACAAAAACTTAAATGAATGTAGAAACATAACTTTTAGGGAAATTCTAAATTAAGAAATACAGTTTCACACTAATAAGATGATTAGATGAGGTAGGGAAGTAGCAATACAGACAGCCACTTGCTTTGCGAATGTCGTCTATCCAAAAATGCTTGTTTTCCGATTAGGGTTGGTTCGGATACTCAAGTTTGGGAAGCTCAAGGTTTACATAAAATGGTTCGGGTATCTCATCTGGCAAGGGTTCGCCAGGCCTCGCGGCCCGGGGTGGTGGTGAGTGGTTGGGTGGGAAATGAGCCTAGTCTGCCCACTGACCGTGTCAGGCACCACTCTATTGCCTTCTACTCTGTGACGTCACAGAATCACGGCCCATTGTTTCCATTGTTTTGATTTGTTGCGAGAATGGGGTATTCATTCTACTACTTTGTTGAATATAGTGTCACAATCTAGGAACATCCGTGCACCTTGTCGGCTCCAAATGCACCCATTGTGTCAGTGAAAGCTTCAACAAGCGGGATACGTAAAAGAAAGAAGTCGGTAATGACATTTGAGAAGAAAGTTGAAAGGTGGAGAGCGGTGTCCCGAGAAGTGTCATGTGCGCTGAATATGGCATTAGCAAGAGTACTGTTTTTTATCTTCTTAAGGTTAAACTTATCATTTCTGAGGGGAGCCCCTACGGCTCCCCGGAGCTTACCAGGCTAATATGCTAATGTCAGACTTTGGCATCAGTCATGTGGTAAGTAGTAACTTGTATATACTTTAGTTGTATGGTGCTGGTGTTAAAATGCCCCATCTGCCTGTTAACAATCCTGTTCAGTAGACACGGCTGATTTTGCCTTAGGAATTTCCAAGTAGACTTTAGCCCATCCTTTTTCAACAATTTTTACTTTGCCCCTTCCTTTGCTTTGGTTACTTTGCCAGATGAGTAATGAAGTGGGGCAAGAATGACACTTAACGCTGTTATATATATATTTTGGCTCGTAAACCACTTTATCGTTGTTGCTGTTACTTGTTTCATCATCTTTCCAGAACCAGATCCAAGTGTTTGTGGAACGAAAGGACGCGCTTTTATATTAGTGCGAGAGGAAGATGGCGCCGATGTTGAGGAGGAATCGGAGGGTGAACTCGTGGAAGCTGAAGAGGAGGAATCGGAAATGAGCGAAGATGATATGCCTGACTCGGCACATATGAGTGATGAGGATGAACAACGTGAACATGGTGAGTTACAACCACAGTTCCCCTTGAAACATCCTACGAGTTGGATTTAACAGGCATGAGCTGTACTAGTTCTAATGAATTGGGGTAAGACTGTGAGCCATTTCCTTTCTGGTTTAGTTTTAGTTGTGATAAATTTTAAAAGTACTGTCCATTGAATTTACTATATTTACTATATTTACTATATTTACTATATTTAATATATATATATATAATATATATATATATATATATATATATATATATATATATATATATATATATATATATATATATATATATATATATATATATATATATATATATATATATATATATATATATTATATATATATATATAAATTATATATATATATATAAAGCTTACACCAAATGATGTTTCAGAGTTCAAGCGGGAAATGATGGAAAGCCTAACAAATGCTCTGCGCGAATCATCTGCAGCAGAGAATGTGGTTCTAGAGATTAATGCGTCACGTCATGCATATAACATGAGCATGGAAGATGTCCTCACAACTGTGACTCAGGTGGGAAGCTTTAGTTTGTTTACTTTACCTATAATGATGCATAATGTAAGCACTAACTTCATACTAACTCTGATTAATTTCTACACTTTTGACAGCCAAGTGCTTTCCTGTCAGTGCTTACCTATTTGTGACTACTGGGGAGTGAGCTCTATCTCTTTATGCCACGCCTCCTGGCTGTTTATAACCGACGTGCAAATTACTCCTCTCCAGATTAATGTTTAATCCCTTAACCTTCGATGTAATGGGATGTGCCAAGAAGTGTCCTAGAGGTCCAGGGAAATCATCGGTGTGTGGTCATCCGAAAGTGGGAAAAGGGGAAATAAATATGGTATTCAACGAGGATAAGTTTCAGCTCATGCGCTACGGAAAAATTGAAAATATAAAAACAGAAACCACGTACAAAACGCAGGCAAATCATAACATAGAACGAAAAGGCAATGTAAAGGACCTGGGTGTACTCATGTCGGAAGACCTTACCTTTAAAGAACACAATAAAGTAGCCGTCACAACTGCAAGAAAAATGACAGGTTGGATAACAAGAACTTTTCACACTAGAGATGCTATACCGATGATGATACTTTTCAAAACGCTTGTGCTATCTAGAGTGGAGTACTGCTGCACAATGACAGCCCCTTTCAAAGCTGGAGAAATTGCTGACCTAGAGAGCGTGCAGAGATCCTTTACTGCTAGAATCCACTCAGTAAAACATCTAAATTACTGGGACCGACTAAAGAGCCTAAATCTGTACTCCCTTGAGCGCAGGTGGGAGAGATACATAATAATTTACACGTGGAAAATAATTGAGGGGCTGGTCCCAAACCTGCACACAGAAATAACACCACATGAGACCAGAAGACATGGCAGGATGTGCAGAATACCCCCGTTGAAAAGCAGAGGTGCAACAGGTACTCTGAGAGAGAACTCTATCAACATCAGAGGCCCGAGACTGTTCAACACGCTTCCACTACACATAAGGGACATAACTGGCAAACCCCTCACAGTGTTCAAGAGAGAACTGGATAAGCACCTCCAAAGGATACCTGATCAACCAGGCTGTGACTCATACGTCAGGCTGCGAGCAGCCGCGTCTAACAGCCTGGTTGATCAGTCCAGCAACCAGGAGGCCTGGTCGACGACCGGGCCGCGGGGACACTAAGCCCCGGAAGCACCTCAAGGTAGCCTCAAGGTAGGGGGAGTAGTTGACTGGGTCAGATGAGACTAAGTCCAGAATGAACCGGAGATCCGCATAGTCCAGTTTCAGAACCAGAAACGGGCGGGAAATCCACTGAAGACGAGGCCGGTTTGACCATTTCCAAACGAACCCACTCTGAGATGACCCGACGCATGCAAGAAAGAGGCCCGCCCAATCAGACCCGAACTGCCGAAAGGAGGAAGGGCCGGCCAACGCTACCCAAGGTTTTGGGACATGACCAGAAAAGCTCATGAAGTGGGAGACCAAGTGTGGGCAAATACAGCCGGCCTCCCCACCCCATCACCCGATCAAAGGGGTGACCTACAAAAGGGCCAATGCGAACCCTGAGAGCCAGTCTTCCCTGCAGAGCAAGCACTACGCTAACCCAATTTCTGACACCACGGGCCCACCCTCAACCTAATGCAACCTGAACCCTGGCCCAACCCTTCTGAGAAGGCCTAGAACAACCCCCTCGAAGAAGTCAGAAATTAGAATGGCAACCAGCATACACCACCAACAGAAACTGTGCAACACTGTCCACAAAGTACAAAAAGGGGAAGCCAAAAGAAGAGCCAGGGCCCATGGGGAACCCAAAGAAAGAGCCAGCACCGCCTGCTGACTCACAAGAAGTGAGGTGAAGAACATGAAAGCTGCTTCCCAGAGGATTGGAGCATACAGCTTAAGGAAGGCAGACAATGCCAAAGCAGTTGAGAAAAAGACCCTGGCAGAAGGCCCCTCACCAAGCATTCCAGTGACCTCCGAAAGCCATCACGAAGATTCAGGAGGCTAAAGAACTGCACGACAGTCAAAATGCGCACTAGTTCGAAGGTTGTTAGCCACCAAAACATCTGAAAGAGAGGTCACCCGAGCTGGATGCTCGGGTGACCAGGGCAGCAGCGAAGAGGCACATGTTGAGGGACTTAAGAGAGCTCCCGAACAAGACCTACAACACAGAGGACACCGCCCTCCACACAAGTGTACTGACAAAAGCCATGTTAAGCCCTAAGCCAAACAAAAGACAAGTCTGCTAGCCAGGATGACTCCAGAACCTCGGAATGCACCCAATACGGGGAAGAAGAACTGAACTCAAAAGAGGCCAGATCCATCACCGAGGCATAAACCGTGTCACACAGGAAGTTAACACCGAGGGCCTCCCCAGTTTACGAAGAAGAAACACTGGGAAAATGAAACCTCCAGAAAGACTAATTCATGGAGCCCAAATGTACCTGAAAACAAACCCTGGGGGAAGCCCTACCCAACTCGAATCCATAAAGTGACGGGGGATACAAAAACCTCATATCTAACAAAAGCAGACCCTGCACGAAGGGCAATAGAGCCCATGCCAGGTCAAAAGGAGCCCAAGAGCTACCATCGACAAAGGCCCCGGGGGTTAGAGCCCTCATCCATGACCACCACCCAAGAAGATGAAGCAGAGCGCAAGGGAGTCTTCTAGCTGACTCCCTCTTTTCAGGGAGTCGGCTAGAAGGACTCTGAAGCCTCGGCGGGAAAGAGTGGCTCAACCTGCCTCTGTGCCCGCATCAGAAGGGGCACCCTCCAGATCTGCTGAAGCCTCTTCCCAAGCTAAATCCTGCCCCGAGTCTGAAACCCTCAGACAATTCAAAGCTGGAAGGAGGGGGGGAGGAGGGAGAAGAGAATTGTGAACCCTGCCCAACTGGGAAGGAAAGAGGTGTGGCCGGAACTGTGGTCGAGGTGACCATCACCCCCAGGGTCGAGTCCCTAAACACCAAACGGAGCATATCCAGAGCATCCCAACCAGGTAGATAACCTGACAGGGTGCAACACAAAAAAACTCGTATGCAAAGTGACCGCTGCTCGATACCTCAAAGTGTCTATCGAGGAATTTGAGATTGAGAATACATGAGGAGAAAAAGTTCCACGTTACTCAGGGTCATTGGTGTCACCGACCCAACAACCAGCATGGCGGAGGCAGAACTTCTGACCGGCACCCTGAGGCACAGGTGACGAACAAACCATCCAATTTGCACAGAGCGAGAGCCACCTCCCCCCAACAAGGGAAGGGGTGGAGCTAACTAGCAGGGGGCAGGTTTGAAAACATTTTGATTGTTTATTTTCTGTTTGGGGAAGTTCTTTAGGCATTTAATGGGCTAAGGTCTTGTATTAAACCATGCAGTGGTTTGTTTTGATACACCTACCTTTCTGGGTGCCTTCCCTGGTCAATGGCAAGTTGATAAACTTTAAATGTAAAGTGTTCATGAGCCATTGCTCCCTGCACCTCTGTGGAGGGGGGGGCAAGGTTCTATCTCGTGGTCACTCGCTAGGCAATAAGAACTCTACAACTGATGACACTCGGATAGTATGGTACTTAATCAGCAAGATAGCTTAAGGGAGCCAATGCGTCTCCCCACAGAAAGCTTTTGATACAGTTCCTCACAAAAGACTAATACACCAGATGGAGGGACTTGTGTGATAATAGGAAAGGAACTGGACTAGGTATGGGGAAGTACTTGACAGATAGGAAACAAAGAATCATAAAGAGGATATGTCAGACTTGAGAGGAATGGAAAGTGGTGTTCCACAGGGCTGTGTCCTAGAACCATTACTGTTTTTAGTTGATGTAAATGACCTCGCAGAGGGAGTGAGCTCATAAATGTTGACGTTTGCAAATGATCACAAGTTAATGAGGAGTGTAAAGACTGAAGAGGACTGTAGGATACTGCAAGGAGATCTTAACAAACTTCAGGAGTGGACAGATAAATAAATGGCTGTTGGAATTGAATTCAAATAAATGTAAAAGCAATGAAAATGGGAACACCAGGAGCTCATGTGAACAGGATAACATCAGCAGCATATGGGAAGTAGGCAAACATAAGAATGTCACTTAAGAATTTAAAAAAGGAGTCTTTTAAATCCATAAACACTACCTATTTGAGACCATTACTCGAGCATGCAGCTCCAGCATGGAACCCCAACCCGTTCTCGCAAATTCGTAAAGTCAATATTGACTTATCAACTACGTGCATAGGTGATATACTAAACATAATAAATACCCCTAAAAAGATTCATAGAAAACACCGACCTTACCTAACCTTGTTAGTATCTTAAGATAAGCATCTTATTGCTTCGTAATTACAATTATTACTTAACCTATACCTATTATAGGTTGGGTAATAATTGTAATTACGAAGCAATAAGATGCTTATCTTAAGATACTAACAAGGTTAGGTAAGGTCGGTGTTTTCTATGAATCTTTTTAAGGGTATCTATTATGTTAAGTATGTCACCTATGCACATATTTAATAAGTCAATATTGACTTATTAAATTTGCGAGAACGGGTTGTGGAACCCACACCTTTTGAAGAATAAGCAAAAACTTGAGAAAGTTCAGAGGGGTTCCAACTAGATTAGTTCTAGAATTTTGAGAGGCCTCACCTGTGAGACAGAGGGGATATGATAACTACATACAAAATTTTGAGAGGAATAGATAAAATAAATAAAGGAGCCTATTTAAATTATAAAGAGGTAGGATAAGCGGTCCTTGGTAAAAGCTGGACGTGCAATTGAGTTGAAGAGATGTAAGGAAGCTCCATATTTGTATGGGTGGAATGAACTGAAGGTAGAGATTGTTGAAGCCAATTCCATTGACAACTTCCATTAAAAAAAAATATAATTCTACTTCCATTCAAAAGAAATATGATGAAAACATTAATGATGAGAGAGGTAATTAGTGCACCAGGAACGGCTAGGAGGCAGGTCGTTATAAGAGCTGATCTCACTCTCCCGTAGTCACTGAGTAGTCAGCATATCCATAATGGGAAAATTCATTCTAGGCATTCATATACCAAGAAAGAAACAAAGGATTCACAGTATGGTTTAATGAGAGGTTAATATGTATAAAACAAATTTGCTCATTCTTTTCCAAAAGATTTTAATCAGTTTTAGTCAGTTTAAAATTAATCATTTTAATCAGCCTCTTGATGAGAGGCTGCTTAGGAAGGTAGAGTTGCATGGTAGTGAAGGGCATCTCTAAAAGGAAGACATTAAGAGTAATGTTGACTCAACTACTTCATTGGTGAATTTACACATTACACTCTATTGTACTGTACACTATATTTATGCTTTGAAAAATAATTAAAATACTGTTTTTATACATCATTGGTGAGTGTACTACAGCACTGTACTGTACTATATTGGTGCCTAATAAATGGCAGTAGTACAATACTTTAGGAGACCTGTGGACTGCATTTGTGTCATATAACTTTTAGTTTGCTTCTTTCCTCAAACTGCCATCTGCCGAGGCTTAGCTTGACTGTAGTCCTGGGAGACAGTAAGGACTGTTTGTATAATGTTTCTGTATCATATTACTTTTATCAGAATAATATGCATGTTTTACATTTTGAAGTTTTTTACAATAATTTAGGATATCATAGAGTACATTTCCTTCTCCAAAGTTGTTGACATTTAAATTCCAGACTGGAGAGAACAAAATTTGTCAATTTCTTAATTACTTTATGACTACTGTACTCCAGTGTAGCACAATAAATAATTGCTAAAAGATACACAGTAATATTACTGAGGGTTTTACATCAGTAGCATAATTATCCTCTGGAGGTTATCTTGAGATGATTTCGGGGCTTAGCGTCCCCGTGGCCCGATCCTCGACCGGGCCTCCTTTTTGTTACACACCCCCAGGAAGCAGCCTGTAGCCGCTGTCTAACTCCTAGGTACCTATTTACTGCTAGGTGAACAGAGGCATCGGGGTAAAAGAAACTGCCCATTTGTTTCCGCCTCCACCTGATCTCGAACCCGGAACCTCAGGACTATGAATTAGAAGCACTCGGCTGTCAGGCACCTCGGCTGTTTACAGGAACTGTAACATACAGTTCATACATAACTCTTCACTCAAAATGAGGTTGATGTTGGTAAATAAATTATGGAACTACCACTAGTCTCCCTGTGACCACTGCATTATGACGTTTGACAACTATCAAACTGTGGGAATGTCAGTCGAGTCTTCCATGAGATGGGCAGAATGTAATGCCAAGACCAGTGACTCTGCTAGTGCTTGTGTGAATGAATGGGCAGAAATCCTAATATAAATAGTTTGAGACAGTGGGACTGTTTGAGGTATCACCTAGATAGTACCTGGATATATGATGCAGACCCTCAGTAGCAGTTCTATAATGTATGACACAGACCTTCAGTAGCAGGTCTATGATGTATGATGCAGACCCTCAGTAGCTGGTCTATGATGTATGATGCAGACCTTCAGTAGCTGGTCTATGATGTATGAAGCAGACCTTCAGTAGCCGCCATATAATGTATGATGCAGTGGATAGTGTATTACAATAGGAAGATGGTCTGTAGTTTAGCATTATTTAAATTGATAATTGGCCATTTCAATTTGATTTTGTACTAATTTTCTGTCCTGATAACTAGGTATTGACTCCTTCAATAAAATATCTAAATTTAACATTTCAGGGCATCATCCGTGTAAGTGAAGACAAAACTTTGGGAAGTTGTAACACGGAGATGTTGTGGCAGAGTGTCAAGCTTTCAATCACTGCCTTTACACATGTCCTTAAAAATTATATTCGGAAGAACAGAGATCAAATCCTGGTTCTGAATGCTATAGAGGTGAGTATCACTGTCTCAAATAAAAATAACAATTATATTTTAATAACAATTATATTTTAATAATAACAATAATAATACTGTAAGGGAAAGGTTGCCAGTTCTTGGTCACCTGCATCCAAGATGCTTTTTCTTTACCACATCGTTCGATAAAACAAAACTCCCAAAATTTCAGTAACCTTAACTGTCGTATTTCAACATGTTACATATCTTAAGGTACAGTATTAATAAAATTTGAACTTTCTGGGGGGAGCCCCATGAGGCTCCCTGATGCTATGATACTGATTCAGTGTCAAACTACTAGGTGCCATCAGTCGCGGAGTCCTATTGGCCTTCATGGCACCGAACCCAGGTTCATACACCAAACAAGCAAAGCCTGAAACCAAGGCTGGGCTGGCCACCATGGGGCTACGAGAAGCACCCTCCCATGATAAGAATCCAAGTGAGTTAGGACCTGGAGCAACAGCCAGACTGGAGAAAAGAGGTACAGGAACCCCCACTGCGACCAGTTCTGCCGAAAAGTATCCATCTCTCAGACGGGAAACGGCGCCTCATACAGAGGAAGATGTTAAGACCACACTGACGCGAAGAGGGCCACCTCCGGGCAGTCGTACGTCTGGCAAAGCCAACTGAAGGACTCGGCGTCGATCGCCCACTTCATGGAAAGTGGAAGAACTGGAACAAGGTATCTGCCAGGACGTTGGACACGCCCTGGATGTGAACCGCATGGAGAGTTACACCCCCTGAGAACTCAACAGAAGAGCTACACAAAGCGACCACCCCCAAAGAGCCACGGACCAGAGAGATCCCCCGCGGTTGTGACAATGCACCATGGAAGAACAGTCTGAATAGAGTTTGATCAAAGAACCCTGAAGAAGCCGAATCCAGCACAGTGCATCCCACACAGCTGCAAATTCCTGAACTGTGCTGTGAGCCCGACGGAAGGCTAGACCCCAACGCCCCTGGCCGGACTGGTGAGCACTGGTCACAAAACCCCAACCCAGAAACGAGATGTCCATGAACACATCAAGCGAGTGATGGGGAAGGCACCATGGCACCGAACCCCGAAAACCCTGAAGAAGCAGCAACCGACTCAAGGACTCCGGGGTGTGAACGCAACGATCGCGAGCGTGGCGAAGGAGGTGGCTCCAAAGATACTGTACCAGAACAGCTTCTGACTTTGGAAATTGGGTCAAATTCTACCCGACGAAAGTACCAGAAGAGCAAAATTCAGGCTCCCCCACAGCTGCTCGAGCAACCGAGTGACCTGGGACCCCCCTCAGAAACAGCTAGAAATGGGACTGCAGCCAGATCAGAGCTACAGGAGGGAGAGAAATGGACACAGTCTGAGAATCCCATAGGAGGCCCAGCCAAGGCTGAACCTGGGATGGAACCAACTGGGACTTCTGTCAATTTACCAGGAACCTGTACCTGGCCATCTGGGAAAGAACCAGATTCCTGGCTAGCAGACAAGCAGACCGGCTGGGAGCCCACACCAACCAGTCGTCGAGGTATGCCAAGACCTAAAGCTCTAGTATTCGTTCCAGTAATCGTGCTTGCTTGGTTGTTGAAGAGATACACACTGTAGATCAATTCAAGTGCTTTATTAAGTTAGGTAACTAAGATAGATGTGAAGCACTGAGGTCCTGAGGACCTACCCAGTCTAGGTCTTTGAGACACTGACGCGGCCTACTTGAGAACGGGCACTGCTGCTCTATCAGAAATAACGTCAGAGGCTTAGCTGCCTCAGGATTGGCTAAAAACCAACCGTCTTACAATATGAAAGCTAACTCCAGCAGACACAGATGGGCTACTACGACCCGAGTAAGACGAGTAAATACGCAAGGTGCCAGATTTAAGCCGATAGGTAGACAATGAAAGCGGTAAGCTTGTTGCCCCACGTGGAACCCCAACGAATCCCTGAACCCCGGATGAATAAAGACGTGCCAATAAGCGTCCCGGAGGTCCAGGGATATCCAAGCCCCCTGCTCGAGAACGACCCGGACCTGGGCCAAAGTGGTCATCCGAAATGAAGGGCAAGGAATCAACCGGTTCAGATGAGACAAGTCTAGAATGTACTGGAGATTCACACAGTCCCATTTTGGAACTGGAAACAAGCGGGAACCCACTTGAGAGACGAAGTCGTTTCGACTACGACTAAGCGAAGCCACTCCCGGATGACCTGAACAATGGGTGGGGAAGGAGGCTGCCCCCACAGACCTGACATCTCCCCCGAACAGGAGAGACGGTCTACCCAATGCCACCGAAGGCCGGAAAAAACCACCCTAAATGCCCACAAATAATGAAACCAAGCATGGGCAAAGAGAGAGAGCCTCCTCCCTCCCCCAATGCCCCATCAATGGAGCAACCCACGAAAGGGCCTTGCTTCCAAACTGTCGGGTAGGGTTTGTGCATCTGCTCCAGAATTGACTGCGCAGATCCTGGAAGGTGGTGAGCACCTGTTCCCAAATGAGAGGGGGAGGTGGGGCAAATAAGCTCATGTTAGTTTCGAGGGATTCGATCATTTGTTTGCATAGTCGGGGGAATTGGTGATATGTCACCACTCCCAGGCCTCTGTGAGGAGGGGGCCAGATGCTTGGCTCTGGTCCTAGTAGGCCAAAAAACTCCATGGCAACCTGGTAGATTGGAACCATCTCAGTGTATACCTTTAGGGAGTTAATACAGCTCACCCATAAATTGGCATTTCATTACATTCAACACTGGATTTTGATGGCGATTGATTGAAAATGGGGGTATGCTGTAGAGCAAAAACTAGATGTGATAGGCAAAACCAATGTGACATTTGAGTTCATCACCCTCAAATTAGTCAGAAACTAGCCTCTTATGTTAGCAAAAATGTTACATTATTACCTAGACCTCCATGTGTTTACACATGGAGGTTTATAATATATATATTTACACATATATATATATTATATAATATATACAGTATATTATATTATATATTATATAATATATATATATATATACACATGGAGGTATGGAGGTGTTGTTACAAGCAACACATGGACAAAGGAGGAGCTAGATAGTAAATGAGAGGGTCTTATAACAATAATGAGAGAGATTATAGCAAGAGCTGATAAAGATAAATAAAGACTGTTGATAGTCGGCGACTTCAACTTGAAATCCAGAGACTGGGAAGCATATGAAGCTAGAACAGAGGATTTTTGTACCTGTAGGTTTGTAGACCTCATCCTGGAAACATTTTTGTATCAACATGTTAAACAAGCTACTAGGATGAGGGAAGGGGGACGTTCCCTCCATGCTAGATTTGATATTTACCAGGAAGGAGGAAGAGATATTTGACATTCAGTACTTTCCTTCCTTGGGTAAAAGTGACCATGTATTTTTGGGAATAAAGTATGTAATGCGTTATAATCTGGAAGAAAATAAGGAGGTTGAAGCAGTTGAAAAACCTGACTTTAGGAGAGGACATTATGGTGACCTTAGAAATTTTTTTATTGAGTATATCTGGACAGACTTGTTGCTAGGCAAGGAAGTAAATGAGATGCATGTCAAGTTTCGTGAAATATATGATAAAGGCGCACAAAAAATTTATACCAAAGCAGAGATGCAAAACTAGGAAACAGGATTGGTTTAACAGAAATTGTGAGAGGGCCAGAGACCAAAAGACACAAAAATGTATTCAATATAGGAAGAGGCCAAATCCCCAAACATACCAACGATACAAAGATGCGAGAAACAACTACACAGCAGTGAGGAGGGAGGCAGAAAGAAATTTTGAAAAAGGGATTGCAGACAAATGTAAAACAGAACCAGGTCTATTCTATAAATTCATAAACAACAAATTGCAGGTAAAGGATAATATTCAAAGGTTGCAAATGGGAAATAGATTCACGGAAAATGAAAATGAAATGTGTGAAACATTAAACGAAAAGTTCCAAAGTGTGTTTGTACAAAATGAAATCTTCAGGGAACCAGACACAATAAGAATTCCAGAGAACAACATAGAACACATAGAGGTGTCTAGAGACGAAGTGGAAAAAAAATGCTCAAGGAGCTAAGTAAGAACAAAGCAGTTGGTCCATTTGGAGTTTCACCAAGGGTTCTGAAAGAATGTGCACCTGTTCTCAGCATTCCACTTCAACTGATTTTTCAGGCATCCCTGTGTACAGGAGTCGTAGCAGATGTGTGGAAAAAGGCTAACATAGTTCCAATCTACAAAAGTGGAAGCAGGGAAGACCCCCTCAATTATAGACCTGTATCATTGACAAGTGTAATAGTCAAAATATTGGAAAAAATAGTAAAAACTAAATGGGTAGAACACCTGGAGAGAAATGATATAATATCAGACAGACGGTATGGTTTTCAATCTGGAAGATCCTGTGTAACGAACTTACTCAGTTTCTATGATCGAGCCATAGAGATTTTATTGGAAAGAGATGGATGGGTTGACTGCATCTATCTGGACCTAAAAAAGGCTTTCAACAGAGTTCCACATAAGAGGTTGTTCTGGAAACTGGAACATATTGGAGGGGTGACAGGTAAGCTTCTAACATGGATGAAAAATTTCCTAACCGACAGAAAAATGAGGGCCGTAATCAGAGGCAATGTATCTGACTGGAGAAATGTCATGAGTGGAATACCACAGGGTACTCTTGCACCGGTAATGTTCACTGTCTACATAAATGATCTACCAGTTGGAATACAGAATTATATGAACATGTTTGCTGATGATGCTAAGATAATAGGGAAGATAAGAAACCTAGATGATTGTCATGCCCTTCAAGAAGAGATGGACAAAATAATTTATGGAGCACCACATGGCAAATGGAATTTATTGTGAATAAATTCCATGTTGTGGAATGTGGAATTGGAGAACATAGAACCCACACAACCTATAAATTATGTGAGAAATCTTTAAAGAATTCTGACAAAGAAAGAGATCTAGGGGTGGTTCTAGATAGAAAACTGGCATTGAACATTGTGCGATGAGCCTATGCTACACTTTCTAACTTCAGAATTGCTTTTAAATACATGGATGGCAAAATACTAAAAAAAATTGTTCACGATTTCTGTTAGACCAAAGCTGGAATATGCAGCGGTTGTGTGGTGCCCATATCTTAAGAAGTACATCAACAAACTGGAAAAGGTGCAACGACATGCTACTAAGTGGCTCCCAGAACAGAAGGGCAAGAGCTACGAGGAGAGGTTAGAGGCATTAAATATGCCAAAACTAGAAGATGGAAGAAAAAGAGGTGATATGATCACTACATACAAAATAATAACAGCAATCAATAAAATCGATAGGGAAGAAAAAGATAGGGATGAGACGTGGAACTTCAAGAACAAGAGGTCATAGATTTAAACTAACGAAACAAAGCTGCCAAAGGAATATAAGAAAATTCACTTTTGCAAACAGATTGGTCGACGGTTGGAATAAGTTATGCGAGAAGGTGGCGGAGGCCAAAACCGTCAGTAGTTTCAAAGCATTATATGACAGAGTGCTGGGAAGACTGGACACCACGAGCGTAGCTCTCATCCTGTGGCTACACTTAGGTAATTACATATGCTCCATTCCTAAGGCAACTAAACAATTTGGCTGTATTAAATTACACTGTTTTCTGTTTACAAAAAGCATGTTGGTGTTTATGTACATGATTTTGACTAATAAGTATAATTTTGACAAATAAATTTATGTTTACAGTTACTGTTGAATGAGTCACCGAAATACTTGCCAGTTGCCCAGAAGATTCTCTATGAACTGAACCAAACACATGAAATCTTGGATGATGAGGTTGTGGTCCACTGGTTCAGAAAGGGAGGTGCTGCTACTTCAGTTTTTCCTGCCCTGAAAAATGCTGTGAGTACCCACCTAAGATTAGCTATTGTACATAGTGGTTTTACACTTCTCAATATTCTACTGCTGTCATACATTCTCTTCATGTTATGAATTGAAATACCTTCTCGGATTTAGCCCGAAAGAGCCCTTTCGGGCTCTTCCCTTTTGAACTTGGCTCTTGGAACTTCCTCCAGCCTTAGGTTCTGGTCTTTGATAAACAGCTTACCCTATCTCGAAACCTGACATGATTGGGCTCCTTGTCATCGACTTTTGTGTGCTTACCTTACCGTACAGTTACCTTGCATTGGTTCCGGGAGTCAAGGTCCCCGCAGCCCGGTTTCTGACCAGGCCTCCTGGTTGGTGGTCTGGTAAACCAGGCTGTTGGATGTGGATGCTCGCAACCTGACATATGACTCACAGTCTGGTTAATCAGGTATCCTTTGAGGTGTTTAATGAGTTCTCTCTTGAACACTGTGAGGGGTCGGCCAGTTATGCTTCTTATGTGTAATGGAAGCATGTTGAACAGTCTCGGGCCTCTGATATTGATAGAGTTCTCTCTCAGAGTACCCGTTACATCTCTGCTCTTCAACGGTGGTATTCTGCACATCCTGCCGTGGCTTCTGGTCTCATGTGATGTTATTTCTGTGTGCACATTTGGGACCAGCCCCTCTAATATTTTCCACGTGTAAATTATTATGTACATCTCCCACCTGAGCTCTAGAGAATACAGATTTAGGCATTTTAGTTGGTCCCTGTAATTTAGATGGTTTATTGAGTGGATTCTAGCAATAATGGATCTGTGAATACTTTCCAAGTCAGTAATTTCTCTAGCATTGAAAGGGGCTGTTATTGTGCAACAGTATTCCACTCTAGAGAGCACTAGCATCTTGAAAAGTATCATCATTGGTATTGTATCTCTTGTTTGAAAGGCTCTTGTTATCCAATGTCATTTTTCTTCCAGTTGTGATGACTAATTTATTGTATTCTTTAATCACTGCACTGTGCCTTGAGCAGCTAAATCGGTGGTGTGCAGGGAGCCTCAGGGCTCTCATAGGTATAGCATAGCATTCAAAACTCCTGTGGCTACATGGGGGTTCACATCAGCTTCCTCAAGGCTCTAGTAAATAGAAGCCATTTAAAAAAAAATAATTGTGGACAACATTCCCGGGTGTGAAGGCCTCAGTACTGAGTGAGCAGTGAGTATGGCTGTGAGTACATGAGCTAACAGCACTGCTGTTCAGCTTGTGACCACAGCATCGCCTAAAAATATCAAAATACACACGTAACTGGTATTATTTAGCCATGATAGTATTACTGAAGAGCCTTACTGTAATAAAGACTGTACAATGTTCAGATATCGGTGAATAAATGCTGTTCAAGATGTTCACAGCGCTAGCCACAGCACACTGCCATTATTTTGTCCATCTAAGAATCTTCAAACGACTTCTCATGTTCCTTTATAAAATATAAAATAAACTTGTGGAAAATTATTCATTTACAGGATTTAGTGATCAAGATTCTGATAATAGCAGGATTGTGGTGAGAACTAGCGGAGTACGTAGTATGGTTGGAGGAGTAATCTTGGTGAGGAGGGAGAGAGAAGTGGTGTTGCCTGCTGGCTGGTGTGTGACTTGTCATGCAGTGTATGGTGGCCGCTAAGCTGTTTGGACACTATACCAGCTTAGTTGTATGGTTATGGTGAACAAAACATGTAGATACTTATAGATAACATGTTCATATGTAGTGTGATAGAACCACAAACAGTATTGTGGGAGGACGAATATTGGCAAGTTAGGTGTTGAAGGAGTGAGGGAGGGAGGGCTGGCTGGGTGTAGCAGCCCACTCTTGATTTTTTTTGGCTCACCATACCAACTTAGTAGTTCGCTATGATGAACACATAAGTAGATAGGTATATACAATGTGTATATAGTGTAATAACAGCAAAAATACCGATTGATTGTAGAATATAATACAGCGGCACCTCGACTTACGATAATTTCGAGTTACGGTGTAAAGTAAAAAAAAAAGTTACCCGTGAGCGCACAAAATCAGTAAAATGTGTACACTCGTTTCAGTTTTCTCACCTTAATTCTCGTGCTACGTCGTTCATTTTGGTATCATTATGTTCGCAATATAATTCCCTGCAGATGAATATGCATATAATGTCCAAAAGCCTGGCGAGACTCCCCGCAGCAAAGCCTAAAATTACTCGTGAACGAGCACCAATTTGCACACCACAACCTAATGTGTATACTCGTTCAGTTTGATAACATCAATTTTCATGTTACATCTCTCGTTTTGGTATCAAATTGTTCGCAAAATAAAGGCGCACATTTTAAAACTAGTCTCATAATAATAGAGCAATAACTGGAATTTTAACAAATATTTTAATTTTGGACGCTCATCATCAAAATTATTTACTGTATATCTTTCCAGTGTTCTGACATAAATTTTCATGTTACATCGCTTGTTTTGGTATCAAATTGTTCGCATTATAAAGGTGCGCATTTTAAAACTAGTCCCATAATAATAGCACAATAAATAGAATTTTAACAAATAATTTAAAATTTAGACCCAAAAATGGATTTATAATCTTTCAAGTGTTCTGACATCAAGTTTCGTGTTACATCTTTCATTTTGGTGTCAAATTGTGCGCATTTTAAAGGCGCTTATTTTGAAACTATCCCGAGGTTGATTGGTTAAAAAATGAATTTTATGCAAATATTTTTGTAGTGGACGCGAGTGCTGTCCACGGCTAGGACTCGAGAGAAAAAAAATGGACGTGATTGGTGTCCAAAGCAAGCGATAGTGTTAAAATTGATGAATGCGTCTTTGGAGTCAACTGCTGGATGGAATCGACTTGGTCTGAGGACGGGTTGCCAATTGGATATAAATTGGGTCTTTCAATAGGCCACAGATAACATGATGTTAAATGAAAATAAGTTCCAGTTCCTTCACTATGGAAAAAACGAAAATATAAAAAGGAGACTGTACAGTATATAAAATGGAATCAAATCATACTATAGAATGAAAAAAGCAATGTAAAGAATCTAGGAGTAATCATGTTGGAAGACCTTACTTTTAAGGAACACAGTAAAGTTGCTGTCACGACTACAAGAAAAATGACAGGTTGGATAACGAGGACCTTTCAAACAAGGAATGCCTCGTTTAGAAAAATTGTTTTAGTCAAACAATTGTTGGTAAAGGTATTATTTTGGTCAAAACAATACATTGTTTTGAAAGATACTGAGATACCTTTAACTAAGTTGCGCTCAGCTCTCTTGTTTCACATAGCACTGAAACTTACCTACAGGCATATCCATGTGTCAGTGACTTGCACAAGTTCACGTGTTATTTCCTGTGCTGACATTCAGGTCTGGGGGTCTTGGTTGAACAGGTTTGCTACCAGCTTTTTTTCCCCACTCTTTCAGCCAGGCTGTGGACCATACTTGTCTTAAATTTTCCCCATTTGTTCCAGCAATATTTATATTGGAAATAGAAAGCTATGGATTTCACAGTTCACACAGTACATATGGTGTTTTCTGACTGCCTATGTCACCTCTGTTCTTCACTTGGTCTGTTCTGCATATGTGGAACCTAACCCTAGTCTCTAACTTTCTTCTCAATGGGAGCATAGTCAGCCATGCATTCCTCAACTGCACTTTGTTCCACCACTTCCTCTCCATCTACATACTGTCTGTAGGTTGTAAACAGGTGGAAAACACTGAAAAAAGGAAAAGATTTTGGAAGCCACCTTTATTCACAACGTAAAGTAAATATTCCGTTTAGCTTTGTGTCTGGTACATTTTTAAGAGGTTGAAAGTAAAGTGGTAGACCTCATTATATATTTATGGCTATAGGGATAAAAATTTTCCTTTTTATTGTATGACTTCTGAACCTCTTCAATACTTTTGTTATAGATTGCAAGATTTATCGAGTGGCTGGAGCAGGAAGATAGTGATGATAGTGAAGATCAAGATTAGCATATGGTCATTCATCTTATGGTTGACAAAGCTTAATTTGAAATAATTCAATTTGCATAACACAATGTTTCTGATAAAATGAATATAAGTAATAATGGAAATAAAAAGCGGCAATCATTTTAAGATGAAAAAATTAGGTGCAAAGGTCATTTTCATCTGACCAGTTTTGGTCCGAGCCCCTTTATTTCAAAATTACTGTATTGCAAAGAACAAGCACTTGTGATTTGACGAAAAAAATAAAAGTACTGTAAAACTAATCCTTTTATTTTATAAATATGGCTATGTACATGTATCCTGCATTGAATTACAAATGTGTACACCATCTGCAGTGCTCAGATGTAAAGTATACTACGGCTTTAATAGTAGACTTCACATACAGACAACTGTTCATCAGCATTACCTGTCGGATGTTCTCTTTGGTAGGTACCTATTTCTTCACAAATTTTTTGGCATGATGAAAATATGAAGTAATTGTAAACCTTAGGAGTAAAATAATTGACTATTGGCAGCTGTAAAACATGAGCTCACCCAATAAATGTAATGTTAACAATAATGTCTTATATTTTGTAGTAATAAATTATATAAAACAGTGGTACATTATGACAAATTACACATTCAGATTGTAACACTTGAAAATGTTATGACCATTATCTTTAATTATCAAAAGAAGGCACCAAGCCAGGGAGACCATACAGCACATATCTTTTAAACAAAATTAGTGTACATGCACTCATCTGAAAGGAAGAGATCATCACTGTTCTGGGGGAACTATGTTAAAGACTTGCTACAAACTTGACTTGCCCTTTACGCGGCCTTTACCACGATTCTTGCGTGAAGCCGATGCACGAACAGATGCATCTGTAGCGGTCGACTTATTATGTCTGTTACCATCCACCTCATCCCTCAGAGGACCACTACTACGTCTAGCACGCAAATTTGTTCCTCCAGCTAATGTAAAGGTCCTTGTGACAATACCTTGGTGACGAGATGATTGGGAATTCACGGAACTTGCACTGGCTGTGGTAGACGAGGTTGTATTCGATGTAGTAGTTGTTAAAGTACTATCTGTAATAGTACAAGTGATAGTTGTTGGGGTGGTAACGGTCGATGTCAACTGTTGCATGTTTGAATCTGTAATGTTGGTAGTTACAGATGATTGAGAAACTAGTAGTTGGCATACTTGAGAATCATCAGTAGTAATGTTCAGGTTATTAGTTGATGCTAAATGCTTATGTTCTGTGCTAGATATTACTGCAGTTATTGATGAAGTGCTAGTTACTGCTGAGGATGTTTTATTATCTGAACTTGTACTGGAACCACTGTTTGTTGGAGCGACTATATTTCTTGCTCTTTCGCTCATCTCAGAAGCTGCCACAAGCAGAGCTAATTCCCCCGTTGGTACACTGGAGGGTGTAGTGGAGGTTGAGGTGGATGAAGACTGCAAAAGGGTAATCGGAGGTGCAACTGTTGTAGAAGATACAAGAGTTGGGGTGACCAGAGAGGTTGGGAGTGTTACAGGGGTTGTATGTGTCGTGAGTGTAGAGGATGCTTGAGTTATAGGGCTGGGTGTTGTTACCAGCATCACCGTGGGGCGGCTGGTATTTAAAGTGCGAGTGGTAGAAATAGTGCGGCTGGTATGAGCCACAATGGGCCGCATCAGGCGAGGGCTGGAAGTTAGAATTACTCTACTGCGACCACTACTCGGCACACTACCTGCACCACTAACACCTCCCGCACTCACTACCACAGATCCAACACCCAGAGACAGAGGGGAACTTTCTGAAATAACTGTTCCAGAGCCAGTGGACATTCCCATGGTGTTTGTAATAACCATGGAAGGGCTTGCCATGCGAACACTAGACGACGATGTAACGTTGGTAAGGAGAAATGAGGCAGCGGACGTCTTGGGGCTGCCAGAGTAGACCCTCACCCCAGACCCACCTCCTCGAGGGCTGAGTGGACCACCTACTTGGAAGGGAGTGGGGAGAAAAGGTCAATGTTAAGTAACTTATAGAATTTTAAAAGGTCTACCAATATTTGCATTTCTGCACTGCAATAATATTTTCAATACTGCAATTCTATTAGCTATAATATCTCATAATGAATGATCCATTATTATTACTCATTGAAAGGTATGCATTGTTACTTGTCTATAACACGGACAAAATGATATTCGCTCATTAACCACATTTAACATTCATATATTGCTCTCATATGGGGTACTGATACCTGCAATGCAATTGAATTTTTTTTAAGTAATATTCCTACTGTGGGATGGTGCCTCCACAGAGTAAATAGAAAGTAGTATAATAATACTGTAAGTTTTTTTTTTTTTTTTTTACAAATTGTAGTGTGTAAGGTATAGTAATGGATGGGTACATAGCATCACCACCATATTCTAGCAAACTCAACACAGCTGCACCACATTTCATAAGACCAGTGTACCAGGCTTTACTTGATTTGTCAATCATTTACTGCCTTTCCACAAAGTGCTGCCATGTCTTCCCCCAATTTTCTTACTCACCATGTCTGCCCATTATCATCTTGGCCTTCTACTCCTCTCATATTCATTCAAATGCACTCATCTCACCAGCCAATGGATATTTATTTCTTTAACATGAATACTATAGTACAATTTTTTGTTTACATAGATGGGGTACATGAGTAAATAATTTGACTCATTAACAGGTTTCTTTCTCACAGCTCATTTTAAACCTTACTAGTTTTATATGGCACATAATCTGCCAGTCAGTTTACCACCAGGTCTCCAATTACTGTTGGGTTAACAAAGGTAAAGTCTATAATTAGCACCAAATATTTTTCATATCCATACTTCACCAGCATTTTGCACCTATACATATGACAGGACACCCATACCTTCATGCAATCATCTTTGTACATCTCTTCCAAATCTTGTTCTGTATACCAGGATTTTTTCATTGTACCAGCCACTTTCCATTCCTAACTTCTTGTACAAATTCCTTTTTTGTCATCCACAGCTCAGGTATTTAAACTTATCCACCATTCCTTTCATACATACTGTATTTCACATACAATTTCCTTCTTTCTATCAGAACTTTAGTCCATATTAATTTGTAAGGTTTCTCATTCATTTGTAAAGCTTCTCATCTTCAAATATCAATTGTGACAAAAGCTATTTATTAATGACAATCTATTATACATTAGATTGTCATTATAATATTTTTACTTTGAACTTCCTCATGACCTCATTTATAATAAGATACATACTTGTCTAGGGGGAGCCCCTTGTGGCTTCCTGAAAAAATCATTGAATGTTTGCCGACTACTAGGTTGCATCAGCTGCAGAGTTCTGATAGGTCTGACAGGGACCACTGCCAGAACCTGGCCCTCCCTCACAGAGGTGCAGGGAGCGGTGGCATGTATTTATTTACACCACCAATGGGGAAGGCACCTAGTCAGCGAGACAAAACAGACCACTGCTGACTTAAATAGAAACTGCAACCTCAAGACATGCCAAAACAACTCTCTGAACTGTGTAAAAAATTGAAATCTTTCTAAACTAGTACATGCTCATTCACCGCACCTCCCCCACTCATTTGAGGGAAGGAAGGAGGTAGCGTGCAGTAAACAAGCTACACCACCTTCAGTTCTATGCTGTGTAGTGTATGCTTGGTCACTTCTCTGCTGTTTGGGCTCCGGTGTTTTACTGTTGCAGCCAAGTGGTGGTCTTTGCCTTTGTGGGCATTCCTGTACACTGTTCAGTGTTGTGTGAGCCTGGACATCAATTGTGCTTGGAGCTGCACGTGCACATGGTTATCTTCCCTGCCTGCTCATTTGAGCTGCCCTCGCACTGCAGAGTTCTCTTTCCTTGGTTGTTTAGGAGTCATTCCATAGGGGCTCTCCTTGCATGTGGTGGCCCTTACCCAGGGCGAGTCAGGTGTCTTGGAATTTTCCTGCCTTTACTAGGGTTAACTTGCCTTTCGGTGGTTCCGGGGTTCAGGGTCCCAGCGGCCCAGTCTCTGACCAGGCCTCCTGGTTGGTCTGGTCAACCAGGCTGTTGGACGCACCTGCTCGCAGCCTGACATATGAATCACAGACTGGTTGATCAGGTATCCTTTTGGAGGTATTTATTGAGTTCTCTCTTTAACACTGTGAGGGGTCGGCCAGTTATGCCCCTTATGTGTAGTGGAAGCATGTTGAACAGTCTCGGGCCTTTGATGTTGATAAGAGTTTTCTCTTAGAGTACTTATTGCACCTCTGCTTTTCAATGGGGATATTCTGCACATCCTGCTATGTCTTATGGTCTCATGTGATGTTATGTCTGTGTGCAAATTTGGGATTAGCCCCTTTGGGACCAGGAGGGGTCATTGGCTGGCTTGGGGTGCACTGGGTATTTGCATGCTACATTATAGTGTGCATAGGTAGGCCTTCACAGCCATACGAGCAGCTGCTGTGTTGGCTTGCTATGCAGTCTCTATACTAGTACTTCAATTCTATTGTCTGTATAGATTCGGTAACTTCCTCCAATTTAAGGTCCAGCATAGTGTCCCAGTACCTGGGTGTCCTGCTTGGTCTATTCTTTCAGGCCTTGGAAATCCTCTGCAGGTTTGGTGATCCTATCAATATCCCCACCCATCTTTCTCTTGCCCTGCGCGAGCTTCAGGGTTGCTTGTCGTCCATGTCACATGATGGCATTCAGTCCACCTGCCTCCACTGTGCTTCCTATTGAGTCAGTAGCACCTTCGGCCCGGAGTCCTGTGGGGGATTTGCTCTCCCCATATAGCTTTTCCATGAAGCCCACTTGATGGGGCTTCTCAGGCAGTGACTACTGTGTCTCTTCATTTTTCTAGGTTGCAGTAGTTTGGGTTGTGTCTGGTTAGTTGTCCCAGAGCTGCCCCAACGGTGGTTAGGACTCTAAAATTGTGGTGTTGGGTAATTTCTACCCTTGTTCTGTCTGCACCTCCTCTTCCTTCCCTTATGGTAACCATGTTGTAGGCGGTTGTGGGGTGCAGGCTCTTGTGCCGGCTGCTGCATTGCCAGCTTCCTCTTCGGGTTTTCGGTGTTCAGTTCCCTGGTGCCTTCCTCCACCCTAGATCGATATATTTGGGATGCCTCAGGTCTGGGTTGGGGTTTTGTAACCAGCACTCACCAAGCAGATCAGGGTTGTTGGTCTCCTTTGTTAGGTTTAGGGTACAGTGCAGATGTTGTGGGGAGTATGCCGTGCACTGCGGTGAGTGTATTTCACTGATACTTGGGCGGTCACACTGGGTTCTGGTGGCTCAGTTTCTTGTGCCTAGGCCCTGATGTCCTTGTGTGACATTGGGTTGTCTCTTCTTTGTCTCAATTCCTGCAGTGCTTCCTCCTCCCTGGTCAGTGCCAATTTGTTTTTTCTCCATGGGTAGTAAGCTTGAAGGAGCCACGTGTGCTTTCCCTCCAAAAAACCAGCGTAATGAAACTCCAATTTCTGCGCGAGCCCTGGTGGCTCCCTGACACCCTCCCTCCCTCTGGGTCATTAGGAAGTTGGTTACATCTGCCATAGAACTGAAGATGGTGTTGCCTCCTGACCATGATCTACCTCACTCCTTCCCGACTCATACGTCAGGCTGCGAGCAGCCGCGTCTAACAGCCTGGTTGATCAGTCCAGCAACCAGGAGGCCTGGTCGACGACCGGGCCGCGGGGATGCTAAGCCCCGGAAGCACCTCAAGGTAACCTCAAGGTTCCCCTCAAACGAGTATGGGAAACGGAGTGAATGAACTTGTACTAGTTTGGATAGATTTTAATAGTTTGTTTACATAGTTCTGAGAGTTCTTTCAGCATTTCTCATAACCAGTCTCTATTTAAGCCAGCAGTTTTGTCTTGCTGGCTTTCTGCGTGCCTTCCCTGGTGGTGGCATGAATTAATGCTTGCACCATTCCCTGCACTTCTGAGTGGGACAGGTTCTGGCACATGGCTCCCCAGTAAGTGTATAAGAACTCTGTAGCTGATACAACCTAGCAGTTGGCACGCTATCAGTGATAGTAGCTGCAGGAAGCCATCGGGGCACACCCAGAAATTGGCATTTCATCGCATTCGACGCTGGATTTTTAACTCTGCTTTACAATAATTAGATTAAAAGATTGAGCCCAGTCTATTCAATTATTGACTGTTGTTGTTTCTGCTCATACAAGTACTATACCACTAAGAGGGAAGTACTGTATTCTTAAAACTACAGATGTATCAAGCTCAGTGTTATCCAGTAATTGTTTGCATTCATTGCTAACTTTTTTCCTCATGCAGGGATTCTATTTTCTGATTTTGTTCTATCGTATGTTTAGTTCCATATTCACTAAGCATGTGCACAATTTACATAGCTAATGTATAACTTTGTCACGTGACCTCTCTGTTAAAAGGAGCTTTTCCTGGCAAGTAATTTATGGGTAATCTAACTTTTTGAAAATACATGATAAATATAAATATAGCCCCTCACCTTTAACAGCAGCAATGTGAGTTTCAGTAGCAGCATCATTGGTTGAAAGCAATATAGGAGTAGTGAGAGGTGTGGCCACCTTGTTCATCACAGGCTTACCCAGGCGTGCTCCTTGTGCCTCAACCCCACCCACTTTGGTGGCTGTTAAGGTATGCATCAAAGGCTGCGATTTTGTAGCTGGACGACCTTTTTTATTCCAGCCCACTGGTGTCACAATAGTACTGCCCATAATCTAGAGTGAAAAATCAATTTTGTTATTTTTATGCTTATTATTCTATTCCTGTGTAATCTACAATGCTCTTGTATTTTAACTTTTTTTTTTTTTTTTTGGCACACGTCATCAAGTCTAATTTAGTACAGAAATGAATGAGGTAGTGAGCTGGCTGGAGCCTTGGTTTGCAGGTTCTGCCATCTAGTAGTGGGGTAGAGTAACCAGTGACTGGAAGTCCAACCACTTGGAGTGGTCGGTACAGCGACTGCCTCGCTTCATGCAGGTCAGTGTTCGAGCCCCCGATGCTCCAGGGAGTTGGGCATTATTCCTACCCTCCCGCCTATCCTAGATACTTTGTCCTCAAATTCATTCCAAGTGCTACATAGTCACACTGGCTTAGCACTTTCTCTTAATATTTTACTTTTTTTTTAGGGATTGGAACTAACAAATGTGTACATAGTTGTCAGGATTGTAAATGTTGCAATTGTCTTGGGTCATTATTATTATTTTTTTTTTAATCTTAGCTTGAGTTGATGTAGTACAGTACAGGACCTGTACAGTGTTTTCACTCACTGAACTATATGGCACACATGGCCATGGCCAGGGAGGTTGTCCAAGCCATCAGTCCCCAGGCAGCTCCTGAGTCCCAGGACAGACAACAAGATGGGGGAGGCCGTACATCTACTATAATGCATATAAAAGTCTCAGACTTACCAGGAGAGTTGTATAGTGAAATATCTAGAAATAACCTTTAAGTATACTAGGTAAGTACAAATGCATCATAATCCATATTTCTTCAAGTCTGCATTAATCAAAACTATCACCAAAAAATCTATTTATTATATATTTTATCATTTTGACTATGGCATAAAATAAAGCAATTATTGGCAAACAAATAACTATTTGACAATTATTGGTGGGTGGAAACATTACATAATGGCCGGGGCTTACATAAACTATCAGTCTTTATATCAATATTCAAGGACAAAAATATTATAAATGTTTCCTTTTAACCATAGCATCTGATAGAGCAATCAGCTGCAATAACATTTCTATAAAAATTACATATAACAAGTCTTGTTGAATCCAAACACGGGAAATAATCCAATCTTCTCGACACACTGGTGAGGGCGGAGGGTTGCGAGAGGGAGGAAAGCCACCACCACCACCTCCCCACTCCACCACCACAACACACTCAGCTCGTCACTAATGCCAGTCAGCTGATGGTGAAGCTACACCGTGTGTCATCAAATTTCACTCAAATGGAAATGTTCTTTTAATATTTATTACAATCTTCAGCATTATGATTGCTCCAATATGACATCTTGCTAATAAAAAAGGCAAATTGCAGTAGAGATAATTGACAATAACATCTCTCAATTGAATTATTGCTTGGAAGCATTTTATTGCAATGTGCAGCATTATGATTGCTGTAATGACATATCTTGTAAATAAAAAAAAAATTGCAAATTACAGGACTGATAAATCAATAATTGACAGTAAAATCTCTCAATTGACTCGTATCTTAAACATTTAACTCAAAACTACAGCACACACAAAAATAGATATTAATGACTGACACTAACATTGTACAATAGTTTTTTGGTATCAAAATTGTACATATGATCAATATTGAAACCAAGCAAGCGAAATTTAGACTTTTCTCACCACGCTTGTGAGGGAAGGAGGAAGGTAGGGCTCCTCCATCCATCACCACCATGCACGGCATGGAGGACCAGGATATAAAATCTACACAGTAAAATACCATACTGGAGTGAACGATATGGAAGAAAATGCAGAAGAGCAGGAGTGCCATAGGCACAATCAGAGAACACTGTGTAAACATCAGAGGTCCACGGTTGTTCAATATCCTCCCAGCGAGCATAAGAAATATTGTCGGAACAACCATGGAAAAAAAAGAGAGAGAGAGATATGGGGGGGGGGTTCTAGGTAGGAATCTATCACCTAGGGACCACATAAAGAACATCATACGAGGAGCCTATGCTACACTTTTCAATTTCAGGTTTGCTTTTAAATACAGTATTGTACACAGATGATGAAATACTAAAGAAATTGTTCACAACTTTTGTTAGAGCAATGTTGTAATATTCAGCAGTTGTATGTTGCCCATATCTTAGTAAGCACATCAACAAGCTGGAAAAAATGTAGACATGCAAGAAAATGGCTCCGGAATTGAAGAGCAAGAGCTACATGGAGAGGTTAGAGGCATTAAATATGCCACAAGCAGAAGATAGAAGAGAAAGAGGCGATATGATCACTACATACAAAACTAACAGGAATCGATAAAACCGATAGAGAAGAATTCCCGAGATCTGGAACTTCAAAAACAAGAGGTTATATATTTAAACTAAACAAAGCTGACAAAGAAATACAAGAAAATTCTTTCACAAACAGTGGTAGATGACTGGAACTAATTAGGCTAAGTGGTGGTGGAGGCCAAAACCGTCAGTAGTTTCGAAGCGTTATGTGACAAGATTACTGGGAAGACAGGACACCACCAGTATAGCTCTCATCTTGTAAATGCTTAGGTAATTACAATACTATCAACATGACTACAATCACTTCATTCCTGCCAAACACACGACAAGACTATGAGGTTGCTACAACGTGCAAACAAGTTGTAACAACTTTCTAACGTGTCATACAAACTTTATAACAGGATGTAGCAACTTTGTACCAAGTTGTAACATAGCAACAATAGGGACTGTTAAGTTGTGTGTTTGCAGGGTTACTGTCACTACCACCACCACTATTATCACTATCTTCACCACCACTTTATTACTATCAACACTGTGACCACCACTTCATTACTATCAACACTGTGACCACCACTTCATTACTATCAACACTGTGACCACCACTTCATTACTATCAACACTGTGACCACCACTTCATTACTATCAACACTGCCACCACCACTTCATTACTATCAACACTGCCACCACCACTTTATTACTATCAACACCACTACCACATTGGTGGAAGTTGGAAACACAAATGAGTTGGAGAAATATAAGGTAATACTCTGTATGGGTGATCAAGAGGAATGCACTGAAAAGATAAATAAATAGAGCCAATCCTATGCAAAAAGCCTGAAGATTTCCTAGTAAGCAACTATAAACCTTGAGCCTACAGCTTTGCTCAGAACAAAAAGAATAGTTGTTACCTTCCTGGCCTGAAGATCTGCAGTGTTAGTTGAAGTAGTGGTGACAACAGTTGCCAGTGTGCCCGCTGAAGGTAAAGTGGCCGGAGAGAACATAGGCGGAGATTCTTTTAATAGCTTTCCTGACAGGTTACCCAGCACAAGTCCAGTTGTTATTCTGCTGCTGCCACTAGCTGTGTCCTGGGGAGCAGTAAACATACAGTGAAACTATCTATCTAAATTACAGTACAAATATGCACCGAGTGTAGGCAAGAACTGACCGACTGTAGAGGAAATACTGCAGGAGCATGAAGATCATTGGTAAAATGCCTGGAAGGCTTTACACAGATAAAAGGTAATTACCATTACACAGGTAATGTTATCTGTGTAACGTTACCACCTTGAAACAGTAAGTAATTATCAAAAGAAGGCACCAAGTCAGGGAGACTATGTAGCCACCTGGAAAAAACCCAGCATTGAATATAATGAAACGCCATTTGTTTCATTACTCTGGGTGAATCCCGGAGGCACCCCAGAGCTATCCAGGCTGATATGGATATATTACACTTTGGTATCAGTCAATGTGAATGGAGTTCTAGACGTACTGGGGACCACGAGCCAGAAACTGGCCCCCTCAGAGAGGCACAAGGAGCAATGGCCTTTAGAAATGCACATGTGGTTATGGAGCACTATGTCAGCCAACGAGCGGGTCAGGCATCCAGAAAGGTAAGCGTCCCAAAACAAACCCCCTACTCTAGTTAAAACTATTATTGAAAGTCAAATGTGTGGACAGAATTTTCCAAATGGAAACAAGCAAATGACCATGACGTCACCAGACGCTGGGCCGCCATCTGCACAGCTTCCCTCTCCCCGAGAGCGGGAAGGGGGGAGCCCCAGACCCCTCACGCCGGCCACAACACCTTAGTTCTGAGATGGATGTCAAAACACACAAAAAACTGCTGACCAAAGGGATACCAGGGAGGGCACAAAAGGGCGAAGACAACCTAAGAGCCAGAGCCCAAGTGGATTCCATGGAGGAAGCAAGCACAACCTGCCGACGCGCGAGACATGCAGCAAAAAACAGCGACAGCGCAACCCGCAGGATCGGCGCAAACATCATGCGCAGATGACGCACGAGCAGCCGAGACCAAGGTACCAGACCCAGGAACGGCCCCAAGCGCCTCTACATCCTCCGCAAGCCAATCTGAAGACAGCTCCAGGGGAAAAAGAAACGAAAGACCGAAGCCAGCAAGCCACGAGCGCACAAGTTCTCAGCAACAAGCACAGCTGACAGGGAAGGAACCTGCACGTGAAGGTGAATCGTGCCCACATCCCACAGAAGGGCAGGGGCGAACAAGCACTCATTAAAGTGCTCAAAGTCATCCCCCAGGTAAACCTGGACCACAGTCAACGCCTTGCGTCACTCAAGTGTGCAGGTATGACAGAAAGCGCTCTAAGCATTCAATGACAACAATGGGTAGTCTGCTAGCCAGGACGACTCCGGAACTTCGTAACGAACCCAGCATGGAGATGATGACCCAAACCTGAAGGAAGACGAATCCATTATAGAGGCATATTCCAGGTCATGCAGGTGGTAAGCCGCAATGACCGCCAGCACCTCAGTAGGCGAGACACGGGAAGCCGAAAACCTCCGGAAAGACGGAACCGAACCCTAATCCAACCCGTATGCAGAGGGGGAAAAAGGAAAACCCCACTCCTTGTAACAGTAGGCCCTGCTCTGAGGGTCGGAAAACCCAGGCGGGGTCCAACGGGGACCAAGGCCCCCAAGTCAGCTCCTCCCCAACCCCGGGAACCTCCACATCAGGCCCCCTGGGGCGAGTCATCCTCCAAAGCCCCGGCCTCACAAGAAAAAGCTAGGGCGGCCGACAAAGTGGGAAGAGAAGGGGCCCACTGGTCAGTCCCTGGTGCTACGGCTGGAGGAACAGACTCGAATACTGGAGTGAACGATATGGAAGAAAATGCAGAACCAGTGAAGAGCAGGGGTGCCATAAGCACAATCAGAGAACACTATAAACATCAGAGGTCCACGGTTGTTCAACATCCTCCCAGAGAATATAAGAAATATTGCCGGAACAACTGTGGACAAACACCCAAGAAGGGGCAACCCCCAAAACCGCCAGAGTCTCAGAAACCTCTAAGCTCTGCCCCGACCCCATAAGCCCTCAGACGCAGGGAAAGAACGAGGGGGTGCTGACTGAATCAAGGCCGAAACAACCAACACCCCAAAGTCCGGGTCCCTATAAGCAAAGCGGGGCAGCCTCAAATCCGGGGAAGCAACCAACCTAGTATGTTGCAGCAACCAAAACCTAGCATGCAATACCCTAGTAACCTGCACCCGAATATCATCATCATCTGATTGGGTGAATTGTGCCACAAACAACAGTGTTCACAGTACTCGGGGTCGAAGGTGTCACCAATCCAACAGGCAGCATGACGGAGGCAAAAAACATGAGTGTTTCCCTGAGACAAGGAAACAGAGCAACCCTGAAACTCGCACAAAGTGAGAGGGGACCCAGGGGTTGCATCCATTGGACCCCGTGCACCCCCGCGGGGTTTCCTAGGGCCTTAGACTGGTATCGCAAAGGGTAAGCCCAGGCAGGGTACTGCTAACCGGCATCCAAAGCTGCCAAACAACCTGCTAAAGCTGAACCCCTGGGACGTGTCCACTCACAGGGGGCCAAGCAGGAGGTACCACTGAAAACAGAAGGTCAAACCCTAATATAATAGGAGGTAAGGGACACAACGGCAAACTCCCACCAAACAAAAATAAAAATAAAAATAAAAACCACGCAAGAGGAAAACATACTCAGGAGGAACAGAGCCGGCCACTGTTATAGGTGAAAACTAGCAGCGCAGAACCTTGTGCCCCTACCAGTGCAAAACTACCATTTATCCCAAGGTAAACAAGGGCGGAAAGCCTCCAACACACTTGGGGTGGTCAATCGTCGAGCTGCAAAAAGTCAACAGAGGTAGACCCCAAGGTGACTTGTGGAAGAGAACCCATAACTCCGAGGATGGTACTTACAGGGCACTTAGGGAAGGAAACCCTAAGCACATGCAGCTCGAGTACCTGTGAATATCACTCCCAGCTCGCATGCCACTGTAAAAGCAGTACTGGACCCAAGGCACAGCACAACACAGAGAATCTGGAACCACACAACTATGCCACATCACATCAGCCGAGGAACTGCAGGGTGATTCGCCGTTGCAGGGGTCTGAGGCTCCCCCTCCCGGGGAGGGGGGGAGCAGCGCAGACATGCGGCACAGCTTGTGTGACGTCATGCTTGTTTGCCCATTTTCATTTGGAGAGTTCTGTCTACTCGTTTGTCTATTTTAGTCATTTTAACCAGGATAGAGGTTTGTTTTGAGATGCTTACCTTTCTGGGTGTCTGTCCCAGTCGATGGCAGATATAGAAGGCTCCAAATGTGCATTTCTATAGACCATTGCTCCTCGTGCCTCTAAGGGGACCAGGTTCTGGTTCGTGGTCCATGGTAGGCCTAGAATTCCATTCACACTGACTGATGCCAAAGTCTAATGACACACACAACAGCCTGGATAGCTCCAGGGAGCCGAAGGGACTCCCACCAGAAACATGCTGGAGGGATGAAAGAGAGACTTCAGACATGGATGAAAAATTTTCTAACTAACAGACAGATGAGGGCAGTAATCAGAGAAAATACAGTATATCTGACTGGAGGAGTGTTACTAGCGGAGTACCACAGGGCTCAGTTCTCGCACAAGTTCATCGTCTACATAAACGATCTACCAGAAGGAATACAGAATAATGTCTTTCAAATTGATCTAAATAAAATAAGTGCTTGGAGCATTGTGGCAAATGGAATTCAATGTCAATAAATGCCATGTTATGGAATGTGAAATTGGAGAAAATAGGCCACACACAACTTACAAATTATGTGGAAAGGAATTACAGAACTAATAAAGAACGAGACCTAGGGGGTTATTTTGGATAGTAAGCTGTTGCCAGAGGAACACACAAAAAACATTGTGAGAGGAGCCTATGTGTTGCTTTTCAACTTCAGACTTGCTTTTAATTATATTGATGGTGAAATACTAAAGAAAATGTTCGTGACTTTTGTGAAGCCAAAATTGTAATATGCAGCAGTTGTATGGTGCCCAAATCTCAAGCACCTAAATAAACTGGAAAAGGCACAACGGCATGCTAAAAAATGGCTTCCAGAACTGAAAAATAAGAGTTACGAGGAGAGACTAGAGTCATTAAACATGCCACTAAAGTCGGAAACAAATGGGCAGTTTCTTTCACCCTGATGCACCTGTTCACCTAGCAGTAAATAGGTACCTGGGAGTAAGACAGCTGCTATGGGCTGCGTCCTGGGGGTGTGTAACGAAAAGAAGGCCTGGTCGAGGATTTGGTCGCGGCAACGCTAAGCCTCGAAATCATCGAGATAACCTCAAGAAGAATGACCAAAGCTGGAATATGCAGCGGTTGTATGGTGCCCATATCTTAGGAAGCACATCAACAAATTGGGAAGGGTGCAAAGACATGCCACTAAGTGGCTCCCAGAACTGAAGGACAAGAGCTACGAGGAGAGGTTAGAGGCATTAAATATGCCAAAACTAGTAGTAGATAGAAGAAAAATAGGCAATATGATCACTACGTACAAAATAGTAACTGGAATCGATAAAACTGATAGGGGAAGAACTCCCTATTCCTAGAACTTCAAGAACAAGAGGTCATAGATTTACACTAACAAAACAAAGATGCCAAAAATATATGAGAAAACTCACTTTCACAGAGTGGTAGACGGTTGGAACAAGTTAGGCGAGGTGGTGGTGGAGGCCAAGACCGTCAGTACTGTAATTTCAAAACGTTACACGACAAAGAGTGGTGGGAAGACGGGACACCACGAGCGTACCTCACATCCTGTAACTACACTTAGGTAATTACTGTATAGCATGAGCCACCTATGGGGCTCTGGCCTGATAACATGGAAACCCCCTTTCCTTTCCTTCTTTTCTGTTCTTCTAGTCTTGTACATTTAATAATCGATTGCATGGAAGAATTATGGGGTACTGTATTCAGACAGTTTATGGACAATGTACAGCTCTGTAATTCATTAAATATTTTTTGTTTATTGATACAAGTTTTGTGATGACTGGTATCAACTACCAACCCTAACACTGACGACTGAGGCTTTTCATTATCTTTTACTTTATTAAATAAAATATTTATGCTGTATGAGAAGCTTTGTAATGGCAGTACAGTATTTGGATGATGATCAAATCTGTCAATGCCATTAGTTGTTACTTTAATCACCTTTACAGAATTAGAAAAATGTGGAAAATTCTTTCCAATGGAAGCAGTTCTGGGTGCTAAATACTTCAATTTAAAATGCACACCTGCTACTGTTTTAATTGAAATTGTCTCTTGATCCTGGTATGTTGTTTGTTCACATGATTTTCCTAACTTGTATTGTCAGGTTGTCTTTTGCAACAATACAACCAAATTAAGACTTTTCACTGGCAAAGATCTGCGAGCTAAGAAACTCAATAACACCAAACTCAGGATTCTCATAAAATTCTTTCACCGACTTTCTTAGTGAGAGATGACGAGAGTTAGTACCGATTATGTCACTTTCACGACTTGCTGCTTTCAGATATATCTTGATCCAGTCTTCCCTTTCAGTACATTTCCTTCCCGGCACATTTCTTACCTGATCATTTTTGTTTGTCAGGTCAGTGACGAGCACACTCTTCAATGTTTTTTGGGATGATGCATTTTGTAGCTTTCAAAAACATTTTCTGAAAACTATTGCTGATGTTTGGGGAAGAGTCTTTGTACAACATTTTTGTTGTTGTTTTGAGACATTCTTATTGAAGTTTATGTTATTAGACTTTCCCTTTGAAAAACTTGAGCTAAGCATTTTAATATTCCCTTTTAAATTCTTCCAATGGTATTCAGGATTAAATTTCAAACAGGCCTTATAAAATGGTTTAGTGACATCTGTTCCAAGTGTTGAATTTAACGCTACATTTCCCAGTTCTTCTTTTTCCATACCATCTTTATTAGTTCCAGAAAGTGTATCAAGTCCTTCTTGCCTAAATGATGGAGACTGACACTTTCCAAAGGATCAGAGTCATGTCTATGACCTGAATATCATATGCAGTGGCATTTTGGATCAACTCCTGAGGAGTAATTGGCAACCGCTGGAATCTGCTACCCGAGTTCATGAAATCTGCCGGCGAGATGTTTACCTTTGTTACTCTTGGGTCAACACCTGTCACTGGCTCTAGGGTTACCATCTTGGGTGATCAAAAATTTATATTTGTAGTCTTACCAGAGCAGCTAGCAGAAAGGGAAGAGGAGCAGAAAAGACAGTCAGATGTATTATTATTTAGTGTACAAGCAGAAGAAAGGGCAGGAACCTCCAACTGATGAAGCAGTCTCACCTAAATTTTTAAAGGCCTCACCTATATCATTTACTAAGGAATGGAAAGCTTTTGGACCAGTTTCCAATCAAATCAGCCCATTGAAAGTCAAAGCTGTCATCATTAAGAAAATCCACATTTCTATGTATTAAACTAGAAGCACCAACACTAAATTATGAATGTTAATACCCTACTCCCACTTGTATATTAGAAGAGACTTCCAAGTGGTTATTTTGGGGAGTGTAAGAAGCACATGGGGACACCTCCACATGCACCTGGCACAAACAACCACAACCTCTTACACAAGCCAAACACAGACTAGTTGGCTCACTTACACAAAGTCTCTGACGCAGAATTGGACTTCCGTTGGAGCTCGACACAAGGGTAGGAGAGGAAGTAGTGATGCCAATGGACTCGGAAGTTGAGGCTTCTGATTGATGAGGGTAGGAAAATATATCATTAGACATGCCATCACTGCCTGATGCAGCCCTATTTCCTTCATTATGGCAGTTTGTCGAAGGATTCCAAATAACATCAACCTCCACACCTGACCTTTGCTGATCAATGGCTTCATAACTCATCGCAGGTGTATTATCAGTGCTGTGGTGCTCAAGCCTCTGGCTTCACATCCAACCATCTATGTAATCAATGTAATGACCTTTCAAGGCAGATAATACTCTAATGTTATTAAACTTTCTACTGCCCCTTTCATTACCCCTTAAAACACCTATCATTCATATAACAACTAGGTTCATCCTTGATTAATGAAGATCCTCCCAATAGCCAATATGATCTGTCTGTCATGATCAGTCACAACAACTTGATCATCCTGATTATTATTTTGCTCGTATAGTTCTGAAAAACCATTGTTCACAATATTATTCTTACCAATACTCTACTTTCAAAATGTCAACTACAGCCTGAATACTGTTAATTAAACTTTTAATTAGCTACTTATCTTTTGAGAGCAATGATAACTTGTTCAAACCAGTCATACTCTTATGTAATTCACAGTATTCAAGAGTATCTGAAAAACTCCCTCTCATATTAACAAGTTAACTAATTTAATAACTGCTGCATCTGACTTTGGCTGAGCCTATATGAAGGGCAGAGTTACTCTGTATTGTGGTGGGCTTAGGTTTGAATTTAAACAAATTATTACAGTTCAATTTGGATTTTCTGCAATGAGTTCTTGGTGCTCGTCTAGGGTAAGGCACCTTAAAATGATCAATCAACCCACCACCAGAGTGTGAAGACGATATTGTTGAAGTCATCTCTTGAGAAAGACTTGCAAGACCTGCAGAAGTAGTGTGAAAGGTGGTTGTGGTAAATGTGGTGTCCTTTGCAGCTGCAGTAGTTGTCAAGTGGAGGCCGTCAGAGGACGAGGACTGCCGTACTCCCGGCAGATTCAGGATCCTCTGGTATTTCTGACGTGAGAGCGGAGCCAGAGATCCGAGCGGAATGGTGGTCACAGACGACGATATGGGTGATGGGATGGAGCACAGTACAGGGGAGGTGGAGGGAGACAGTTGGTCCTGTGTGGTGCCTTCTACTGTTGCCTGCTGGCATGGGAAAAAGAAAAAGCATGCAGGAAGAAAAGGATGCTAACAATAAGAGAAGCAAATGCAAGCAAGTTGTGCACCCTCAACCACTCCAGTGCAACATGCACATTGCCACACAATTATTAATACTCCTAGTAATTTTCATCTTTCACAGTGCACCAGTGCCTACATTCCTACATGCTACTAAATAATTACCGCCTCACAACTGTGGGTTCCTTACCCAACACTACTGCAACTACAACAAGCAGTTAGCTTAATGAGATAAACCTATTTTGACAAAGTCATCTACTGAGCACATTTACCAGCATATTCTATCCATGTAAAGTATGTGCCCGAGGCTTGCCAAACAATAATAATTATTTTAACAAATTCACAAGGGCCGTGACGAGGATTCGAACCTCTGTCCGGGATGATCCTAGATGCGCCTTCGTCGACTGTGCCACGACATGGTTTAAGAATTGCAACCTGGAGTGCTACTGCCCTCACAAGGCTCCCACAGCTTTTCCGAAGCACAGTCCGGGGCTTTACACAATTTCCCCGTGCACTCGGGTTCTATCAACCAAATGTTCTACCTCTTCTCCCTTACTTCAGTACAGATTTGTTCATTTGATGCATCACGCTATTGTGATTTCTGTGTGTAATAATTGTTTTCTTTTAGTATTAAGGAAAATCCTCCTTAATATTTAAGTGAGTACTTAAGACTGGTTACATGTGTATATTCAGTATTTATATATTTGAAGATGTTTTACCCAGAGGTCACTAGAAAACGTGCTGTAAATTAACCATGGACACTGTCATTTTATTAGTATTTATTCACCAAATTCATCTCCACTGTTTACTTCTAAATACTTGTCACTACAACTTTACTCAAGTTTAAACTATTATTTGCACTTTCTGGCATTAAATGCAAAAACAGCTGCAGAACTTGGTTAACACTGTCTATACAGTTTGGTAAACAATGCACATATCAAATTAAGTAACATTTTAACATTTTCAACGTTGCAAAGAATTGCAACTATAGTTTAAAAATATATAACCAAGTGTTTTATTTATATATATATATATATATATATATATATATATATATATATATATATATATATATATATATATATATATATATATATATATATATATATATATATATATATATATATATATATATATATATATATATATATATATATATATATATATATATAAGTATGTATGTATGTATGTATGTATGTATGTATGTATGTATGTATGTATGTATGTATGTATGTCCTCAACCTAAGGCTATTTATTAATTGTACTTTGTTAAAAACAACAAATAGCAGAACACCTCAACTGCTCCACTATCCCAACAATGACGAGGAAGGCTATGTAGGGAAATACAAATGATCGAGCTTAAGCGGAAAGAATCATACAAGATCAAAGAGAGGCAAAGAGAGCAAAAGACCATAAGTGAAATAGAGAAGAACCCAAAATACTTTTTCTCCTATGCAAAACCTAGAACAAAAATGGCATCCAGCATTGGGCCCTTGCATAAGGGTGATGGAACTTTCACAGATGACAACAAAGAAATGAGTGAAATGCTGAGGTTTCAGTAGTATTCTGTTTTCAGTGAACCCCTGAACACATTGAAGATCAAGGAACCAAATGAATTCTTTAAGAATGTGACACCAGCAGCGAACCATATATCAGATGTCACCCTAACCCCAATGGGCTTTTGAAGTAGCCAGATTGAGGCAGCCTTTGAAGTGGAGATGCTACTTGTTTACTACATGTGTAGCATATGAGTGCATTTAACATTTTTCTGGCCCATTTTATTTGTGTAACTTTAACCTATGTCGTCTTCACCTATTTTCTCAGAGAGAAGACTGACCGTGTCCACCTTGTCAGTTTTCCACTGTAGTCCACTGGTCCTTCTCTCCTCTAAGGAAGTGTTAGATTCAGTTCCTTTAACCTGCCTTCATACCCTAGACTAAATTTAAGCAATAGTTTTTCTCTGTAAGAGCTCCTTGGTGGCATTCTGAAGCTGTATCATTGATATTGCTCCTTATCTACTGGGTCACATCAATCACAGGAGTTCTGTTCAACCAACCGAGACCTGAGCCATAACCTGGTTCCCTCCTCACAGAGGCGGAGAGGGCAAATGACAAACTGCCACACCACCAGGAAACCATTCAGAAAATTAGCACAATGCAGTAAGAAAACCTCTGGAAATAAGGCAATTCTGAGGCACTGAATGGGACCCAGAAACAAGACTGAGGGGAAGAAGCAATGATCATACCTATACATAGAAGAGGGATAAGTAAAATTCTACCTGTGAAACAAAATACCTGCCATAGAGGGGCCCAAAGTCCACAAATTGTTGAAGGGCATCCAAGGGCTCTCGTTCGGATTCCCTCAGCCCTTGAAGCCTGCCATGAAGGTCCCAGAACCAAAGTCCTTGCCTAACACCTATGGCAGAAAGGCATCTTCCCAAGGTGGTGGTTTGGAGGGGGGGGGGAAGGTTGTGAAGGTTAATGCCCTAAAACCTTAGTGGGTCTAGAAGACTCAACTGCCTCCACTGTCTTAAGAGGATGGGGGGGCCACCCTCAAAGAAGGCCGAGCTATGCCCTGAGCTAAACGCTGACAACTCTGAAACCTTCAGATTCTTTGAAGCCAGACCCAGGAGGGAGAGGGCTGGGGAGACCAAAAGCAAGGTGAGCCACATCCACAGAAAAAGGAAGAGAAGGTGCAGACTTAGTCCAGGTGGAGCTCACCAACATCTCCAATTCTGGGTCCCTCAACACTATAGGGGCCAACTCCAGGGCATCCAGATGATCAATATGTCAAGAACGCTTAACCTGTGCAAACCTGGCTTGCAAAGTGGCAGCTCTCTAAAAAGCTTCCAAACTTGAAGCTGAAACAGTAAGGTAAGAGACTCAGTGAGAACAAACGTCACAGGACTCGGTCATAGGTGTCATCAATCCAGCAGACAGTATGGAATAGGCAGAAAGAGTGATCATTGTCAAGTAGCAAAGACAATGAACACACCCCCCCCCCCAAAGCTTGCACTCGTTAAAGGTGGGCTCGATGGGCTGATCCATAACAGGCCATGCCAGAGACCCACGAGGGGATTACCAGAGCATGAACGCAACTAAGCAAGCAGAAACCCTAGACACTGGGGCTGCTCGCTGGAAGAACAGTCATCAAATGCATCCAAAATAAGCAGGCTATGAATGTCAATTGCAGTGCACCATGTAAATAAGCATGTTAACCCCAGTGCACCTCCAGCACAACTAAAGAGTTTCCCCAGTCTAGGGCCTAAACAGAGGACTCAAAGACTTGCTATTAGCCAAAGCAAGGCTCTCCACCCTGGTGGCTTAGCCTTTTTCTGGGACAAAATCCTGAACACACCCGAGAAGATAACTCTGTGCTAGCGGGCACCCAGGGAAGAAAGCCCCGAGTACATGCAGCCCGAAGCACAACACAAACCAAGCCCACTCAACAAGCCAGAATTTAAGCATGTATGTGAAGCTAACACTAAAATAAAGGAAGTCAACAACAGACAAATGCCCCCTGCAGGATGAACAAAGTCCAAGGATGGACAGCACTTAGTCTGAAGCTAAGGAATTTGCCCACCGTTGGTGGACCGGAGCACTATTAGTGCTGTAGTTTCCACCATAACAATAGTAACAGAGTCGGCTGGTCATGGAAGCCAGCTGCAGGATGGGGCTAGGCCGTCTGGTGGTGTTCAACAGTATTAATCACTTTCTAGCTAGTTTGAGTGAATCCTTTGTTCCGTGTGAATTGTTTGCAATGTCGTTTGGCTGTTTCAAGACTTCGTTTATGTGAACTCTCCTGTTGTCTATAAGGCTTTGCTGAATTTCTGGAGGCCTTTTTCTTGTGGGTGGCAAATTGTCACTTGCACCCTGTGCTTCTGTGTGTGTGTACTCACCTAGTTGTACTCGCCTAGTTGTGCTTGCGGGGGTTGAGCTCTGGCTCTTTGGTCCCGCCTCTCAACTGTCAATCAACAGGTGTACAGGTTCTTGAGCCTATTGGGCTCTATCATATCTACACTTAAAACTGTGTATGGAGTCAGCCTCCACCACATCACTTCCTAATGTATTCCATTTGTCAACCACTCTGACACTAAAAAAGTTCTTTCTAATATCTCTGTGGCTCATTTGGGCACTCAGTTTCCACCGGTGTCCCCTAGTGGGTGTGCCCCTTGTGTTAAACAGCCTGTCTTTATCAACCCTGTCGATTCCCTTGAGGATCTTGAATGTGGTGATCATGTCCCCCCTAACTCTTCTGTCTTCCAACGAAGTGAGGTTTAATTCCCGTAGTCTGTGTGTGTGTGTGTGTGTGTGTGTGTGTGTGTGTGTGTGTGTGTGTGTGTGTGGGGGGGGGGGGGGGTGCCCAGGTTCTAACTCTGGTCCCAGTAGGTCAAGCAGATCATCCATGACCGACGTAACCTTTTGGTATGGAGCAATCTCAGGAAGATAGGTTTAGGAAGTCATCTCTGGCACGTCCCCAGAAAAATACATTACCGACAAGACATGCTATGCCTTAAATTTTCTATTTTGCTGTCTGTGTGTCCCAAAAAATGAGAATTTAGTACAGTGGAACCTCTATTAACGAGTTTAATCCGTTCTGGCACTGAGCTCGTTACCTGGAAAACTCGTCTTAAACAAATTTCCCCATTTAAAATAAAGGAAATAAATTTAATCCGTTCCACTCCCAAAAACTTCCATACTTGTATGACTTTTTTTTATGTATATATAATACTGCACATGTAAATATAAATGTTTTGTTGTAGTGTTTTAACGTTTACTTTACCTTATGAAGAGTAGTTGCTGGCTTCAGGGAGACGATGGAGAGGTGGAAAGGAGGAGAGGGGTTATGGTGTGGAAGGAGAATCCACCTCTGAGTCAGGCGGACTCTCTCTTCTTGGGAATTTCACCCAAATTTCATTTCAAATGTCACACAAGGATGCGTTAGACCAGCACCAAATAAAAAACTACGTTGATTACACTCGTTGTGTCAACAATATAATGGTCTTACCACAAAGATACAATACAATGCCGTTCTCCCAAATAGGCAATGTGGTTATTAGAGAAAACGGAAATTTCATGGCAAACATGTATACAATCCCCAAGTCGATCGGATAAGAATTGCATTTTATAGAAATATTTGCTCAAAAGGCGCTTGAGTGCGGTGTTTGGGTGCATTCAAGAGAAAAAAGTGTGTCACGTTCAAGCGACATATACCTGCGAAAGTGATAACACTTTCACAAAGTGTTATCACAAAGTGATAACATTTTCACAGTGTTATCACAAAGTGATAAATTAATTAAACATTTTCACACACCGGGTTGTCACTGCTTTATCAGGGCAGCTTTTCCAAGAATGTGTTCACCTTTTCAAACATTCCAAACACTTCCCTGATTTCAGTGGAAGAGGCAGCATCCTCCCTTACCTCCTCATTCCCTTACTAATGGTGTAAATTGTTGATGAGGACCTGCCATACTCCCTTGTGAGATCGGTCACACAGACACCACACTCATGCTTTGCTATAATTTCCTTCTTTAAATCCACAGTAATTGTGTCTTTCTTCCTCTTGACAACACTATCTTTAGCAAGCAGCTTCTTTGGAGACTTCGTGTGTTACAAATTGTAGTCGCAAAACCACTAAAAACCCAAAGAAAAACTCAAATAAATCCAGAGGGATGCTTGTCGTGTGCGATACAACAACAACACTGGCGTCGGAAGCGTCCGAGAATTTGCGAGAACCCGCGAGATGCTAGGAAGCACCATGTGGTTTTGCTCGTTAATAGAGGCGAGCTCGTCAATAGAGACAAATTTGCTGCGAGTAGCTTGCTCGTTACTGGAAAAACTCGTTAATAGAGCCACTCATTAATCGAGGTTCCACTGTATATCCATGTATGTTATCAGTTATTTTTAATATGAACCTCAAATATTTGACCAATGTTTGGAGATAATGGGACCCACCTGGTATTGTTACAAGCACTTCAAAATACAGTAGACAAGACAGACACGGTTCTTAGTTGGAGTCCAGACATGTGGTCAAAATGAACATATGTAGCCCAAGAGGGTTGAGAAATGCACAACTAGACAAATAATTCCACAAACAAATTAATCAATCTTAGCATCATCACCTAGGAAAAGATAATCACTACAGGTCTTCTATACTAGCTGAAAATTAAAAATACTTGCAAATAAAAAATAAACAAACTCAACTAAAATATATTAAGACGAAGCAAAATACAGTATTGTACTGGAAAATTGTGACCCACAGAGAGAAAACTCACTCGAATAGCAACCAATGTTTTGTTACAAATTACAATGCTAACAATATGAGAAGACACTAGGCAGACTAAGGCTGTATCACGAGCTGTGCGTACCAGAGTGAGTCTTCTTCCCCGAGGAGACACGTTACTTGATCAAGGCTACGACACTCATGCCTCATCAAAGCAATTGTAGCGTCATCAAATTTTAATTAACATTTAGCAAAACTTCTAGATGCTATGGATAAGGTCTGATGCCTACCTTGGGCTGAATAGGTAATGAATCTTCTACAAAGTTGGTTCCCAGAGCAGTTCCAGAGCTCACAGTAGACAAGAGGGGTGAGGTGAGGGTTGCAGAGAATGCTGAAAGGCCACTTGAAAGATCTGTAGTGAGACTCCTCATTTTGGGGTAACGACGAGACTCTGCTTTACGTGTGTACTTGCGCTTTAATGAAGTACTTGGGGAGGCCTGAGAGGTCCCTGTGGACGATAATACAACAATTCAGCACAACTGCATCACAACCCGTCATTCAAAAACAATAGAAAAAACCTGTGATATTTGCAAAAATATCTTATTCATTTGTTCTTGTTGTAGAGTTCAATACTATGATTTTGTAATTCCCTCCTGATACCTTTGATTTGTGTTATTTCAGGTATCATGTAGGTATATGTTAATTGAAGCTGAGGAAACTGAAATCAAGTACAGTACTGTATATTTTTTACCTTTACCCAGATTTGGTCAATTTAATTGACTAATTTAATTGTCTACCATGAACAGGCTACTAAGGCCAACAGTTGGGATATTGACCCTAACTCATCTACAGCAGCCAAAGAGTGGAAGCATTGACAATGCATGTTTGAAAACGGCCGAGTGTGGAGAAAATGCTCCAGACAAACTCAGAACTTTGGTGAATTATCACACACTGTATTAATTATTTACTTGAGTTTACCCGAGATCCACTAATACTAGTGGCCTCGATGAGGCCAAGAAGCCGGCGGCTTGTCGAAGTCCTCCTCCCCCCCATTTGCTTTGATGATCTTTTCCAATTGTACAGTACTGTACTGTAAAAATTAATAGTTTCGGCATTTACAGCTTCCGTGGTTAGGCGGTTCCAGGGGTTTATAACCCTGTGGGTAAAAAAGCATCTCCTGTTCTCAATCCTACATTGTGGCTTGTTGAGCTTGAAACCATTGTTTATTGTTTCCGCTACATCTGACCTTTTGAAAAAATTTCCAGATCAACATCCTCCAAATCGTTCAGTATTTTAAAAGTTTCAATGAGATTTGCCCTGTCATGCCTGGTTTGCAGTGCTGTTAGTCATGTGGCCATCAACCGCTCCTGATACATGATTTGACTTAGCTCTGGAATGATTTTTGTTGCCTGGTGTTGCACTTTCTCCAGAGCAGCTATGTCCTTCTGAAGATGTGGTCTTCATGCTTGGATACAGTAATCCAAATAGGGGCACACCAAAGATTTATGCAATTGAATCACTACCTTTCTTTTCCTTATGTCGGCTGCAAATTTGAATTTATCGAGGACTACAACCTTTGAAAATACCACATCTACATTACATTGAGTGTGCTCGGTGATTTTTTGAGAGAACTACATAAAATCAGCAAAGATTGTAATTTGAAACCAGTTACTGCAGAAGAGTATCGTGAAGAGCTGATCCATGAAGGGAGATCCAGGGAGCCGGTCGGCCGAGCAGACAGCACGCTGGACTTGTGATCCTGTGGTCCTGGGTTCGATCCCAGGCGCCAGCGAGAAACAATGGGCAGAGTTTCTTTCACCCTATGCCCCTGTTACCTAGCAGTAAAATAGGTACCTGGGTGTTAGTCAGCTGTCACGGGCTGCTTCCTGGGGGTGGAGGGCTGATCGAGGACCGGGCCGCGGGGACACTAAAAAGCCCCGAAATCATCTCAAGATAACCTCAAGATCTCAAGATGATGCTGTCATCAATGGTATTTCCTCACTACCCATTTGTCAGCACCTTCTGGAGAACAAGACACTGAACTTGCACAGTGCCTACAATCAGGCATACTCACGTGACCTCGAGTAACGCTGATGCTTACTCTGCATCAAGTGCACACACTGCTGCGATAGTCGCACCTATTCAACACCCCCCGCCCCCCTCAAGAAAAAAGAACTAGACCATGAGAACCACACACTAGTCACTGTCTACACCGCCAAAACGAAATGTTACTTCTATGGTGGTATGTTTACCATTAGAAGTAAGTGCCCAGCATGTGATGTTACCTCTCATAATTGTACCTATTTACTGCTAGGTGAACAGGCACATTAGGGTGAAAGAAATGTTTCCCAGTTGTTTTCGCCTCCACAGGGGATCGAACCCGGAGCCTCAGGACTACGAATTCCAAGCGCTGTCCACTCAGCTGTCAGGCCTGCCCATCATGTTCACAAATTTGCCGCCCTCTTGGACTATTTTGCTAGTACGTCAAGTTGACATTCGGGCGCAGGGGTTCTGGTTGTTGAACAGGGTTTTGGGCCTCAAGAGCTACTTGAGGCCCAGAGACTTTGGGTCGGCTGTCTACACTGACCATCTCTACTTCGGTGTGGTGCCTGCAATTGATTCTCATTTGATCTTCCTCCTCCCTGGTTTTCCTCCCTTCTCCTCTCTGTGGGTAGAAAGCTACAGGGAGCCACAAGGGGCTCCCCTCCCCCAGGAAACCAGTATTGAATGTAATGAAATGCCAATTTTTGAGTGAGCCCCAGTGACTCCCCGTCGCCAGCCCTCTCCCAGGGGCTCGGGTTCTTACATCATTCGTCGAGCTGCTGGTGGAGAGGCTTGTGAGCAGTAGCTTGCTCCCCCTCCCCCCCCCACAAACAAGGGGAAAGATGGGGCAAATGAGCGAGCGCTAGTTCATAACTCTTTCAGTCGTTTGTATATATAGTTAGAGGAAGTTCTATGGCCATTTTAGAGTCTGCAGGTGTAGGAAGTAGCCAGCTACAGTTTGTTTTATCTCGTTGACTTTCTGGGTGCTTTCCCTTGGTGGTGGCATAAATGAATAACTTGATATACAAATGCCACGGCTCCCTGCATGTCTGAGAGAGGGACCAGGTTCTGGCCCTGGGTCTCCAATCTCCAGAGAACTACGCGACTGATGGCACCTAGTAGAACACACATTTTCATCTCCTAGCTACATGAAGCAACTGGGGCTCACCCAGAAATTGGCATTTCATTACATTCAACACTGGTCTTTTAGGTCCAGATAAACAGTCAACCCAATCATCTCTTTCCTGTAGAATCTCTGTGGCTCCTTCATAAAAGCTAAGTACAGTAGATTTGTTCCACAGATCTTCCTGTTTAAAAACATACTGTCTTATTACAATATTTCTCCCCAGGTATTCAATCCATTTGTTAAAAAAAAAAAAAAAAAATGTTCTAATGTTTTGTCTACCACACTTGTCAATGATATGGGTCTATAATTTTCAAGCCTGGGCTTGGTCCAGGCTTGGGGAGTAGAAGAACTCCCAGAACCCCATCAACCAAGTATCAAGCAGGGTTTTCTCTGCTATCATTTTTGAAGATTGGAACTATGTTTGACTTTTTAAATATATCTGCCAGGATGCCTGTACTCAAAGATATCTGGAATATCAATTGAAGTGGAATGTTCAGCTCAGCTGCACATTTTCTCTGAACAAGATGAAACTCCCATTTGATTCAACTGCTTTATTTCTTCCTAACTCCCTTAGTCATTTTTCCACTTTGTCTTGTGGAGCCATCTCGGTGCAGTTAGCAAGGAGCAGCCACCAGTTGGCCCCTCCAGTGGTGGTGCTTGAATATCATCCTGCCCGACTGTTCACGAGCCACCTATGCAACAGTGGACAAATCTTGCGAAGCAACACACTCTTTAACAGATAGGATTTTGTCCAATGAAACCAGGTTGTTGAGGGCCTATAGTACTTCCTACTTTTACCACATCTAAGCATAGTAAAGATGAAAGACAAAATTGGCAAATTACCTCCAGATGATCTGGGTGTGCACGAGTTGGAAAGGGAGGAACACTCGCTCAAAGGGGAGGAATGAGCATTTGCTTGGAAGGGCGATGAGCATGGGGTGCTCAAGGTAGACTCGCCCACACTATATGCTATTCCAGGAGAGGAGAGAGCTGATACACCCACCGGTATCTTAACATTACTTCCACTCATGCTGATTGGAGTACCTGAAAAAATTCATGACACTGCTAAGCATGAAGAATAAATAATAGAAATTACACCCATCAACATGTGCCACACACACACACACACACACACACACACACACACACACACACACACAGGAGGGGGTAAGGTTATTGGCACGCATTCTGTTTAAGAAAGTCTACTGTACAATGACTGACACAGGAAGATTAACTACATCAAGAGCAGCATGGAGGAACTCACAATAGGGGTAGTTGATAGGATTGTGGAGAAAGCTATGAGGTAATGTGAAGAGATGGGCAAACTTTGGATCAGGGAGATGATCCTGGAATGAAAAAATTATTATTGGACATAAAATGGGAATATGAGATGACCAAACAGAAGAAGTGGATAGAGGAATACAATTAAGGGCAAATTAGAAGGATGGAAAAAAGTGGGGGACAGCAATTGAAAGGGTGAAGAGAAGAAGTCCATGTGGCACAGTTGTAAAACACTCGCCCCGCACTTTGCAAGCGATTTGGCCTGGGTTCATATCCTGGCTGGGGAGGAGTGACTAGACATTAATCCATAACTGTACACCTATGTTCACCCAGCAGTGAATGGATGCCTTGTTGTTAAACGATTTGGTGTGACGTATTTCAGGGAAAATTTGAATTACCTGCCCAAAATACTATGGGTACTAGTGGCCTTACAATAATGTAAGAACTCGCATGCATGTGTCTTTATTCACCTATTTGTGCCTGTAGAATCAGGTATTGGCTCTTGAATCCCACCATTCTTGCCTTCGGTTGTTTAAAGCAATGACTCCTGTCCTCCTCTGTCATACCTAGTTTTAAAGCTATGAATAGTTTGCTTCTACAACCTGCTCTTTTAGTGCATTTCATTTCCTCACTACTCTCACGCTAAAAGAAAACTTTCTAACATCTCTATAATTCATCTGAGTTTCCAGCTTCCACCCATGTCCCCTTGGTCACTTGGTATTCCGTGTGAACATTTTGTCTATTTCCACTCTGTCAATTCCCCCTAAGTATTTTGTATGCTGCTACCATATCTCCCCGTTTCCTCCTTTTTTCTAACGTCGTCAAGTTCAGTACCTTCAGTCGTAATTCAAATATCATCCCATGCAACTCTGGGGCTAGCCTCATCACAATTTTTTTTTTATCTTTTCTAGTTTCCTAATGTGTTTCTTTAGGTGGGGGCTCTATGATGGGGCTGCAAACTCTAAGACTGGTCTTACATAGGCAGTGTAAAGTGCTCTGCATGACGTTCTAACTCTTGCTTCTAAAACTTCATACTGCTGCTAGGAATACCGCAGGTGGGACACCTTCAAAGAAGCCACCTGATCACCAAATAAATGGTGATACACATGCATTAGAAAGACCAGACGCGTAGTGCAGAGCAGTAAGGCGAATCAATGAGGTACCTGTATACAGCACACACACAATAAAGCACCTAAATTATTGGGATTGTCTCAAAGCTCTTCAAATGTACTCCCTAGAAAGGAAATGAGAGGGATACAGTATCAAATAATATACACATTGAAAATACTGGAGGGTCAGGTCCCAAATCTACACAGAAAGTAACAACATTCGATATGGAAGAAAATGCAGAATATAACCAGTGAAAGGTAGGGGTGCCATAGGCACAATCAGAGAACACTGTATGAACATCAGAAGTCCACAGTTGTTCAACATACTCCCAGCGAGTATAAGAAATATTGCCAGAACAAACGTGGACATCTTCAAGAGAAAACTAGACAGTTTTCTTCAAGAAGTGCCGGACCAACCGGGCAATGGTGGATATGTGGGCCTACGGGCCACTCCAAGGCCTGTTGGACCAAGCTCTCACAAGTCAAGCCTGGCCCTAGGCCGGGGAACTCCATTCAGGTACAATCCAAGAGACTTTGCATTTATTATTCTCAGACCATTAACCAATACACAGAATTAGATGCTTATCCACTGCTAAGAATAGATGACATGGTCAATAATCTTGCAAATTACAATGTGTTTTCTACATTTGACTGAGTTCTTATCATCAAGTTCCAATCAATGAATCTGACAAGAAGTACATAGCTTTTGAAGCTGACAGGAGGCTGTATCACTTCTGAAGGATACCATTTGATGTCACAAATGGAGTTGCTGCCTTTCAGGGTTTGATGGACAAGGAGGTAGAAGAAAATCTTAAAAAATCTCAAGGGTATATGATAGAAACATAAAATACTTAGGGGGATTGATAGAGTGGAAATAGACGAAATGTTCACAGTTAATACTAATAGAACAAGGGGACATGGGTGGAACCGGAAACTCAGATGGATCATAGAGATGTTAGCAAGTTTTCCTGTAGCATGAGGGTAGTAAGAAAATGGAATGAACTTAAGGAGCAGGTTGTGGAAGCAAACTATCTTTATCATTTTAAAACTAGATATGATAGGGAAATAGGACAGAAGTCATTGCCGTAAACAACTGGCGGGTAGAAAGGTGGGATGCAAGAGCCAATGCTCGGTTCTGCAACAATAAATAGGTGAGCACACAATGTATATACATTATACACAGTAAAGACTTCAATACGTTGCCTATGCAATACCAAATGAAACCTTTACAGTTCAACCACCCATGCCACAACCAGTCTGTGAGAGATGTGAAGTTGGTGACCGAGGTGTCGGCACAAGTTCTGGTTTTAAAGGGATAGATGGACTGTTTTGCCAAAAATTACATCTCACAAACTTATATCTGATCTTACAAACATACATATATCTGATACCAAAATCCAATTTTCATAAGCACCAATCAATTGTAAGGTGGATAGTCATCCATACAGATTTTAAATGGAGGATGAACTTCTGTGGAAGACAATGGCCATCCAGCAGCCAGTTTTTAGGCCTCCTGGGAATAGTTTTGGTTAAATAAAAACCCACACGCCATGAGTAACTACCCACATTACATTTTAAATTCTCCACAAAAAGTAAATAGGGTGGTGAGGAAATGTTACTCATTAAATAGTAGGTGTATGAAGTTATGATGTATGACAAATCTTTCAGTGATGGAAGGTGATTTTCACTTTTTACCAATGCCAGTACTCACCAAAATAGATTTTTGCCAATAACTTTTTCTTGTATAGAGAAAAAGTTCTTATGACAAAGACACATGAGAATTCTGCAAATTAAGAGCCATAAATCGTCTTTAGCACCAGTGAGTGGCAAGTAATGGCCTTTTTGAGTGGTTGCTGGCCCCAAAAATGGTGGCAATCGCCCAAAATTACGGTTTTCCTTACTTTTGGCATGTGTCAGGGGATTAAGAACTACACTTTTTTAGGTTTAAAGAAAAATAAATGTTTCACTCCACCATAACCCTGCAGTTTCATTTCTTCTTGTGTTATATTTGTATGTTCAGCCAAAGTCACCTTACATGATATTTACAAAGTTTACATTATCACATGACCTGTGACAATACCTGAAAGCTTATGAACACAGGCCAAATTCCTCTTACTTGGTCGGGAGAGCTTTGCAGGAGAAGGGGGTGCTGAACCATCCAACAAACATCCCGTCGATACCTTTCGTTTCCTTACGCCTTCCTTGCGTTGAGACTTTGGAGGCAGAGGATTTGTGAATGATGATGAAAGAGATGTTTGAGGGAAGACAGTAGAGGACATAACATGTTGGCTCTGGGAAGGATTTGTTGAATACAGCGAATTTGCCGAGCCTCCGCTTAACAGATGACACAAGAAGTCTCCAATCTCATCCTACAAGAAAAAATGCCTATTAGAAATAAATAAGGAAGCTTGTCCTCAACAACTAGCCTCTAAAACAGTTTCTGTAATAGCTGTAAACAATGCATGTTCCTCACATAGGAAAAAAACCTATATAATTGATTTTTACTGTGTAGTTTGGGCTCTTTAATATGGTATTGGCAACCCTAAAATTTTCTATTCTGTACTTATAAAAATACTTGATAAAAAAATATGATTTATCTTGTAATATTTATATACTTTTGTACAGTATATTCAGTAATGCCAAACATTAACCAACCTGTCCTTAGGAAGGAAATAGCTCAACGGAATGGATTGGGAAGGACTACGTAATTAGTGCTCTTATCTACTCTTTCCATGGGTTACTTTAGGTTAAGGTTACTTTATTTAAGGTTAGGTTTGGTTTAATTAATTTGGTGAATTATTAATGATAATGTGATATATTGGAATTTGATAACTATTAAAGTGTACCCGGAAATTCTGTTTACAGAGCTTCTCCGTAGAAAACTTTTTCAGCCTACACTTTTTATATTTTAAACCAACTAATTTTAGTATAGTAAAGTTATAACTTGAGAATAATCTCCATTTAGGACAAAGGTTCACTTGCCAGTTTACAAGAAGACTAACTATTACTGGAACTGTAATATGTTTTCAGACCATCACAAATACCCGTACAGAGGAACCTCGGTACTCGAACAGCTCCCAACTCGAACATTTTAGCACTCAGATGCTGTGTTCATGTTCGGTACTCGTCAGTTTGCTGGCCACGCACGTGAACTCGCATCTCTGATGCGTCAATTTTGCCATAGCAGTCGTTCAGTGCACAACCCACTATACTTTAATCTTGGATATCTTTTATATTCTTAGTGTAAATAAGTCACCATGTCACCTAAGAAAATTAATCATAAGAGCCAAGCAAAAAGAAAAGTAGTTAGAACCATAATTGAGATGAAAAAAGAACTCAAAGAACTCAAAGAACTCATGAAAGTACTGCCCGCGTGTCTGTTCTTGCTACCGAGTTTGGTATGCCTACATCTAGTTCTCTAATAAAAGAAATGTGTGCAAAATGGGGAAGTGGAAAGTTTTCTTGAAAAATATCCCTCTGACCCAGCTGTGATAATGGTAGGGGGCTCCCCTGCCAAAGAATCTCTCCCTCACCACCTTCCACATGTCATCATCTCTCCTAAGTGAAGGTAAGGTGTATATACTGTATTAGCATGTATTTCATTTATTTATTTATTGCATTAATATATTTATCTTTGTGGTCTAGAACAGATTAATCCAATTTACATTATTCTTTATGGGAAAAAATTGTTTCACAGATCACAGAACAGATCAGCACTCGACCCCACCCACAGGAACCAATTAAATTCGAGTACCAAGGTTCCACTGTATCTAGATAACTATCCAGGTGATTTGAAGGGGAAAGGGGGGGGGGGTTCTCGTGGTAATGGATTTGCTCTGAGGATGGCCTACATTAACCCATGTTGTTTTGAGACTCCGTGCTTCATTATAACTTTTTCTTTCCATGTTTGTCAGTTTGTTCATTACAAAGGTATCTGGTTTAAGATGAAGGCATACTGTACTTAGATTTTAATTGAACTGTTTTCTACATCTTTATCATATTGGATTTTTCACACAAAATGTCAAGAGCATTAGATTAATAAATACAACAACATTTTTTCTTTAATAATGGGGGAAACAATTTATAAAACAAAAATAAATATTTACCACTATGCATCGATCAACCATTGATTGAGTGACACCTTCGAAATGGCGTTTCTGGCAAGATAAACGAAGGTGAGAGTCGGCCCCCCCAACAACCACCAGGCCAGTCTCTGCACGCAGGCGCACACGCAGGTCCTCCACATCATCCACACTATAAACAAAATGCACACCTACATTAACATATCTGCATAAGGCATTTATACTTAAACAAAGATAAAAGTACATTATTACAATGAAAACATAATAAGATGATAAAATATACAGTATATAAAAAAATCTTTGGAGTAAGGCAGTGGGATCAAACTAGCATCCTGCATCACCCCAGATACATGCCCAACAATAATGTCACCCTACCCTAAAGACTTTATCATAAAAGTACATTATTTAAATAATAATAAATGTTTATTTTATAATGAAAAGCTTATATTTTATTACAGTATTATTATAGGATTATTATACAGCACTGGTGATAGCCCTGAAACACACAATGCTTGCAAATAGTAACCACGGTACTCATCATGTACCTACAAGACTTGTGCATCCAGCTCCAGTAGTTGACTGTACAGCATTTTGTAGTGTCAGATATAAATGACAGAAACTGTATATAAGGAATGGCAAGTCATCTTTGTTCTGTGGAGTGTGTTGACCAGGACACCACCAAAACAAAATTTTAGAATGCCAGCAGAAGCTAACAAAAAAACCAGCGTTGAATGTAATGAAACGCCATTTTCTGGGCGAGACCCGGAGACTTTCCGGAGCTATCTGGACTGATATGAATGTATTAAACCCTGGCATCAGTCAAACAATTGTTCTTAGGCCTACCAGGGACCATGAGCCAGAACCTAGCTTCCGTAGAGGCGCGCGAGGAGCAATGGCCTATAGAAACCCTCGTGTGATTAGAAGCATTCTATGTCTGCCATTGGCCGGGTCAGGCACCCAGAAAAGCAAGTGCCCCAAAACAGTGGTGAATGTAATAAAACACCATTTTCTGGGCGAGTCCCAGAGGCTTCCAGGAGCTATCCAGGCTGATATGAATATCCCTAACTTTGGCTTCAGTCGATGTGGGTGGAGTTCTAGGGCTACCGGGGACCACGAGCCAGAACCTGGCCCCCTTGGACAGGCACGAGGAGCAATGGTCTATAGAAATGTACATGTGATTTTAGAGCATTCTATATCTGCCATCGACCAGGACAGGCACCCAGAAAGGTATGCGCCCCAAAACAAACCCCTATCCTGGTTAAAACGACGAAAATAGACAAATGAATGGACAGAACTCCCCAAATGAAAATGAGCAAACGAGCATGACATCACACGAGCTGCATGTCTGCACAGCTCCCCCTCCCCGGGAGGGGGAAAGGGGAGCCCCTAGAACCCCGCGCCGGTGATCCACACCCCCAGTTCTGAGGCCGGATATCAAAATATGTGGAACCGCCAACCGGAGGGAGGGAGGGAGGGTTGCTTCCAGAGGGAGCCTCTGGTACTCACCCAGAAAATAGCATTTCATTACATTCAACGCTGGTTTTTTGGTTTTTCTTTCTCCCCTACGGAAGCCCCTACGGCTTCCTGGAGTTACTTCACCAAAGCCGAAAGAAACAGGGGATTGTGAGTTTTAAATTTTATGATAAGCTTAGAAACAAGACTGGTTATGATGTGCACTGCAGGTTAAAGTCAAAATTGTTGAGCAACATATGAACTTATTCGGAAATGTAGTTATTTGTCATTACATGCACATATATAATATACAGTACTGTAAAATCTAATGTGCTGTACTGAACTCACTTGGCATTTGCAGCTTTCTCGCCAATAATGAACAAGGTCGGGGTTCGGCAGTCAAGGAGTGGATCATCAGCCTCCCCTCGCTTGCCAGATGCACCAGTCATGGGGAACCCCAGACAAATATTGGCTGCCACTGTCTCCAGCATGGACACCTATGTATAGGCAACAAAAAAATTAACATATCAGAAGGAATGCTTTGAATTATGTATAATGACAATCTAGTCATGGTTAAAGGAACGGGGAAAGGGAAAGATGATTGGTGATTCTGCAAGTAAAAAGTTGCGTAAGGAATGCGGCAACTAAAGAAGGTGCACAAGGAATGCTGCAAGTAAAGAAGGTACATAAAGGATGCTGCAAATAAAGAAGGTATATAAAGGATGCAGCAAGTAAAGAAGGTATGTAAGGGTTGCTGCAAGAAGATGCACAAGTGATACAAATAAAGGGAGGTGCATAAGGGATGTTGCAAGTAAAGGTGCTTAAGGGATGCTGCAAGTAAAGAAGATGCTGTAGTGACTTCACTATCCCCCTACAACATGGCAGATATCAGGGAAAATTGCAGATGAGCTGGTGGGAGACAACCGACCAGCCCAAATGCTACGGGCAGCAGATGAACACGAGACCAGGTTCTCCCTCACACCCTCCTCAAGTTTGTACAGGTATATAATATATTACATTCAGTGACTTGTGTTTGCTTAACCCTTGTCTGGTGGATATTAGGACGCTAAAGTGCTAAGGGATGCTGCAAGTAAAGAAGGTGCATAAGGCATGTTGCAAGTAAAGATGATGCAATAAGGGATGACACAAGACATTATGGGGGAACTTAGAAATCTCTAAGGAATTTGATTGGAAAGACTTTGCTGTTAGGCAAGGATATATGTCAAAGTTTTGTGAAATATATGAAAAAGGCACCAAAAATCTATACCAAAACAGAAATGAAGAACTAGGAAACAGGACCGATTCAACAGAAATTGTTTGAGGGGGCCAGAGACCAAAAGACACAAAAATGGAACCAACATAGCAAGAGGCCAAACCCTCATACATACCAGCAATACAAAGATGCACAATAACTACAGTACATAACATCGAGGAGAGAGGCAGAAAGAAATTTTGAGAATGGGATATCTCATTGAGATAATGAGATAGCAATGGGATTAATGAGAAAATGGGATAGTAGACAAATGTAAAACAAAACCAGGCCTATTCTATAAATTTATAAGAAGCAAATTGGAGGTAAAGGATAATATTCAGTGCAAATTGTCTATACAGTATACCTAGGTCATAAAAGTATTTATGTGTATGTCTGATACCATACTACTTGTGTAAAGGAGGAAATGTATATGTTTATCTCTCAGACTGTTTGGTAATATGTTTATTGTTTGTGATGCGTGTACATGTATATATATTAACACGATGTACTGAACAAGGTGAGAATAGCTTGAGCTACCTCATCCCTTTGTGTGTATTTTAACCTCAATAAACTTATTTCAATTTCAATTTCAGAAAATGAAAAGGAAATGTGTGAAATATTAAACGAACAGTTCTAAAATTGTGTTTGTGTAGAAAGAAATTTTCAGAGAACCAGACATAATAAGAATTCTAGAGACAACCCGTTCTTGCAAATTTAATAAGTCAATATTGACTTATTAAATATGTGCATAGGTGACATACTTAACATAATAGTTTCCCTTGAAAAGCTTCATAGAAAACACCGACCTTACCTAACCTACTTAGTATGTTAAAATAAGCATCTTATAGCTTTGTAATTACAATTGTTACTTAACCTATTATAGGTATAGGTTAGGTAATAATTGTAATTACGAAGCAATAAGATGCTTATCTTAACATACTAAGTAGGTTAGGTAAGGTCGGTGTTTTCTATGAAGCTTTTCAAGGGAAACTATTATGTTAAGTATGTCACCTATGCACATATTTAATAAGTCAATATTGACTTTTTAAATTTGCGAGAACGGGTTGCTAGAAAACAACATAAGGAATACAGAGGGATGCTGCAAGTAAAGAAGCATTAGAGTTGTCTAGAGATGAAGTGGAAAAAATGCTCAAGGAGCTAAGTAACAGAAGATGCTAAGAGGAAAACTGAAGGAGTTAAGAAACATCGGCTTGCAATGTATTTCACTGGTTCAAACTTCAAGCTTCTATGCATCTAGAGTTTTGACATGTGTATCACTATTTGTATGGCGAGTAGGTGACTGGTTTGTTGGTGTCCCACCTGCATCTTTTCTCCCAGCGGCAATATTAAGATTGCCTCATGCTTGTTTTACAAGTAACTGTCTCTTTGGCATCTTTTTTCAGTTTTGGTCAAGGCTGTCCTGTCTACTTTGTCTTGGTTATTTCTAGATCAGCATCTCATGTCATATTCTGTCACCTCTTATCACTTGACATTGGCAGAGCAGCTGTTACTTGTGTTCAGTGACAAACAATCACACAATCCAGTGAATTTCATGGATGCTGTTCTACAATTTCTCTCATGGGTTTTCCATCTTCAGCTAGCTCATGCACCTCCTGAGCCATCCTGGCCTATTGACCAATTGCTTCTCTTCCTCTCCTTGCCTTGTTTTATGGTTTCCTCTTCAGGTAACAATATTTTTCTCAACACTGTCTTTTCATTGGCTCTTGCTTCTCGCTGTATGGTTGGCGAGTTTCAAGCTCTTCTGTGAAGGTGGGATTTTTGTTCCTTCAGCCTTGGTGGGCAGTTTGTTTGTAACCTTCTCCCCCTTTTCTTGTAAACGATAAGTTTGCCAGCTTTCAGAGGCCAGCTTTTTAACTGACACGGTTCCAAGGCGTGTAGTCCACAAATCGTCCACAGTCATCAGATCTAGCCAGCCTGCAGTTTACCCTTGGGGCCCATAATGTTTGCAAGTACGCTGCACTGGTCTCCATCTTCGCCAACATATCCAGTTCTGATATTCGGGATTAGGGGTTCCAGTGGCTGGGAATTTGGTTAATTAATATTCCTGGTCTCAGATGGTCATGTGCTGCTTTGGGCTGTGTCTCCTAGCTTGGATTTTCTTCTTTGTCCAAGTGCATCCTGCCTCTCCTCCCTGGTAAGTCCTGTTTTTGTTCTCTATGGATAGTTAGCTTCATGGAGCCAACAGAAACCAAACATTGAACATATTGAAATGCCTCTTTCTGGATGAGCCCCTGTGGCTCTCTCACTCCCTCCCTACCAGGTTTGTCAGTTCGTCAATGGGCTTGGCTGTGTGCAGAACCTGGGCTACCTGGTGGTGCCATTTGATTCACACACTATGCTGTATGAATCACTTGCATAGTTGTTTGGCAATTTCGAGACTTAGGACTTTGTTATCCATCCAGTTGTCTGTAAAGGTTCTCAGACTTTCTGGATGTTTTTCTGGTGTGGTGGACGCTTGTCACTCACTCTCTGTGTCTCTGTGAGGGGGGAGAACTAGGTTTTGGCTCTGGTCCCCAGTAGGCTAAACTGACCACCCAGGGCTCATCCAGAAAGAAGCATTTCATTACATTTAATACTTGGTTTTTCCACATTGTGAATGCAACAGTTTGGAATCTGGAACTCCGAAAGAAATAGCTTGAAGCATGACAGTCCTACAATGTCTCTTTACCTACAGAGGAGAGCAGATTTTTTTTTAGTCACGTGGCAAGGCACTATGGACTGTAAACATTATTCATATCCTTGCTCTGTACTAATTATTTTGTCCAGATGTTAAATTGACAATTTATATTCATTGCCGTGTGATCCTAGGGACCCATATATGTCAATTAATACTTTCGTTCCTTAGGGGACGGAGATGACGTCCACAAATAACTCTGCGAATATTTCTTAGGGACGTAGGCGACGTCAAAAATTAAAAAATGTTAAAATTCAAGTTTTTATCCAATCTTTATGGAACTGGTTTTAAAAATGTGTGCCAACGTCTTCCCATTCTATTGCAACCCGAGGTGAAAATTGTGGTGAGAAATTGAAAAGAGTAAATACATTTGTGACCAGGTGTTGCGGGTGTGCCAATGGATGCTCACTCAAGGATAACACTCAGCCGACCTTTGGCTTTGCTGCAGATGGGGCGCAACGGGCTTTTGGACCTCATATGCATATAAGGAATTCTATTGCAAACAAATTGATACCAAAATGAAAGACATAGCACGAGAATTGAGGTGACAAATGTGAAAAGAGAATACACATTGAATTGCTCTTGCGCGCTCATGGGTAACGCTTGGCCGATTTCTGGGTTTGGTGCAGGTGGCATGCTGGGCTTTTGAACCTTATATGCACATACTCCGGTAGGGAATTTTATTGTGAACATTTTGATACCAAAATGAACGACATACAGCGAAAATTGAGGTGAAAAAACTGAAGAGAGTATACACATTTCAGTGTTACAGCGCCCTTGTGGGAAATGCCCGGACCACCTTGGGTTAGTCTGGCAGGTGCATGCCCAGAATGCGAAAGTGCTAATGTGACCTGTAGTTTAATGATTAACAATTAACTTGCATGTCACTGACTAGGTGTTTGGGTTGTTTGCCATATTCTCTGCCATATGACACTATGTCCTGAATGAATGTCAAGATGTCAGGAGACAAAAGGATCTCGAAATACGTCATTATTTCCAGTGTTTTGATGAATGGAGCTCATGCGCTACAATAATGCCTATGTAGACATTACTCTGGAAACACCACAAGACTATGCAACCGTATACTGTCCTCGGCCAAGGGCTGGAGATCATAAAAAAAGAATAAACCTGTCCAACTTGCACGAAAGGTACACGAGCAGCTGTCAAAGCTTGGCTGATCATGGACTGAAAAAGGCAACAGCATGTGGATAAAATAGCCATCTGAAAAGTTTGACCTCAGACTGTACTACAACTGTATCAACTACCACAGAATTGCCTTGGTACACACATTTACATAGCAAGCAAAGAGAGCAAGAGAAAAACTAGCTATGCTTACGTGGCAGGCAATAACGGCACCAATACCCCAGCCAAGGAGCACTATCGGGCTGATGGGATACTGGCTCTTGCACTCCAGCACACGGGCGCGCACCTCACTCAAGATCTGCTCCAAAACTGTGCTCGCTTCATTGCTATCTGTAGGTTTAACATAATATATACATACAATGCATACATAAACATTTTATCTCATTTCTGTAGGTAAATAATAATGTTTTTTATTGTATTTCGAATAAGCAGAAATTTAACAAAAATACTGTTAGAATCCAGAAATATTTTTATCTTTCAATAAACTGTTTAAAATACTGAATGGAACAAGATTCATTACTCTCAGAATGAGAGCTTTTTCATCCAATGAAAATGGTGAATGGCTTAACAATATAATGCTGAGGGCAATGGAAATTACAACTATGATGAGGCTTATGACAGCAACAACAGTGATGAGGGAAATGACAATGACAGCAAGAGTGAAGGAGCAATAATGACAACAATGAAGGTAACAATGACAACAATGAAGGTAAGGGGGGGGGGGGCAAGTTGATAAACTTTAAATGTAAAGTGTTCATGAGCCACTGCTCCCTGCGCCTCTGTGAGGGGGGGGGGGGGGCAGGTTCTGGCATGTGGCCATCCGGCTCTGTGAGGGGGGGGGAGGTTCTGGCATGTGGCTATCCGGCTCTGAGGGGGGGGGGGGCAGGTTCTGGCATGTGGCCATCCGCCTCTGTGAGGGGGGGGGAGGTTCTGGCATGTGGCTATCCGGCTCTGAGGGGGGGGGAAGGTTCTGGCATGTGGCTATCCGGCTCTGAGGGGGGGGGGGCAGGTTCTGGCATGTGGCCATCCGCCTCTGTGAGGGGGGGGGGGGGGAAGATTCTGGCACGTGGCCATCCGGTGGGCAACAAGAACTCTGCGACTGATGACACTCAAGTAGTATGGCACTCAATGAGTAAGCTAGCTTTAGGGAGCCAACGGGGCTCCCCACTGAAAAGAACATCTGTGTATGGAACCTTTGCAACTTCAAAATCAATTGTAAATATATGGATGACAAAATATTAATATTATAAATATAAATATTTACAAGAATGTAAGAATTCTTGTATATATAATAAATAATAAAAATAAATAAAATAAAAGTTAAAGGAATTATTCATGACCCTTTGTGAGATAAAATTTTGAATATGCAGGAGATGTATGGTGCCCGTATCTCAAGAAGCACATCAATAAACTGGAAAAGGTGCAAAGATATGTAAATAAATGGCTTCTGTAGAGGCAAGAGGTGTTAAATATAAGAAAGCTAAAAGATAGAAGAAAAGTGGTGATATTATTTTGTAGGCAGGTAGTGATCCTAACATTAATTGGCAAAGTTAGCAGAAAAATTCTTGAAACCTACAACTTCAAGAACAAGAGGGCATAGATTCAAACTAAGGAAACAAAGCTGCCAAAACGAAACATTAAAAAGTTCACTTCTGTAAACAGGGGGAAGTAGACTGTTGGAAAAAGTTAAGGGAGAAGGTGGTTGATGCTAAAACTGTCAATGGCTTTAAAGCATCATTTGACAAAGAGTACTAGGAAGACAGGACACAATGCGAGTAGCTCTCATCTTGTAATAACTTTAGGAAATTACATGCCCTCATTACATACAAAATGTAAACTGGATGTTTATCAGCGAGGCATACCTGGGGTGATCATAACCGGAACTGTCTTAGCCATATGTTGTAACTGAGAATTGAAGAAGCGTATGCGACGAGGAGCTTGGGGTATGCTGGACGGTGGACCACTTGGCACTTGCACTATGATTACAGAACCGTCCAGCTTTCTCTGAATGGCAGAAGAGAGAGAGAAATACGATTACAAATTTACACGTTTGATCACAAGAGGGCAGTGAAGAAAAGTATCCCAATGCCAATAACTCATAATAAGTGTCTTCCAGTCAAATTAAAATAATAATTTCCAATTAAATTAGCTTCAAGTTTTTCTTTTCATAAACTTTGCAAAATTATGTTTTTTCATTTTGTAAGATACGGGATTGGAAGCCGTACCCCAGAATATCACTAACAACACCTGCTCTTATTTTCTTATAAACAATGGGAGTGTAGATATCTATATAGCCATAATAAACAGTTCTAACTACATGGGACAAGAAATACACCTTGGGGTACAATTTTACAAAAGGGTTTTTATTAAACAACACCAGATTATCTCACACTGATTAGAACAGGGGGGGAGGGGTACTTAAGCCCACCACAGGATTGATACAGACAAAAGGGGGGGGGGAGGTTCGTTCCCACCAACACACCTAAGGGGACAACTGGCACAAGGGTCCACACACAACAGTTTAGGCCTCTACAAACTGGGACTTAAGGTCATTACTATATTCCACTCCTCTTGGGTAACTACAAAGGGCATGGGGTTTTAACAAAACACTTTTCTGACCACAATACACAAAGATATGGACAAAGTAAATATGGATAACCCCACGTGAGACAGAGCTGAGCACATGCATATGAATTAATAACACCCCACTCTACCTACACACAGGTGTTCTAAAATCCTTATTTCTGTAAATTCCTATCTCTAACTCATACAAAAAGAGAAGCACCGCTATAAAAACCTCTAATGCTGCACTTATCGTATTTGTTGGAGACCATCCCAAGACACACAAGTGACTCTGGTCCTCCTCCCACTGCCTCTCTCCCACAAGTGAACAAGAAGGGCTTGCACATGTCCCTGCCTGCCTGGTTCCAATAATGTCTTATCCCTATACATGTCATACATATTTCCAAATCGTTCATTTATATGTCTTATAATGTTCCAGACTGTTTTTCTACATTTAACACTGTTGTTTCTTTATATTTTCTTGCAGTGAATCTGCTTTTTAACCGTTTTATCACTTTTGTTTAGATTGGTTTTAGGAGATGACATTTTCCTGTTAAGATGATGCTCTGTATATATGCAGGGGTAAAAGTACCAGACTGTTTTCAACATTTAACACTGCTATTTCTCCCTACACAAGGGTCTCTCTCTCTCTCACATAATTCCCCTTTCCGGGGGACAAGGAGAATAGAAAAATTCATGTAAATTTGAAGATTTTATGTAAATTTTTCTTAGTACTTCTGACAAAAATGTAAATATCCAAGTTGGGCTACTAGCTAGCTAAATAAAACCAACAATGTATCCTGTAACTAAAGACACAAGTGGTGATTGGTCTCCACTTGTTCAACACCGCAGGAGACACTGCAGCTCACAACAAGTGTCACACCTTCAGGGTCGCTTCCAGAACTGTTCCACTTGACCTGTCAGGACTCACCAGACCAACAGAGGGGAGTATGAGGGAGGTATGCACGCTGTAGACTTGAGCTCGTGGATTGCAGGCGTAGACATGGCTGCAACTGGTAGAACACAGCTGGATCAACAATGAGAGGTTTACTCTTTGGATCCTGGATCATGTCTTAGGTTACTGACATCTGTTAGTTTGAGTAACTGGAGCCCAAACCTGGCTGTCACTCAGGTGACCTACTGTCACAACAAGATGCCACATGTCACATGTCTCCTCCTCGATTTGACTGTACCCGTGGTCTACACGGGTACAGTCAAATCGAGTCAAACACTTGGCTCTCCCTAAAGGGAGAGCCAAGTAGAGCCACATTCTAACGACTATGATGGTCATTTGACAACCATAAGGGAACTCAAAAGGGAGACTCATGGGTACTTGACACCCAGTACTCCATGGTTTCTTAAAAGTAAAGGCCGTACTTTACCCTGTGCCTTTTCTTTCAGTTTCTTCAAGGTGCAGGACCATTATTCCTCATTTCTTTCCTCTTCGTGCTTCTGCTTGTTACTGACTTCCTCCTCTTGGTGTATATTCATCTCTATCAGGACCAGAAGCCCGAGACTGTTCAACACGCTTCCACAACACATAAGAGGCATAACTGGCCGACCCCTCACAGTGTTCAAGAGAGAACTGGACAAGCACCTCCAAAGGATACCTGATCAACCAGGCTGTGGCTCATACATCAGGTTCTGAGGAGCCGCATCCAATAGCCTGGTTGACCAGCCCAGCAACGAGGAGGCCTGGTCGACGACCGGGCCGCGGGGATGCTAAGCCCCAAATCATCTCAAGATAACCTCAAGGTATGGCTAATAATTAACTTTTAGAGTTGCTATAAATAGTAGTATTGATATGATTCCTGGGATACCTTGTTAAGTGTCACTGAAATTTTTGCAAACACTGCAGAAAAACCCAGCATTGAATATAACGAACACCAATTTCTGGACGAGCCCTGGAGGCTCCCTGAAAGTACTATCACCGATTTAGTGCCATACCACTTGGTGCCATCAGTCATGGAGTTCTATTGGCCTACCAGGGACATGAGCCAGAACCAGGCCACCTAAGAGAGGCACAGGGAGCAGTGGTCCAAGAACACTACATTTAAATTTAATCATAATTGCTGCCATCAGGGAAGGCACCCAGAAAGTTAGGCCAAACAAAACAGACTACTGCATGGTTAAAATGAGACCGCAGCTTCAAAATTGCCAAAAGAACTCCCCCCAACAATGAAAACAAATCACCAAAATTTTGTGAAACTAGCATGTCCTAGTTGGTCCCCCTCCCCATCCCTCACCTGGGGAGAGGAGGGAGGTGGACTGGGTCAGCTGGCCCACACCATTCTTCTGTTCTATTCTGATGGTGCCTGGCCACTGTTGTGTCACTCTGGCAGTTTTCCTTTTTTCTTTGTAGTTTTCTTTGTTTTCCTTTGTAGCTGTTCTTACACATGGTAGAGTAGCACGAGCCAGGAGTTCAAGAGTGCTTTACAGCTGCAAGTGTTCAGGGTTATCTTCCTTGTGTGATCTTTGAGTGCTGCCCTTGCACAGTCAGGATTATCTTACCTGGGGTGTTCGGCAAGCTCCCTTTAGAGGGGCTTCCTTGCTTGGGGTCGCCTTCACCTGTTTTACTAAGCCAGAAAGACTGTCTGTGACTGTCTTTCTTCAGGTTGGGAATGTTTTTGGTGGTGTGGAGCACTATGGTAGCCCCCATCCCCCCCCCCCCCAGTTATATTCTTGGTGGTGCTACGTTGTCCCTAATTGTTCGTTCTCCGTGGTTTGATTCTAGGGGCTTTGCCTTTATTTATTTATTTTTTCATTCGTCACTTTGCCCATTTAATTCTTGGGGGTTCTGAACAAATCCACAAGGGCCATGAAGAACCTACGTCCTAGAGGATACCAGATGCGCCTTAATCGACTGTGCCACGACATGGTTAAAAGAAATGCAACCAGGAGTTCTACTGACCTAACACGGATCCTGCAGTCTCTCATTTAAACGTAAATTTTAACGTAAAATTTAAACGTAGGTTCGAACAATCATCACGGCCCTTGTGGATTTGTTCATTTGATGCATCACACTATTGTGATTTCTGTGTGTAACTTTGGGGGCTCTTATTCCTGCCTGATTAGGCTCGACTTAGGATGTAAGCGGTTACATCCCCTTGTCGCCCCCCTTGACTTCTCCAATGGCTTTGAGCGGCTAGGGGGTTGCCTGTTCTGGAAGGGTTATACATATTTACAGTGGAACCTAGGTTTTCGAATGCCATCCTTTTCAATTTTTTTCGATTCTTGAGCTCAATTTCTTCAAAAAATTTGACTCGGTATTTGAGGTTCGCCTCAGTGCTCGAGTTCGTTGATACATTGATCAACCGAGGACATGATGCACTTCAGTTTACCAGTGTCTACCGCCTAGTATGACCGTGCTTGAATTCTCTGTGAAGAATTTAATTGTTCTTGTACTTTTTTGGTTTCTGAACATTAAAGTTCTTATTATATATCACGCCATAGGCTCCAAGAAAGTCAGTGGTAAAGTTCAGCCTAAGAAAATAGTTGTGAGGATGACAACAGAGGAAAAACAAGAGATCATTCATAGTGAGACAATGTGATGTCTCACTACAGACAAATGTTTAAACATAGGAAAAACCAGTGTGTATGGACAGATTCTTAGTAAGACAAGCAAGCAGTGAGCCACAACCAGGTCCTAGAGGTATGCCTGCAAAACCTAAGAGAGTACCCAGAAATATCATCACTGCTGTCATAATGGAAGGGGACTCCTCCTTCCAACACTAACACCTCTCCTCCACTTTCTCATCGTCTTCCATACGTCAACAAGTCGTCAATAAAGGTAAGATATATATATATTTTGTACAGACTGTAGCACAAAATATAAGTACTGTAGTAGTTTTTTAAATATATTTGGTGGTGTGGAACGGATTAATTAAATTTACATTATTTCTTATGGGAAAATTCATTTCGGTTCTTGAATTTTTGTTTTTTGAACTGTCTCTGGGAATGGATTAAATTAGAAAATAAAGGTACCACTGCATACATATGTAACAACACTGAAACCACAAGAGACCCTAGAGCAGCGCGCTTTCTCCTCCAGAGCCTCAGTGTGGTGATCAAGAGGTGGAATGCCAGCTGCCTCCTCAGTTCCTACATAGCATCTGAGGACTTGGACAAAATCTACAGCCTCTAGGAAAAAATTTCCCTTTATTTCCTCTTGTTGTCTACATTTTGTAACCAGCTATGTAACAGTGTGAATATAATAAATTGTACAATACTTTTATAATAAATTGTGCAATATAAGTTGTTAAGATAAGCGAATACCCATAAGTATTTAGAGTCAAACGCCAAGTTTTCCTCTGAATACACTTTATTCTTTTCTCCAAGGCTATGGGTTCCTATAATTACACCAGAGGTGTAATTATAGGAATCGACTTGAGAATGGTCCAGGACGGACCAAAACGTCGTCGTCCCTTCACTTTCTAGTGTGTGGTTTGCTCAACATACTTCAGCCACGTTACTGTGACTCGTCGCCTGCATATGGTACCCTTATATATAAGAAAATTATAACAAAAAAATCAATAATCACTTAGGCATTATTCACACAAATGCAAACTCATAAATATTCACTGGCTTATGGTGATTCAGTGAAGGTACCGCAGGATCCCAGGGACGCTTCAGCAACAGGTTGAGAGCCTCAACACTTGCACCTCGGTGATTGCTGCTGAGGGACACCATCTTATCGATTAGTGTTGGAATCTTGGATTTTAGCGTCTGCAAAAGTATTACAAAAATTAATTCCATTTTATGCAATAGACTTCTAACGTAGCATTTAAATTAAGGATCTTAATTTGAACAGAATATCTGAATAACATTCAAATATTCTGTTCAAATATTAAAAAACCCAGCATTGAATGTAAGGAAACACCATTTCTGGGCGAGCCCTGGAGGCTCCCAGAGCTTACCGGGCTGATATGTATGTATAAGACTGTGGCATCAATCGATTGAGTTCTTGCCTACAGAGAACCAGAGCCAGAACCTGGCCCCCCCCTCTAGAGACTAGGGAAGCAATGGCCCATGGAAACCCCCATGTAATTGGAAGCATTCCCTATCTGCCATCGACCGAGGGTTGGCACCCAGAAAGGTAGGCATCACAAAGCAAACCCCAGTGTAAAAAAAAAAAAAAAAAAATTATTGCTATCCTAAGACTGAACAGAGAAAAGAACTCCCCAATTCTAAAACAAGCAAACTTCACACCCTGTCGCCGCGTCGCCTGTCTGCATAGCTTCCCCATCCCCGGGAGAGGGGAAGGGGGCCCCTTGACCTGTGCCGGCAGCCCCACCATTCATTTCTGAACGCTGAGCATCAAAATGTACGAGAAAAACCGAGGAGCCTCCGGGGCTCACCCAGAAAATGGCTTTTTATTACACCAAAATAATACAAGTGGTCCTACAGTCACACCAGGCAGACCCCACCAGGCAAAACAAAACAAAAAAGAAAAACACCACGCAAAAGCACAATGTCTCCAGGAGGAGCAGAACTGGCCGCTACGCGTATTATAAGACAGCAACACAGTACCTTGAGCACCTGCCAGCGATGATGCTGCCTCCTACCCAAGGGCAAACAAGGGTAGGAAAACCCCCAGCTGACCCCAAGGGCGGGCAATCACCAAGCAGCAAAAGAACCCTGCGGAGGTAGCCCCCCGAACAGTTTGAAGAAGGTAACCCCAAACTGCAAGGGCAGTACTTACAGGGCACCTAGGGAAGGAAACCCTAGGTGCATGCAGCCCCAGTACTTATGGAATAACACCTGGCTCACACACCACCACACCGCAGTACAACACCACAAGGCACATCATTGCTCAAGGATTGGAGCCAGAGTCGATCGACTGCCACAACAGCCTCAGAACTGGAGTTGGGTAGCTGGCGCGGGGGTCTAGGACCCCCCATTTCTTCCTCCCGCGGAGGGAGGAGTTCCGCAGACAGCAACGTGGCGGCTGTGGTGATGTCATGCTTGTTTTCTAATTGGGGGGGGGGGGGGTTCTGTTTGCTCGTTTGGCTTTAGTTTAGCAATTTTTTTTACCAGCTGTAGTTTGTTTTGGGATTCCTACCTTTCTGGGTGCCTGACCTGGTAGATGGCAGATATAGTCTGCTGCCAACTACACGGGGGTGTCTATAGGCCACTGCTCCTCGTGCCTCTCTCAGGGGGGCCAGGTTCTGCTGCTGGTCCCTGGTAGGCTTAGAACTCCATCGATTGACTGTTGCCACCATCTAATATATACACATCAGCCCAGTATAGCTCCGGGGAGCCGAAGGGCTCTCCACAGAAAGAAAAAGAAAACCCCCGCAAAAGCACAATGTCTCCAGGTGGAACAAAACTGGCTGCTGTACATACAGTAATGGGAAATGAGCCGCACAGTACCTTGTGCTCCTACCAGCAACGACGCTACTTCCTACTCAAGGCCAAACAGGAGGAATGAAAACCCCAGCTGACCCCAAAGGAGGGCAATTCCCAAGCAGCAAAAGAACCAGACGGAAGCAGGTTCCGAACACACTGTGGAAGGGAACTCCACAATGCAAGGACAATACTAGTACTTACAGGGCACTTAGAGAAGGTGGCTAAGCACATGCATCCCTAGTACAGACAACTACTCCTGGCCTGGGCACCACAAAGCAGAATTACACCACAAGGTATAAAGCTGCACCAATTGAGAGGCCAGAGTCGATGACCGCCACAGTCAAACATCAGCCAGGAACTGAATGGTGGGGCTTCCTTCACGGGAGGTCCAGGGGCCCCCATCCCCCCCTCCCGGGGATGGGGAGCTGCGTGGACAGGCATCGTGGCGACGGGGTGTGACGTTTGCTTGTTTTAGAATTGGGGGGAGTTCTTTTCTTTGTTCAGTATTAAGGTAGTAATAATGTTTTTTAACCATATGGGGTTTGTTTTGTGATGCCGGCCTTTCTGGGTGCCAACCTCGGTCGATGGCAGATATGGAATGCTTGCAGATGAGGAGTCGCAATTACGTGGCTGAAAAATGTTGACCAAACCACACACTAGAAAGTGAAGAGACGACGATGTTTCGGTCCGTCCTGGACCATTATCACAATTGACTTGATAACGATCCAGGACAGACCGAAACGTCATCGTCACTTCACTTTCTAGTGTGTGGTCTGGTCAACATGAAATGCTTCCAATTACATGGGGGTTTCCATAGGCCATTGCTCCCCTAGCCTCTCTAGAGGGGACCAGGTTCTGGCTCTGGTCCTCTATAGGCAAGAACTCCATTGACTGATGCCCCGGTAAGCTCCAGGGAGCCGAAGGGGCTCCCCACAGAAATACAAACAGAATAATATTTATAATTTGCAAATATTTGAACAGTAGAATAAAAATAATTATGGGCAATACATTGTCTGCTAGCTTATTTTCTGTTGAATATATTCTTGAAATTTTAGATGGAACTGGCTTTGACAACAACTTTTACCACCGTGAGAGTTTTAAATCTAATGCAGTACCCAAATACAGTCCCAGTCAGGATGGACAGTTTGGTGATACAGTAATGAGCCTACACAGCTCCAGCTGTGATGCACAGTGCAAGGATTAAGCCTCCAGCTGCTACTGCAAAGGTTGTAGTCCATCCCAAACTTCCACTGGCTTCATATTATTTCATTTTCCCTATCACCTTCTCTATTCCTTTGGCTACATATTCCTCCTTTCCCTCCTCCTGTTCCTTTTCTCTAATTCCCAGAACCAAGTGACCTGAATATGTCCAAACATTTAACAGACTACAGTTCCAACCCTGGTGGTTATTAGGTGGTTAACTGTTCCTGAAGAATGTCAAGGTGGTCACTCACATTCAAATAAATTTCTAACCACAGTTGTGCATACCTGCAAAATATCGAGGTAAGCAGCCAAGTACAAAAGATTGAGGTGCTGTAATAGGATGGAGTGGAGCCACTGGGTCAACTTGGAGTCCCAATTTACCCGAGCAAGTGCCTGCCGAAACTTAGCCGACGTCTTATCTGTGGGGAAATAGCACTTGTGAATTTGAGTGTGACTGCTGTACAATTAAATTCAGAAGTGTGAATAATTTTCAAGTACACTTTGAACTTTGGAAGTTAAGGAAGGAATTTTCAGGAAAAGCTAAAATTTCCTCAGTGGTGAGTCATTTGTAAAGTACTACACATTTCTTTCACAAACAGGGAAAACAACTGCTTCATAGAAATGAGTTGGGAACTTTGTTTTAGAGAAAAGGTTGTGAAGAGGACCTCTTGCAACAACTACCTAGCAACATACAAGTATACAGTGCATAAATACAATGCTATTTCCCACTCTCACGAGTGAGGGAGGCATCACCAGGAAAGAAAAAGTTAAATAAAACAAAAGTAAATATTACTTGTCCATTCATTTTATCTTTCACACTACATGGCATCATGATGAACAAGAACTATCATGCTCCAGTAGTCATCCACAGCAACACACTACATGGCATCATGATGAACAAGAACTATCATGCTCCAGTAGTCATCCACAGCAACACACTACATGGCATCATGATGAACAAGAACTATCATGCTCCAGTAGTCATTCACAGCAACACACTACATGGCATCATGATGAACAAGAACTATCATGCTCCAGTAGTCATCCACAGCAACACATTACATGGCATCATGATGAACAAGAACTATCATGCTCCAGTAGTCATTCACAGCAACACACTACATGGCATCATGATGAACAAGAACTATCATGCTCCAGTAGTCATCCACAGCAACACACTACATGGCATCATGATGAACAAGAACTACCATGCTCCAGTAGTCATCCACAGCAACACCACACTACATGGCATCATGATGAACAAGTACTACTATATTCCAGCAGTCATCCACAGCAATACACTAGAAAATAGCATTCAGTGTTGCTGCTGAGTTCAGCTCAGCAGCACCAGGAGGCAGGAGTCACTGCAGCAGGCCCAAGGAATATCAAATTGCCTAAGTATTGGAAACACGTAAAGGGCTGTAAGTGGTGTCTCAGGTTACATAAAAGTATAGGGAAGTTTAAAAGTAAATAAGATACAATAAGTGAAAGTGGGTGAAAATTCTGTGTGGAAAAGTTTATATTCCGAAACAAAAGATTGTCAATAACAAAGAAGGCTGCCACCATGGGGAAGGTAAACAAACCAACAGATGATTGTTTCAAAAAATTCTCACCACAAGATATAACGATATCCTGTGGTGAGACAACACATGATACACCCCCCGGCTTGACCAACCAAGCCACAACAATCCAGGGATCCCTCCGGAAAGCAGCAGTCCCATTCTTCGTCAGAAAAGGAGGAGACGGCTGCAACCGAACAAACCTATCACCACAACCAAAAGAGCAGAAACCCCCTGCAACGGAGGAGAGCATGAAGCTCCTCGACCCGAGACCCCCAGAGGCCAATGCCAACAAGAAAAGCCCCAAAGAAAAGCAATCTGGAACCGAAGGGGCCATAACAAAACAAGGAAAAGACAATACGAGAGCACCCTGTCCAAAGACCAGGACAGCGCAGGCGGCGCAGGAGTAGGCAGATTTTGGTGACCACCACCAGAGACAGCTTGCGAAATGGTGCAGAGGGAATACCAAAATCGAAAGCAAGCCGGAGTGGCTCCACCAGCGCCGCACGATACAAGGCGACAGCATGTGGCAAAAAACCTTGCAGAGGCAGACCCCAAAGTGGCTTGTGGAAGATGGCCCCAAGCCCAAAGGGCAGTACTTGCAGGGCACTTAGGGAAGGGGACCCCAGACGTATGCAGCCTGAGTACTTGTGAAGTAACTCCTGGCTCACGTACCACCACTTAAACATTACCATACCATAAAGCACAGAACTGGAAAAACGGGAGCCAAAGGCTCCTGTTTTGTTAGGGCTGATGTGAACCTTACCAGTTCACATCAGCCACAGAACTGAAGGGTGGATGAAGGGTAAAGCCGGCATGGGGGGTCTGGGGCTTCCCCTTTCTTCTCCTGGGGAGAGAGGGGGGGGGGGAGTGCACAGACAGAGGTGCAGTAACATGCTCATTTGCTCGTTTTCATTCGGGAAGCTCTGTCCACTAGTTTGGCTTTCAGTAGCACTATTTTAACCAAAATAGGGGTTTGTTTTGGGGCGCTTACCTTTCTCGGTACCTGACCCAGTCAATGGCAGACATAGAATGCTTCCAACCACATGGGGGTTTCTATAGGCCAGTGCTCCTCGTGCCTCTCTGAGGATGGGGGCAGGTTCTGGCTCGTGGTTCCTGGTAGGTCTAGAATTCCATGCCCATTGACCAATGCCAGGAGTGTAATACGTTCATATCATCCCAGTTAGCTCCGGGGAGCCAAAGGGGCTCCCCCCAGAAAACTGGGACACTTGCTCGTTGGTCATCGCCCTATAACTACTTAGGGTTAGAAACAGGAGATACTCCAAAGTGGGGAAACTCCAATTCCGTGTCACCGAGTAAGTAAAGAAACGATCAGAGTAGTGGTATTTCATTGACAGATGCCCGTACGAGGCAAAATGACCTCCCACTTATGCTACACCTCTGATGTCTCGACAAAATCAGACTAGAGTCAAGCTCAACAGGGTCTTCTTTCCCCGCTGTTAAATGCAGACCTGTTCCCCCTGCCTGTGGGTTTGCTAGATAGTAGATAGGGACAGTGAGAATCTTGTTAATTTATTCGTGCGCATCACTAATTGGATGACGAGGCATTTGGCATTTTATGCACTGTAGCAAACTTCTAATATTGTCCATGTTGGACAGACATATGTATATAGGCTGGTTAGCATTGAAATTTACCATTGTAAAAGCACTAAAATCATCATCTATGTTTTAGTGCTTAATAACCTAGTACACTACATGTAGAAAATTTTAGTAGGTAGGTAGGAATGAAAACTCTTGATATGATGACTGGTTAATCACTACTGTGGGGCCTCCAATCCTAAATCCTACTCAGGAATACACCTATGTTAGTGTCATACCACTCACTCATCATGCCATTAATTCATGAACATGTATTTTTTTTCACACATACAATTTTCATAGCACTTAAGAGAACTGAAAATTACATAAATGCTGCTCCTCTCCAGAGCTCTCCTATATTAACACTGTTAATGAGTAACATTTCATGAGAAAACATTACATTTGCTAAGATTAAAAAGTACATAAGCAAACTCTCCAAAAGTATCACTACATTCAAAATATTAAAAAACCTACCAACTAGAGCTCTGCGAGTGACAGGTTCATTGTGACAATCTTTGAGAGCAAGACGCCCCAGACGATCAGAGTCCAGGATCTGCACTGCCTTGTTGAAAAGGGCCGTCTGTGACTCTGTCCACCCTATTCTGAAATATTAACGCACATTACCAACACAAGGGTTGCCATTCACCTGAATACTGTATTGCTAAATATTAAACAGTATTTTAAAATTAATATTAAAACAAAAAGGGAGAAGATGCTAAACTACAAAGTATGTCATTACTGTAATAAGTATACATTACTATGTATAATAATGGGCACAAAAACCAAGTGCTGAATATAATGAATGTCTTTTTCTGGAGAAGCCATGGTGGCTCTCTGGAGTTATTTTGCTGAAATTACTCCAGAATAAAAGTTCATATGATTTGCAGTAGTTCCGTTTAGTTAACCGAGGATCAGAGACAGAACCTGGCCCCCTCACGGATGCACGGGGTGCCGGTGATTCGACACCCCCACTGGAAAAAGCCTCCAGAAAGTCAGTGAAGCTTTACAGACAATTGGAAGGTTCGCAGAAAACAAAGCCTCAAAACTGCCTAACAACTCTGCAAACAACTCTCACAGAATAAAGGATTCACTCATACTAGCTCAAAACTCGTTAATACCAATTACCACCACCAGGCAGCCTGGCCCAGCTGATTCTCCATCTCGGTTCTGGAGCAGATGAACAACCCAACATGAAACCAATGAACTTGGAGGGAGGGAGAATCAGGGAGTCACCAGGGATTTTCAAGAAAGGCATTTCATTACGTTCAATGCTGGGTTTCTGGAGGGAGGCTCCCAATGGCACCTTGAAGCTGACGAACCACAAAGAACATAAAAATAGCACTAAATGTAATGAAAACGCCAATTTCTGGGAGTGCCAATGTCTCCCTAAAGCTGCATGCCAAGATGATTATTGGGTCACATCAGCTGTAGAGTTCTAGAGGCTTACAGGGGACCAGAACCAGAACCGCCCTCCCCCCTCACAGAGGCACAAAGAGTGGCGACATTTAATTTTTGCCACCGCACCGAGGAAGGCAACCAAAAAGTCAGCGAGTCAAAACAAAACTCAAAAAGAACTCTCCTATGTATACAGACACTCAAAATCTCTCAGAACTAGCATGAGCTCATTTATCCCACCTCCCCCCACTCGTTTGGTGGAGGGGGGAAGTAGCCTACCACCAGCTGGCATCCACAAACTCGGTACTAGAGGCAGATATGGGTATTTACCCAACAATCTGGAAGAAACAGAGGGAATCTGGGAAGCATCAAGGTTTTCCCAGTGTTATGACTGCAGTCTAATAACAAGCCTCCCCAGCCTCAAGAGTCATTTAACCTCACCTAAGATGATCGCAGACAACTTAAACATAACTAAGTTAATAAGAAACACATCTTATGCACGATTTTGAAGTATATTTAGCTGTAAAGGTGGGAAATGGGACAAATTACAGAACAAGATGGCACCCGAACAAGAGGCAGTACATACAGGAATGCACTCAATGCAGCAACACATGCCTTGGGATCACATAAGATAAGCGAGTGGTGGGTGGTGGTGGTGGTGGTCCAGGTGATCAGCCAATCTACAACAATCTTTCTGCGACATCATCGGCAGGCACCGAGCCCAAGGAGTGGAGATTAGCTCACTAACCTGCCAGACTAGGTCAGTGAGCCTGACAGCTGAGTGGACAGCGCTTCGGATTCGTAGTCCTGAGGTTCTGGGTTCGATCCCCGGTGGAGGCGGAGACAAATGGGCAGTTTCTTTCACCCTGATGCCCTTGTTACCTAGCAGTAAATAGGTACCTGGGAGTTAGACAGCTGCTACGAGCTGCTTCCTGGAGATGTGTAACAAAAAGGAGGCCTGGTCGAGGTCCAGGCCGCGGGGATGCTAAGCCCCAAAATCATCTCAAGATAGGTATGAAGCAAACGTGACACCAGCGCTCGTGAAAATCCATCAAGTTTAGGATTTACATGGAGAGTTGAGCCCTAGAAGTTGTGCTACAGTACTCTGACACCACATGGAGCATCTGGGAACCCTTTGGTAAAGGTTGAGAGAAAATTTGACAGCGAATGGCTCAGCTGAGATCGTGAGGACCCGACAGCAAGCCTGAAGTCATAGAGGAAAGAGGAAGAAACTTTATGACTATGGTAGATCTACGTGAATAAATTAACAAGATACCTAGAGACAGTCCCGGCTAGTAAGAGTCGGCAGAAGTTACAAGCCTGCGAGTTGATCCACAAGAAGTAGCCACAGGAAGAGGCTAGTCAATATTCAAGGCAGGTGTGTTTTATTTTACTTTTCCTGTGAAGAGGCTAGTGGCATTTGCAATTACAGTATATTCATTAGTTCTTGCTATAGTGTTATTATGATGATTTGTAATTCACTTCTGATACCTTTCACCTGTGTTATTTCAGATATCATGTAGGGAACCAAGTTGAATAAAGCTGGAAAACTGAATTCAAGTACTGTACGTATATCATTTATCACCATCCATTTGAACAACGTAAGAAAACAAAATTGGCGAGAATAATTTTTTCTGTGCACCGCGAGCTTATATTTAATAGTGGCGCAACAGAGTGGTTATTGACAAAGCAAACTCATACTTAGGTATTTTCTCTTCCCAGTCTTCATTTTCATCCTCTGGTGACTGGTTCTTATCCGGGCACTGCTCTGGCTTGATCTGGTCCAGTCTAGCAAACACAACGTGGCGTTCACACTCGCTCATCACTTGCTGGGCCTTGCACAAGTCATATGGTAATGGAGGTGGTGGTGGTGGTTCGCCGTCAACATCAATTGGCTCATCATAGCTGGAACGAGAATATTCCCTTAGTGATCAAAGGTTAACGTGGCATTGGTTACAAACAACATTACACTCCTTACAATAACTACATGTAGAAATATTTGCAACAGTAGTCTAATAACCCAATGGACTGTTGTGTTCAACTATGTTATTGTGACATTCTCTGCAGGGTAGTCCTATCCTGTGCTTAACTATTGTATTAAAGTATAGTTTAATACAATAGTAAAGTATAGCAAAGTAAACTCAGTACCTTTGAATGTAATCATCATAAAAAAGACTTAATAATTTTCATGATGAGGTGAATAGACATATCTGTGTAACCTAACCTTGTTTCTTTCTATATTGACAACACTTTGTAACCAGATTTTTTCTGGTAGGCTTCAATCTATGATATGTAGGGTATATTAGCTTGTCACACACTACCTGCCATATTATACCAAGCACTCTTCAATATAATTTATGATCATGTTCTTCACCATTTCCCTCTTTCCCCTTTTATTGGAAAGTAAGACACCCACCTGGAAAGGATGAAAAATCAAAAGTGAATAGATAAAAAACCAGCGTTGAATGGAATGAAACGGCATTTATTGGGCGAGACCCGGAGGCTTCCCCGGAGCTATCCAGGCTGATAAGGATATACTAGACTTTGGCATCAATGTGAATGGAGTTCTAGGCCTACATGGGACCGAAATGGGTCAGTCTCGGGGCATTCGGGAAAGCAACAAACCTATCACGTTGCAACAACCAAAACCAAGCATGCAACGCCTCTATTGCCTGCACCCTCATATCATGTTCAGTAGCTTGGGTGAACTGGAGCACGTACAAAGAACAAATGTCGCACGACTCCTGGTCAAGAGAATCACCGACCCGACAGGCAGCATGGCGGAGGCACAACTGGTGATTGTCACCCTGAGACAAGGGGACAGAAAAACCATCAACCTCACACAAAGCGAGAGGGAACTGAAGGGGGATCCATCGGACCACGGAACCCCGTGGGGTTTCCCAGGGCCCTTAGCCTTGGTATCACGCTAAGGGAAGTCCAGGCAGGGTACTGCGAACCGGCATCCAAAACAACTGAGCAAACTTCTAAAAGCTGAACCCCTGGGACGTGTCCACTCACGGAGGCCTAGCAGGAGGTATCACCAAGAACACAGATGGATATAGAAAGACCCCCAATTGTAGAAAGGAGGCAACCAACCAAAGACAGAATCCCCCCCCCCACCAGGCAGGAAAACGAAAACAAAACACCCCACAAGAGGACAACGTACCCAGGCGGAACAGAGCCGGCCGCTATAATAGGTGATAACTAGCTGTGCAGTATCCTGTACCCCTACCAGTGACGAAAACCACTCCCTACCCAGAGGCAAACAAGGGTAACAAACTCCAGTTGACTACAAGGGCAGCCAAGTACTGAGCAGTAAAAGACACAGCGGAAGAAGGTCCCAAGGCAACTTGTGGAAGGAGGCCCCAAGCCCCAGGGAGGCAGTACTTACAAGGCACCTAGGGAAGGAAACCCTAGGTGCATGCAGCCCCAAGTACCATAGATTACTGCTGGCTCACACACACCACCTGTAGAGACAGACTATGCCACAAGGAACAGTAACTGAAATCAAAACAGGAGCCAGAGGCACATGACCTGTCAGTATCACATCAGCCAAGAACTGCCGGTTGGATCGCCAATGTGAGGGTCTGGGAGCTCCCCCTTCCCCCCTCTCAGGGAGGGAGGGGGGTTGCGCAAACAGCGGCGCGGCAACATGTCGTCGTCATGCTTGTTTGCTAATTTTTGTTTGAGGAGTTCTGTCCACTCGTTCGGCTTTCGGTAACAGTATTTTCACCAGAATAGGGGTTTGTTTTGTGGCGCCTACCTTTCTGGGTGTCAGACCCAGGCGATGGCAGACATAGAATGCTCGCAACCTCAGGGAGGTTTCTATAGGCCATTGCTCCTCCTGCCTCTCTAAAGGGGCCAGGTTCTGGCTCGTGGTCCCCGATAGGTAATAACTCCATGCACTTTGAATGATGCCAGAAAGCTAATAGATACATATCAGCCTGGATAGCTCTGAGGAGCCAACGGGGCTCCCCCCAGAAAAATAATAAAAAACTAAAAAAGGCAGCACTAACGGGCAATTTAAAAAACTGTACAGTATAAACAAAATTAATAGTGTTAGTATGTTAGGGAAAGATATATGCATTAACTGCTGAACATAGAAGCATGCACACAACAACCATTGGGAGTTGTACCGATTTTGACGAGAAGTCTTCGCCATAAACAACATCTTCCTGGGACGAGCATTTATAGCTTCTGGTCGCCAATTCCAAGGTCGTGCGTATGAATGGTCAATCATCACTATGTCTGTCTCGCTCTCCTGCAGAACGAATACTGTATAAATAAATAGGGTTTAAAGATTTTTTCATATTATAACCATTGAAATCTCACAGTAAAGGGCAATATGATTTAGATATACAAATGGGTGAAAGAAAAAAAAAAAAAAAAAAAAAAAAAAAAAAAGGATATTAATAAAGTTGTAGTACATCAACATATAATGGGGCCCAAAACAATGGCTATGAACTACAAGTTTGGATTCAGAAAAGATCTTGGTAAATACTTGTGTGGGAATATGGTTGCAGGCTTTTAGACTAATTACTGGGTAATGCAATATCAGACACGGGATCACTGGATTGTTTTAAGTGGTCAGATACAGTACATACATGAATAAGTTTGGTTGATATAAATAGGCACTGCCTCACATGGGACAAGAGACCTTCTGTAGTTTAATTTATTCTTTATATTTTTCTAATATGAACGGTCATGGATTCCCGGCAGCAGGACATGTCGGCACACATCATACCTGTCCACTTGCAAGCCTCAGTACAGAGGCGAACCTGGCATGGGGGTCTCCTGGAGATTTTGATTTTGAGTCCATCAAGCCCTCACCAAATGCAGAGGTGCTTCCCAAGGCCCGTGGAGACCCCGGTCGTGAGGAAGGACAAGGCCGACGGAACGAGAGCGAGTTAAGACCCGATGATCCAGCATGACACTATAAGAAGAAAGAAATACTGTATTCACATTTATATTACAATCTCAACTTACTTTTACCCATTCAAACACTGTACATGAAAATATATACTGTAAATCCAGTAGGAGCACAGACTGATGGAAGCAGTACTGGATGGATATGGTGGATAGGGAGAGATGGGGGAAAAAATAGTAAAGGGCAAGGTTGTGGTGTTAGTAGTAATATGGTATGTAGTAGTGGCATTGTATGTGGTATGTAGTAGTGGCATTGTATGTGGTATGTAGTAGTGGCATTGTATGTGGTATGTAGTAGTGGCATTGTATGTGGTATGTAGTAGTGGCATGTACAGTAGTTGTAATCTGTACGGTAGTCATGTGTTGGCATGTAGTTAACCCTTCGACAGCTGCTATGAAGAAACGGTCATACCCGCCTATGCACAAAAAAAAAAAAAAAATCCAACAAATAATTTTCATCATAGAATTATTAATTTGTAGGCATAATGTAAGAAAAACATGAAAATAGAAAACTATTTATCATTTCATGGGTGGAGGCACTCAGCAAGGCTGTGTCTGGCACTTATCAAAGACTTGTGCTCAACTATGCTGATGCTCCCTATTTTATCCTCTGATACTTCATTGATTGTTTTCTCACTTGTTTTTCTTTATTTACATCCGCAAAGAGCTTTTATATCTATATTTTCATCATACTTGTCAAACCCAGACAATAATTATTGAAATCATCATACGATGGTGACTGCATTACCCTGGTAACATTCATGATGGTAACCACATTTGTACCATGAAATAGTAGCAGCATTTTTTTCATGGGTCGAGGTAAACTCCATTACATCCACATAGACCTATTACAGTATATCCATATTATATGTGTAAATCAGGAAAATTAATATGTGATGAAAAATGTGACAGTGTCAGACCACAGAGGAAGAATTGAAACAGGAATTTCCTAGTTGACCAGACCACACACTAGAAGGTGAAGGGACAACGACGTTTCGGTCCGTCCTGGACCATTCTCAAGTCGATTGTGATGAGGAAGTAGATGCAGGCAATAAAGAGGCATGAGAGAGGTGAGGAGCAAAGTAAGGTGCAGTAGAGGGGATAGTAGTAGGAATAAGAACTGCAGAGGGCTACTTTCACATAATTTTGGTGGTTTGTTTCCATTGCTGGGAGAGTTCTTTTGGCCATTTTGAGGCTGCAGTCTCACTAACCATGCAGTAGTCTGTTTTGTTTTGTCTACTTTTCTAGGTGCCTTCCCTGGTGGTGGCAATTATGATTAACTTTAAATGTAATGTGTACATGGGCCACTGCTCCCTGTGCGTATCTGAGGGAGCCAGGTTCTGGGTGTGGTTCCCGGTAGGCTAATAGAACTCTGTGACTAATGTCACCTAGTAGTATGGCACTAGATCAGTGTGAAAGCTTCAGGAAGCCTCGAGGGGCTTCCCCCAGAAAATACAAATTTTGGAGGGGTAATCCAGTAGGAACATTTGGTCTTGTGTAGACGAATCCACTAAATGGAGGGTCCACTGTATATTCAAAGATACATTAAAAAAAATTGTATTGCCTAGGGAACAGTTTATGGGATATTTTTTTTATACTGATGGTACCAATGGAACCCAAACCCACCTTGCCAGGAGAGATGCTTTGAGAACCAGTCAAGGAAGTAGATGTATGTGACACTGAAGATGTTAGCAATGTTCTGATGAGGCCATCTGTCTCCATTTTGTCCACAATCATCAAAATTCCACATCTACAGGAACAGCAGCAATAAAGTGGCAGTGAGGAATATCCATGTTAGCACTAACTATATAAATCACTACATACCAATAAACATACCTGAATAAGCTGAAGTGGTCTGCCATTCTTGTCTGTTGGCATTCATATTACAAACAAAACTCAAAAGGCATTTTCTTCAGCACATCACAGGACTATTTATTTACCTGTCAACTTACAATGAAACCCTAATACACCAATCTGGATTATGCTAACCTCCAAATTACATAATGCAATAAATTAAATAAATTTTTCTTTACTACAGCATTTCTATGTCCTATTTCTATACAGCCTCTAATGTAGCCCCTTCATCACAGCCATCCTCATACTTGCCATTTAACCCTTAAACTGAGCAATACATACTTATACGATGGGAGTAACTGTCACGAAATTGCGCACATTGTACATATACGATTGAGGGTCTAGAGCACGATTAGCTGCCCCTAGCCCCACGAGAGATAGGGGCAGCTATAGTCCAGCCACGTCCGAGAGTAAACAAACGCCATCTTGAAATAAAATCGTGGGGTAACATATCCGAGTGCGAGAGCCTCAATATTGAGTGAACCACCAAGGCTGGTGCATGCAGCATGAGCTAACAGCAGTGCTGTTCAGCCTGTGACCTCAGCATCGTCTAAAAATGTCAAAATATATATGTACATGCCATTATTTAGCGATGATAGTATTACAGAAGACCCCTGACTAATAAAAATGACCAGGATTCTGATAATAGCAGGATTGTTGTGATAATTAGTGCTGTAATCTTGGTGGGAAGGGAGGTGGCATTGTTCGCCGACTATATGTGTGGCCACCTTTTACTGTCTGGACTCACTATACCAACTCAGTGGTTTCCTATGGTGAACACAAATGTAGATATTAGTACTTATATATAACATGTGTATATAGTGTAATAACAGCAAAAGGAGTATGTTGGGAGGAGCCATTTTAACGAGGGAGGTGGCGTCGTCTGCATGACTTGTCATGCAACGTATGGTGGCCACTATGTTGTTTGGGCACCATATCAGCTTAGTTGTACGGTTATGGTGAATAAAACATGTAGATACTCATATATAATGTGTGTATAGTGTAATAACACCACAGATAGTATGGTTGGAGGAGGAATGTTAGTGTGTTTGGCCTTGAATGAGTGAGGGAGGGGAGGGAGCATTAGCTCTGTGGTGACTTCTGTTATTGCCTGAACTCACCATACCAGCTTAGATGTACAATTATGGTGAACAAAACATGTAGATACTTATATAGTAGTAGTAGTAGTGGACATACATCAGTCTCAGGAGACTATGGAGTTGCGCTCAGGTTGCCGGTCTGGAGCGGCTTCTCCAGGGCACAAAGCCAGGGTAGGTTGATACCGAAAGTAAAAAATCTCCAATGGAAAGGCAAACGCCAATATGATTAGTTCCAGCGCCGTCACAGGAACTGCGAGTTACAGGGGTTGACTTCGAAGTTGGTGAAAGAAGGCTCACAGGGACTCCAACCCGGAGACTGCCGTGGTCATGGCCGGAGAAAAAACACCCAATCAAGAGTATGAACTACCCCAGCCTTCTGAAGCAGAGCCTGGGCCGCACGACCCTCAGGAGGTGGACGTCCCGGTCACGCACCTACAGGTTCCAGACAGAGATCATTACAGCCCCCTTTCACAAGAGGCTGGCCTCCTTCAAGACCAAGCAGAAGAAAGTGATAATTATTAAATACAACAATTATTATTATAATAAATTATAATAATTATTATTATAATAATTATTATAATAATAATAATCAGATACTTATATATAACGTCTGTATATAGTGAATAAAAGCTAAAACAGTATGGTGGGAGGAGGATATTGGCGAGTGAGGTGAGGGAGGGAGTGGTGGCCAGTGGCTGGCCGGCTGGTGTGGCAGCCACTCTTTGTTGCTTCGACTCACCATACTAACTTAGTGGTTCATTATGGCGAACAAAACATGCAGATACTTAAATATAACCTGTGAATATAGTGTAACAACCGCAAAACTATTTGTTTATTTTATGAACAATATGAAGACGGTACGAAAACTGAAAAATAAGAAAACCAAAACAAATTTTCCCATAAGAAATAATGTAAATTGAATTAATCCATTCCACACCCCAAAATATATTAACTACAAAATACATTTCATACAGAGTAATACTAATACTAATAACCGAGGCAAACAACGAGTACTGAATAAAATTTTTCAGAGAAATTAAGAACGAGTACCGAAAAATATGAGAACTGGGGCATACGAGAACCAAGGTTCCACTGTGTGTGTGTGTGTGTGTGTGTGTGTGTGTGTGTGTGTATGTATATATATATATATCAACAAACAGAACACTTCCCCATATGAGACAATCGAACCATGGGCCTGGCAGGTGCCAGGCCAGAGCTCTAACCATTGGACCAACCTCAGACCGTTAAAAGGAAGGAAATTTGAGTGCGTTTTACACCACCACCTTTTAACGGTCTGAGGTTGGTCCAATGGTTAGAGCTCTGGCCTGGCACCTGCCAGGCCCATGGTTCGATTCTCTCATATGGGGAAGTGTTTGTTAAAAGTTCCTTGCAAATTCGTGCAAGTGTATGGTGATATGTATATGTATATGTACAAGTATATATTATATATATGTATATGTACAAGTATATATTATATATATTATATATTATACAGTATATATATATATTTATTTATTTATATATTCTCTATATAAATAAATAAATATATGCACAACAATGATCACATAAACACTGATGCAAGTATGCAGAAAAACGACATGTGAAAAATAGAATATGCTAAATGCCTTTTTGGCTTAAATCGCCTTCATAAGAGCAAAGAACACACACACATTATAGATAGATAGATAGATAGATAGATAGAAAATATATATATATATATATATATATATATATATATATATATATATATATATATATATATATATATATATATATATATATATATATATATATATATCTATCTATCTATCTATCTATCTATCTAGCCAAGTTTTCATGAATTGTTTTTCGACTACCTAACCTACCTAACCTAACCTAACATTTTCGGCTACCTAACGAAACCTAACCTATAAAGATAGGTTAGGTTAGGTAGGGTTGGTTAGGTTCGGTCATATATCTACGTTAATTTTAACTCCAATAAAAAAAAATTGACCTCATACATAATGAAATGGGTAGCTTTATCATTTCATAAGAAAAAAATTAGAGAAAAAATATTAATTCAGGAAAACTTGGCTTATTAGGCAAATCGGGCCTTGCATAGTAGGCATAAAAGTGCGTTCTGGCTATTAGGTACGAGATAGATATATATATATATATATATATATATATATATATATATATATATATATATATATATATATATATATATATATATATATATATATATATATATATATATATATAACTGAAAACTCACACCCCAGAAGTGACTCGAACCCATACTCCCACAACTGGTATGTACAGGGACGCCTTAATCCGCTTGACCATCACGACCGGACAAAAGGAAGTGATAGCCGAGGCTATATGAACCACTTCCCCGCCGGCACTCGGATGGTAATCTTGGGCATAGCATTTTATCAAATCACCTCATTCTTTGGGGGGCACACATGAGGAACACAAATGCAAACAAGCCTGAATGGTCCCCAGGACTATATACAACTGAAAACTCACACCCCAGAAGTGACTCGAACCCATACTCCCACAACTGGTATGTACAGGGACGCCTTAATCCGCTTGACCATCACGACCGGACAAAAGGAAGTGATAGCCGAGGCTATATGAACCACTTCCCCGCCGGCACTCGGATGGTAATCTTGGGCATAGCATTTTATCAAATCACCTCATTCTTTGGGGGGCACACGTGAGGAACACAAATGCAAACAAGCCTGAATGGTCCCCAGGACTATATACAACTGAAAACTCACACCCCAGAAGTGACTCGAACCCATACTCCCACAACTGGTATGTACAGGGACGCCTTAATCCGCTTGACCATCACGACCGGACAAAAGGAAGTGATAGCCGAGGCTATATGAACCACTTCCCCGCCGGCACTCGGATGGTAATCGGATGGTACATACCAGTTGTGGGAGTATGGGTTCGAGTCACTTCTGGGGTGTGAGTTTTCAGTTGTATATAGTCCTGGGGACCATTCAGGCTTGTTTGCATTTGTGTTCCTCACGTGTGCCCCCCAAAGAATGAGGTGATTTGATAAAATGCTATGCCCAAGATTACCATCCGAGTGCCGGCGGGGAAGTGGTTCATATAGCCTCGGCTATCACTTCCTTTTGTCCGGTCGTGATGGTCAAGCGGATTAAGGCGTCCCTGTACATACCAGTTGTGGGAGTATGGGTTCGAGTCACTTCTGGGGTGTGAGTTTTCAGTTGTATATAGTCCTGGGGACCATTCAGGCTTGTTTGCATTTGTGTTCCTCACGTGTGCCCCCCAAAGAATGAGGTGATTTGATAAAATGCTATGCCCAAGATTACCATCCGAGTGCCGGCGGGGAAGTGGTTCATATAGCCTCGGCTATCACTTCCTTTTGTCCGGTCGTGATGGTCAAGCGGATTAAGGCGTCCCTGTACATACCAGTTGTGGGAGTATGGGTTCGAGTCACTTCTGGGGTGTGAGTTTTCAGTTGTATATAGTCCTGGGGACCATTCAGGCTTGTTTGCATATATATATATATATATATATATATATATATATATATATATATATATATATATATATATATATATATATATATATATATATATATATATATATATATATATATATATATATATATATATATATATATATATATATATATATATATATATATATATATATATATATATATATATATATATATATATATATATATATATATATATATATATATATATATATAATATATATATATATATATATATATATATATATATATATATATATATATATATATATATATATATATATATATATATATATATATATATATATATATATATATATATATATATATATATATATATATATATATATATATATATATATATATATATGCTAGGTTTATATCAAGGTCTCCCCCACACCAGCAGAGTAGAGCCTCTCCTTCCCCCCACACCAGCAGAGTAGAGCCTCTCCTTCCCCCCACACCTGCAGAGTAGAGCCTCTCCACCCCCACACCAGCAGAGTAGAGCCTCTCCTTCCCCCCACACCTGCAGAGTAGAGCCTCTCCTCCCCCACACCAGCAGAGTAGAGCCTCTCCTTCCCCCCACACCTGCAGAGTAGAGCCTCTCCTCCCCCACACCAGCAGAGTAGAGCCTCTCCTTCCCCCCACACCTGCAGAGTAGAGCCTCTCCTCCCCCACACCAGCAGAGTAGAGCCTCTCCTTCCCCCCACACCTGCAGAGTAGAGCCTCTCCTCCCCCACACCAGCAGAGTAGAGCCTCTCCTTCCCCCCACACCTGCAGAGTAGAGCCTCTCCTTCCCCCCACACCAGCAGAGTAGAGCCTCTCCTCCCCTACACCTGCAGAGTAGAGCCTCTCCTTCCCCCCACACCTGCAGAGTAGAGCCTCTCCTTCCCCACACCAGCAGAGTAGAGCCTCTCCTCCCCCACACCAGCAGAGCAGAGCCTCTCCTTCCCCCCACACCTGCAGAGTAGAGCCTCTCCTTCCCCCCACACCTGCAGAGTAGAGCCTCTTCTTCCCCCCACACCTGCAGAGTAGAGCCTCTCCTTCCCCCCACACCACGTTGGAGGAGTTCGAAATTACGAGAGAGGAGGTCAAGAGACACCTGCTGGATCTGGATGTTAGAAAGGCTGTTAGTCCAGATGGGATCTCACCATGGGTACTGAAAGAGTGTGCAGAGGCACTTTGCCTGCCACTCTCCATAGTGTATAGTAAGTCACTAGAGACGGGAGACCTACCAGAAATATGGAAGACGGCAAATGTGGTCCCAATATACAAAAAGGGCGACAGACAAGAGGCACTGAACTACAGGCCAGTGTCCTTGACTTGTATACCATGCAAGGTGATGGAGAAGATCGTGAGAAAAAACCTGGTAACACATCTGGAGAGAAGGGACTTCGTGACAAATCGCCAACATGGATTCAGGGAGGGTAAATCTTGCCTTACAGGCTTGATAGAATTCTACAATCAGGTGACACAGATTAAGCAAGAAAGAGAGGGCTGGGCGGACTACATTTTCTTGGATTGTCGGAAAGCCTTTGACACAGTACCGCATAAGAGGCTGGTACATAAGCTGGAGAGACAGGCAGGTGTAGCTGGGAAGGTGCTCCAGTGGATAAGGGAGTACCTAAGCAATAGGAAGCAGAGAGTTACGGTGAGGGGTGAGACCTCCGATTGGCGTGAAGTCACCAGTGGAGTCCCACAGGGCTCTGTACTCGGTCCTATCTTGTTTCTGATATATGTAAATGATCTCCCGGAGGGTATCGATTCATTTCTCTCAATGTTTGCGGACGATGCTAAAATTATGAGAAGGATTAAAACAGAAGAGGACTGTTTGAGGCTTCAAGAAGACCTAGACAAGCTGAAGGAATGGTCGAACAAATGATTGTTAGAGTTTAACCCAACCAAATGTAATGTAATGAAGATAGGTGTAGGGAGCAGGAGGCCAGATACAAGGTATCATCTGGGAGAGGAAATTCTTCAGGAGTCAGAGAAGGAAAAAGACTTGGGGGTTGATATCACGCCAGACCTGTCTCCTGCAGCACATATCAAGCGGATAACATCAGCGGCATATGCCAGGCTGGCCAACATACGAACGGCATTCAGAAACTTGTGTAAAGAATCATTCAGAACTTTGTATACCACATATGTCAGGCCAATCCTGGAGTATGCAGCCCCAGCATGGAGTCCATATCTAGTCAAGGATAAGACTAAACTGGAAAAGGTTCAAAGGTTTGCCACCAGACTAGTACCCGAGCTGAGAGGTATGAGCTACGAGGAGAGACTACGGGAATTAAACCTCACTTCGCTGGAAGACAGAAGAGTTAGGGGGGACATGATCACCACATTCAAGATTCTGAAGGGGATTGATAGGGTTGATAAAGACAGTCTATTTAACACAAGGGGAACACGCACAAGGGGACACAGGTGGAAACTGAGTGCCCAAATGAGCCACAGAGATATTAGAAAGAACTTTTTTAGTGTCAGAGTGGTTGACAAATGGAATGCATTAGGAAGTGATGTGGTGGAGGCTGACTCCATACACAGTTTCAAGTGTAGATATGACAGAGCCCGATAGGCTCATGAATCTGTACACCTGTTGATTGACGGTTGAGAGGCGGGACCAAAGAGCCAGAGCTCAACCCCCGCAAACACAACTAGGTGAGTACCTGCAGAGTAGAGCCTCTCCTCCCCCACACCAGCAGAGTAGAGCCTCTCCTTCCCCCCACACCTGCAGAGTAGAGCCTCTCCTTCCCCCCACACTTGCAGAGTAGAGCCTCTGCTCCCCCATCCCAGCAGAGTAGAGCCTCTGCTCCCCCACACCAGCAGAGTAGAGCCTCTGCTCCCCCATCCCAGCAGAGTAGAGCCTCTGCTCCTCCATCCCATCAGAGTAGAGCCCCCGTCACACACCAACCCACCAGTGGTGGGGTGGGAGACAGTCTCCACTACACAAGGCGCCACACACTCTTGTGTTCACAACATGTGACGTCACACTTGACGTGACGTCACGCTCCTGGCGGGATGTACTCTTGTAAAAGTTATAATAATAATAATAAGTAATAGTAGTAGTTACCTGTCGATAGTTAACTATATCTATCAGTGTCTACGTAGTGAGGTCTAGGGCCAGGATTCAACAGACACGCATCTACTTACGAACTAAACAAAATTATTTAATTTTTTGTTGCCCTCAGCACACCTTTAAATAATTTGTTTAATTAACTTAAGTTTGCTTAATTTGTTCGTATGTTCTCTGTATACACATTCTTTTCAATGAAAATTTGAATTTTAACATTTGTGTTGAGGAAGGAGAGGTGCAAGTTTAATTGCACAAACTACGAGACTTTTCCCCCCAATACTCAGGAGTCAAATTTCCGATATTTCAGACATTTTGAAAACTGCAGGGGGGTTTGGGCAAAATATGACCCATCGCCGTTTACAGTAATTGGCATATTTTCGGTATGAAACGTCGTAATTTGAAACTGAAAATAGGTGCAGAGAGTCAGAATTCGGCTCAAAAGTCACGCTCAGGAGTCAAATTTCCGACATTTCCGACATTTTAAAAACTGCAGGGGGGTTTGGGCAAAATATGACCCATCGCCGTTTTCAGTAATTGGCATATTTTCGGTATAAAAAGTCGTAATTTGAAACTGAAAATAGGTGCAGAGAGTCAGAATTCGGCTCAAAAATTATGCTCAAGAGTCAAATTTCCGACATTTCAGACATTTTGAAAACTGCAGGGGGGTTTGGGCAAAATATGACCCATCGCCGTTTTCAGTAATTGGCATATTTTCGGTATAAAACGTCGTAATTTGAAACTAAAAATAGGTGCAGAGAGTCAGAATTCGGCTCAAAAATCACGATCAGGAGACAAATTTCCGACATTTCAGACATTTTAAAAACTGCAGGAGGGTTTGGGCAAAATATGACCCATCGCTGTTTTCAGTAATTGGCATATTTTCGGTATGAAACGCCGTCAATTAAAACTGAAAATAGGTGCAGAGAGTCAGGATTCGGCTCAGAAATCACGCTCAGGAGTCAAATATCCGACATTTCAGACATTTTGAAAACTGCAGGGAAGTTTGGGCAAAATATGACCCATCGCCGTTTTCAGTAATTGGCATATTTTCGGTATAAAAAGTCGTAATTTGAAATTGAAAGTAGGTGCAGAGATTCAGAATTCGGATAAAAAATCACGCTCAGGAGTCAAATTTCCGACATTTCAGACATTTTGAAAACTGCAGGGGGGTTAGGGCAAAATATGACCCATCGCCGTTTTCAGTAATTGGCATATTTTCGGTATAAAAAGTCGTAATTTGAAACTGAAAATAGGTGCAGAGAGTCAGAATTCGACTCAAAAATCACGCTCAGGAGTCAAATTTCCGACATTTCAGACATTTTTGAAAACTGCAGGGGGGTTTGTGCAAAATATGACCCATCGCCGTTTACAGTAATTGGCATATTTTCGGTATGAAACGTCGTAATTTGAAACTGAAAATAGGTGCAGAGAGTCAGAATTCGGCTCAAAAATCACGCTCAGGAGACAAATTTTCGACATTTCAGACATTTTGAAAACTGCAGGGGGGTTTGGGCAAAATATAACCCATCGCCGTTTTCAGTAATTGGCATATTTTCGGTATAAAAAGTCGTAATTTGAAACTGAAAATTGGTGCAGAGAGTCAGAATTCGGATAAAAAATCACGCTCAGGAGTCAAATTTCCGATATTTCAGACATTTTGAAAACTGCAGGGGGCTTTGGGCAAAATATGACCAATCGCCGTTTACAGTAATTGGCATATTTTCGGTATGAAACGTCGTAATTTGAAACTGAAAATAGGTGCAGAGAGTCAGAATTCGGCTCAAAAGTCACGCTCAGGAGTCAAATTTCCGACATTTTAAAAACTGCAGGGGGGTTTGGGCAAAATATGACCCATCGCCGTTTTCAGTAATTGGCATATTTTCGGTATAAAAAGTCGTAATTTGAAACTGAAAATAGGTGCAGAGAGTCAGAATTCGGCTCAAAAATTATGCTCAAGAGTCAAATTTCCGACATTTCAGACATTTTGAAAACTGCAGGGGGGTTTGGGCAAAATATGACCCATCGCCGTTTTCAGTAATTGGCATATTTTCAGTATAAAACGTCGTAATTTGAAACTGAAAATAGGTGCAGAGAGTCAGAATTCGGCTCAGAAATCACGCTCAGGAGTCAAATATCCGACATTTCAGACATTTTGAAAACTGCAGGGAAGTTTGGGCAAAATATGACCCATCGCCGTTTTCAGTAATTGGCATATTTTCGGTATAAAACGTCGTAATTTGAAACTAAAAATAGGTGCAGAGAGTCAGAATTCGGCTCAAAAATCACGATCAGTAGAGAAATTTCCGACATTTCAGACATTTTGAAAACTGCAGGAGGGTTTGGGCAAAATATGACCCATCGCTGTTTTCAGTAATTGGCATATTTTCGGTATGAAACGTCGTCAATTAAAACTGAAAATAGGTGCAGAGAGTCAGAATTCGGCTCAGAAATTATGCTCAAGAGTCAAATTTCCGACATTTCAGACATTTTGAAAACTGCAGGGAAGTTTGGGCAAAATATGACCCATCGCTGTTTTCAGTAATTGACATATTTTCGGTATAAAAAGTCGTAATTTGAAACTGAAAATAGGTGCAGAGAGTCAGAATTCGGCTCAAAAATTATGCTCAAGAGTCAAATTTCCGACATTTCAGACATTTTGAAAACTGCAGGGAAGTTTGGGCAAAATATGACCCATCGCTGTTTTCAGTAATTGGCATATTTTCGGTATAAAAAGTCGTAATTTGAAATTGAAAGTAGGTGCAGAGATTCAGAATTCGGATAAAAAATCACGCTCAGGAGTCAAATTTCCGACATTTCAGACATTTTGAAAACTGCAGGGGGGTTAGGGCAAAATATGACCCATCGCCGTTTTCAGTAATTGGCATATTTTCGGTATAAAAAGTCGTAATTTGAAACTGAAAATAGGTGCAGAGAGTCAGAATTCGACTCAAAAATCACGCTCAGGAGTCAAATTTCCGACATTTCAGACATTTTTGAAAACTGCAGGGGGGTTTGGGCAAAATATGACCCATCGCCTTTTACAGTAATTGGCATATTTTCGGTATGAAACGTCGTAATTTGAAACTGAAAATAGGTGCAGAGAGTCAGAATTCGGCTCAAAAGTCACGCTCAGGAGTCAAATTTCCGACATTTCAGACATTTTAAAAACTGCAGGGGCGTTTGGGCAAAATATGACCCATCGCCGTTTACAGTAATTGGCATATTTTCGGTATGAAACGTCGTAATTTGAAACTGAAAATAGGTGCAGAGAGTCAGAATTCGGCTCAAAAATCACGCTCAGGAGACAAATTTTCGACATTTCAGACATTTTGAAAACTGCAGGGGGGTTTGGGCAAAATATAACCCATCGCCGTTTTCAGTAATTGGCATATTTTCAGTATAAAAATTCGTAATTTGAAACTGAAAATAGGTGCAGAGAGTCAGAATTCGGATACAAAATCACGCTCAGGAGTCAAATTTCCGACATTTCAGACATTTTGAAAACTGCAGGGGGGTTTGGGCAAAATATGACCCATCGCCGTTTTCAGTAACTGGCATATTTTCGGTATAAAAAGTCGTAATTTGAAACTGAAAATAGGTGCAGAGAGTCGGAATTCGGATAAAAAATCACGCTCAGGAGTCAAATTTCCGATATTTCAGACATTTTGAAAACTGCAGGGGGGTTTGGGCAAAATATGACCCATTGCCGTTTTCAGTAATTGGCATATTTTCGGTATGAAACGTCGTAATTTGAAACTGAAAATAAGGGCAGAGAGTCAGAATTCGGCTCAAAAATCACGCTCAGGAGACAAATTTCCGACATTTCAGACATTTTGAAAACTGCAGGAGGGTTTGGGCAAAATATGACCTATCGCCGTTTTCAGTAATTGGCATATTTTCGGTATGAAACGTCGTAATTTAAAACTGAAAATAGGTGCAGAGAGTCAGAATTCGGCTCAAAAATCACGCTCAGGAGTCAAATTTCCGACATTTCAGACATTTTGAAAACTGCAGGGGGGTTTGCGCAAAACATGACCCATCGCCGTTTTCAGTAATTGGCATATTTTCGGTATAAAAAGTCGTAATTTGAAATTGAAAATAGGTGCAGAGATTCAGAATTCGGATAAAAAATCACGCTCAGGAGTCAAATTTCCGACATTTCAGACATTTTGAAAACTGCAGGGGGGGTTTGGGCAAAATATGACCCATCGCCGTTTTCAGTAATTGGCATATTTTCGGTATAAAAAGTCGTAATTTGAAACTGAAAATAGGTGCAGAGAGTCAGAATTCAACTAAAAAATCACGCTTAGGAGTCAAATTTTCGATATTTCAGACATTTTTGAAAACTGCAGGGGGGTTTGGGCAAAATATGACCCATCGCCTTTTACAGTAATTGGCATATTTTCGGTATGAAACGTCGTAATTTGAAACTGAAAATAGGTGCAGAGAGTCAGAATTGGGCTCAAAAATCACGCTCAGGAGACAAATTTCCGACATTTAAGACATTTTGAAAACTGCAGGGGGGTTTGGGCAAAATATAACCCATCGCCGTTTTCAGTAATTGGCATATTTTCAGTATAAAAATTCGTAATTTGAAACTGAAAATAATTGCAGAGAGTCAGAATTCGGATACAAAATCACGCTCAGGAGTTAAATTTCCGACATTTCAGACATTTTGAAAACTGCAGGGGGGTTTGGGCAAAATATGACTGAAATTTGTCGGAAATTTGATCCTGAGCGTGATTTTTGAGCCGAATTCTGACTCTCTGCACCTATTTTCAGTTTCAAATTACGAATTTTCTGACTCTCTACCTATTTTCAGTTTGCCATACCGAAAATATGCCAATTACTGAAAACGGCGATGGGTCATATTTTGCCCAAACCCCCCTGCAGTTTTCAAAATGTCTGAAATGTCGGAAATTTGACTCCTGAGCGTGAT